CTACATATTTAATATGGTATATAATATGTTTAGGCTAAGTTTGTATCACACTATGTACATGCGAAGTGTTTCTTTCTTTTATGGTGAATGGGGAAACCGAGCAGACGGCCTACCTGATTGAGGTAGTACCGTCGCCCATGGACATACGAAACGTAGATTTGTGGATGTCTTGCGACCCTTGATTTGAGAAGAGGGGGGGTAAAAAGTAGGAAAGGGAGGGAAAAAAGGGAAAGGGCAACCCTCTCTCTCACTCATCGGACAAAACCCAGCCATTAACGGCTACTTCAAGCCGATCTTCTGTATGAGGGTGGTACTTCCCCGGTCGAGCCAGACCATGTTCGAGCTGTAGTAACTTGACCACAGCTAGGCTCTAGCAACTATTAAATTATGAAAATATTTATAATTCCTCACTAAATGACCTGTTATTAGGTGAGCTTTTGCCAGTTAACTAAGAATTTAAACAGTAATAATAATCAGTCTAATAATTTTATAATACGTGGAGACTAATAGTTTTGCATTGGCTACATTTATATGATATATAACTTTGAGCTATTGGACACTTCGATGCTATTGGTAAGAACTGAAGGTACGTAACATTCCTTGATTAAATTACTATCAGACTGAAAAAAAATATTATTTTGAGATAAGCGACATACAAAAAAAAAATCTGGTTTGCATTTTAGTATATATATTATTTGAAATATAATTTATTGTTTAACATAACCAATCATTGAGCTCAATTACGTAGAAAAGTCCCTTGATATACTTAGAAGTTGGATTGATAATTTTTTTATCACCTTTTTTACGCTAACTAGCTATAAACTAAATGTGAAAAACACGAAGATAATCATGGTTTTAGTGACATATTATTTTGTAAAACATAAACAAGAAAAAAAAAGAAAATAAGAAAATACTACAATTCTTATATATATATATATATACTAGTTTTTGCCCGCGACTTCGTCCGCGTTAATTTCGTCATTAGTAATATATGTATGTATGCTGACCGGGCGAACTCTATTCCGTCTTAAATAACCAAGTATTGGTATTTATTAAATTTTTCCTGTTTCAATCGAACAGAATGATTGACATATTAGTTACTTGTGTCAAATAATGGGAAATAGAAAAGGGCTATTTTTAGGGTTTTACCGGAAAGGAATCAATTTTTTAAAGCTTTTAACCTTCCCTGAACCTCCACGAACATTTCAAGACTAAGATAAGATAAATCTGTTCAACCGAACAGCAATTCATTTATACAGGGTGACTGGTGAATTACTATCGATATTTGAGGACGTGATATTTGACGATCATATATGACAAAATAAAAATTAATATAACATAAATATTAATAAACTTCTAAGTAAAGTTTTTTTTTTTTTTTTTTTTTTATGTGAAAGGTGGCAAACGAGCAGACGGCCCACTTGATGGAAGGTGGTTACCGTCGCCCATGGACATCCGCAACATTTTGTTGCGGATGCACTGCCAACCTTGTTTTTTGGGGGTAGGGAGGGGTGGGAATAAGGAAATGAAAGGAAAGGGTAGGAATAGGGAAAGGGCAACCGGCTCTCTCACTCATCAGACGAAACGCAGCCTTAAAGGCTACTTCACGCCGATCTTCTGTGAGAGGGTGGTACTTCCCCGGTCGAGCCAGCCCAAAAAGTTAACCAAAAGTTATGTAATTAATTACGCATCGTATGAACACCCTACAGATTAGGTATACACACACACACACACATACGCGCGCGGCAGCGTGTTGTTGTATCAGCACGCCGCCGCACGCGTTCACACTTGGAACACTTGGAACGTGTACACACTTTATTTATTTATACGGAAATTTTGTCAAAAATTAAGTACCAATTTTTTTACATAATTCGAATGAGAATCATGTACCGAGTATGTTCCTTAAATATTGATAGTAATTCACCAGTCACCCTGTATATATATATATATATATATAGGTAGATGTTATATAACCTTATTGAAATTATACAATTAAATTATATCTCAGTTTTTTATAACGAAATAATTATTCATCATTTTATTAAAAAATTCCATTATGACAATACACCGTTCAAGGCGAATACGCAATTATTCTAAAATATAATAAATAATCTTTTATCTTAATCCTTTATGTGAAATGTCGTATCTTTTAAAGATATGACGAAATTATCTTTGAACTTATGTTTTGGTGATAAGTTAAATATTCAAATGATGTTTCAATTACTTAATTACTATTATTCTATTGATTTGATAGTTTTATATCAGGTAGGAGACGAAACCTCGGTATTCCATATATTCACCGTGCGTGTGTCGGGTCCGTAGTTGTAGTGAGAGGAGCTTCAACAGTGACTGTGACTTGCGACCCAGGTGTAGGTTTAAGGGGTATCTATCTAACGCTCGTTAAACGCTCACCTCCACCGTCCAAGCTCTTCTCTCTATTTAACCAAATATGACTTAACTCTTCTCTCAACTAAATTTGAATGAAGTCGAGTCGTTTAGTTGTTGCTAATTCATAGAGTACCATCGCATCGAAGCATAGGTAAACTGTAAATATGTTTTATAATTGTAGTAATTAAAGTAATTTTATAATTAAAGATTAAAATGTTTCTACTTCAGTCTAGAAACACTCTACTTTTTTGGTATATTTCGGCATTCCAACTTCCTCTCAGCTCTGGGAAATTATTGTGCCAATTACTAACAATTCGCTGTAATTAAGAAAATCGTTCTAGAAATAATATTAAGTCTATATTTATTTATCTTCCAAACTTACTCTTTCCTGCTCTAGACGGAATAATATTTGACAAGGCTAGTTCGTTCGTTCGTTTGGATATGGATTTGGATAGATAGTTCGTTTGGATTGTCATTCCTCAGCATGTACAGGTCTACCTCTTAAGTCTTTATGGCAACAAATTTCATGGACCAGAAATATCTTGTTGATGTGTGATAGAAAAACTAGTAATATGACGTTGGTATACTCGCAAGCCGCAAGATTTAATGGAGCAAATAAAGTTCGCCCAAAAAGAAAGTTGACTCAATTGTAACTTCGTTAAATTGACCTGAATAAAAATTTTATTTCTTTATATATTTACTAAGAATTTAATTCCATTCTTTAAAGTTTATATGTGTATGAATTTGAAATAAAATACTATATACTTTGATATATTATTAAGATCTATTACTTATGTATAATAGTATTAAATTACATTCTAATATACAGTATTATTTACACACGTGTTTTTCAACCACAGATTAATAAAACTTACGAAAAATATATTGACATTAAAATATACAAATATAAAAAAAACCTAAATTAATATTAATCTACAATTTTTTTAACAATAAGATAATTCTTAAATCCTTACTAAATCCGTTCTTATCAATATTTCGACAGTAAGCAACATGCCTTTTGAAATACGAGTAGTATTTATCAGACAATAGTTGACGATCAGTCGTTTATATATTTTTATTATTTATATTGTGATTTAAATAAAAAGGGCTTTATATTTTAAACGTGAGTATTATATTTCAAATTTAATATTGATTGATATTATATTATTTGACGAATCTAAAATATTTTAAAATATATATAGGTATTTTGTTTCCAATAAAATACGAAAGTAACTCAATTTTTTTGTTTAAAATAAAAAGATATTTGACTGTAAATTTTAAATAAATACCAACCGTTTTAATATTATTGAAACTTATAAAATATAAAGAGATGAACTGTTTAATATTTAATATAAAATTCATCCATATCTACAATGATAAAAAGAAATAACTATTTTAGAAACACTACTCAAATAGATTTCACGGATTAACCATGAAATAATAAATTAAATCAGTTATGGGAACTTTTATATAACAAATAGTTTGTTAATATAGCTCTAGTAAAAGCCTCTTATAAGGTTTTCCCTTATAAAATTGAGCTTGGAGACGAAAATTTTTGAATGTAAATCCACGTGACGATATTTTTTTTAAGTTTATCAAATAATTATATAGAAATTGATGGTATTCATGTTAAAGCAGCGCCTACTTAATATTTTTCAACAAATCTTTTGAAACTCAATTACATTATCATTAGTGAATGAAAAGTATCAGTTGATCAGTTGTACTGTCGAAATTATTTAAATTAAAAGGATTACTATCTAGTAATTGGCTTTTACCACAACTTTGTATCGTCAAAGTAATTGTAGAATGTCCAGTGTTTTAGAAACCTTCGTCTATAATATAAAGTCTGAAAATTTATGAATGAAAAACTGAAAAATCTTCATATTTACTGTGATAATCCAAACTTGGACTAAGGATACATAATTATAATGAATAATTTAACAGTGTATTCATGATTAGATACTAAATACTATATTTAGACTAACTACGCACCTTTCAAGAATAAAATTTAATATAACAATACATTACGTATTCTAAAAGACAGTTATGGCATTGGCAAAAACTCACGTACCCTATCTCACGACCTTTAACGTGACCTTAGACGAGAGGTCAAATATAAGGACAGAAATATATCAATTACATGTTCGATTATGAGAAAGTCAACGAAAATAATAACTAATAAAAGATTTAAATTATCTCTTGATAGTTCATTTATTCCTAACTAACTTTCCGCCCGCGGCTTCGCCCGCGTGGAGCTGGGTTATATCGCGTTTCCAAGAGAACCTTTAAAAAGTCTGGGATCCTATGTTCTTTCTCACGATCAAGTTTATCTCTGTACCAAATTTCATTAAAATCAGTTCAGTAATTTTAGTAGTGATTTAATAATCTTAGTTACCTACACTTATAGATTATAAGTAAAAAGTCATACAAATGTTTCTTAAATAAAAGTCAAATGATTAAAAATTTATTAAAAATACCTACATTATAATCTATTTATTAAAATTAAATTTTCTGTTTCAGGTAACCATGTTATATTAAACATTTTATTTGTAGTGCTAACAATGTCGGTAAAGTGATAGTGTTCTTGTTGACTAAAGTGTAAATTTTCCAAAATGGCGACGGAGGAAATAAGGAAGCGGAATAGTGTAAGTTTAAAACAAAATGTGATACATTCTAATTCTTTGAATAGTCAAGATTTAAAATCATAAAGAGTTGGTTTTTGAGGAACAATATCGGGATTATTACTAATTCTTATGCCGGCCACGTACGTAACGTAACGTAACGTAAATGATCAGAAAATGCTCAAGTATACTTGCACAAATGTCATTTCATATACTTGTTCAAGTTGGGATTCCGCGAGCTATTTATGCTATAGATGATGGCAGAAGTTGGCTTTATTTTAACGACAAAAAAAACTAAAAATGCAGGAAAAATAGAATTATATGCACTAATCACTAAGGAGTGGTTAATTTTTTGTCCATGTGGTGGTATTTTTTCTTTTTTATTTACCAAATACATGGCTCGGTAGTAATGTTAATTTTTTCACAAAAATGAAGTGCACATGTATGTAGGTAGATACAACAATCTTAAATTTGGCGCGAAATGTAAACTGCTACCTCACACGTTCATGTAATCTTGCGCACACGCAATATTGCACAAGTTGGGAATAGAAGTTTTAGGTATACTTTTTCAAAAACTTGTGCTTGTCAGAAATTTGCACAGTTATCTTCCAATACAATATACTTTTAACTTATATAATTATTTTATTGTAGCTGTAACGTGCGTGGCCGGCATAAGTATTATTTTTACAAGTCATTGTATCCCTAAAATTGCAAGAGTCCAATAATCTTGATTTCTTTAAAAAATCTGTTAAAATATAACTTTTTAACGAGAACACTTTATATCAAACTAAAGCCATGAGCCAATTATTTTTTTACCTTCATTTCATGATGGTTATGTTTTCATATATATACAATCTGTAATGCAAAATTTTATAACTTATATCATAAGTGTCAAATAAATATAATTCCCGATTCTCTAAATTGAAAAATTAATATAAATCTACAACGCTTTTAGACCACTATAACTACCACAAATAATTATTTAAAAATACAATCTATCGGCCATCTTAATTTTTGGATGTTTCACGTCAAATAGATGTATAACCAAAACTTTATTAGTAATCAATAAAATTATCCCAAAATTTATTCCGTAACTTGTCTCCTCCATACTACACAACACTCGCAAAATATACTGTGCACGTCTTTCAAAAATGAAGGCCATATTAAAAACTATCAACCGAAAAAAACATATATTTTTATCGTTTTTTCCAGTAATTGGAGTGATTTTTATCACTTCCTTAGCACACGCCTGATAACATATTTCAGTTAGAGCAAATCGAGACGTTCTCGTGTTTACAAATATATAATATTTATTATAAACAATAAACTATTGTATAAATATAAATAAATATCAATGTTATTCGTTCCCAATGCAGTTGGAGAGTTAGCATCAAATGTATAGTCTCTCATCGTTAACTAAACAGTGTGGTTATTTAGAAGTAAATATTTTTATATGTTGTAACTTTTATTATATTGAATATTATGTAATATTATTATATGTATTTTTCAGAAATCGAATGGACTAGAAATGAGTGACGCTCAGAAAAAGGAAGAGCTTAACGAATTAAATGGAAATGTAAGTCTTCATTTAATCATATTTTTTTTCAAAAACAACTTCTTGTTCACATGTTATGGCTATAGATGACGCTGCTATTTGGTAACCAATTACCATATGTATTTTCTATGATTGTACATTATTAATTGTTTTAACTTAAATCCGAAATCCAATAAAGTCGAGAACTTAAACTAGTATCAATATATATTATACATATAATAAAAAAAATAAACTTATCATAATCATATACATGCTTGTGAATACTTTCGATCTATAGATACACATATTTATGTATTAAATTATTGACAGTAGTCGGTTTTTTTAATTCCTTAATGAGCTTGTAAATAACTCATTTATAACAAACAAGGCTTACGTCTAAAAAACCTGTTCCCTTTCACTTTGACATTACTTTTACTAACCATTGTTAAGAATTGTATCTCACTTCTCCATAGGCCAGTAGTAATTGATTTGGTTAGCCTTAAGTATTTTATTTTCATAGAATAATCATCAAACAAATGTTTTTTCTAGATTAATCATGATCTCTTAGACTACAAACCAAACGGTTGGTTGGAAGTCACTCTGTTCAAGATGGGCCACTCCACCGAGGACTTCATAAGGAACAACATCTCCTCCATGAAGATCATCTCTCTGTTTATTCTGAACGGACTCGTGATCGGCTTCTTCTTCGCCTGCATGTATTACTGGATGTATCACGGTGAGTACACCGGCTCGTGTCCTTAGCACGAGTTTGAATCGTCAAACTACAGATCGGGAAACTATTCGATGATAGTATCAACGTAGGTTTATTAACGACAAACCAGAAACTGTGAGTAAGTTCTTGAACTAAACTTAAATCATATTTTATTTGTTAATTTCAGATAACGAGCCGTTAGAGCTATGTTTTGGCTTCGGCAGTCTCATAGCGTTCCTGGGCATCATATATTCCTTCCTCATCTATTTCCAAATCATAAAAAGATTCTTTGGGAACTGGTTCGAAAGGACCATATGGAGTAAGGTTGATAGTATCTCATCATTTTTATGGGAATATGTGTGAGTTTTTCTTAGTTTTTTTCACTAAAGTTAATAAAAAAATCAAACATATAATATACAATAATAATAAACGTTTGTTTATTTTTCATTTAGTTCAATATAAGTTTTAATTTAAAAAATTGCTCCACCGTATACTATACTTTCAGAGTATTTCATAAACAAACAATATTCCATATTTCAGCCTATTCAGATGGTGTCTTTGTTTAGCAGTTGTAGCAGCAATTGGTGTATTCTTATATATTGACACAAAAGACGATCCACAACGTCTCACATCCTTGCTGGGTATATCATTCCTATTAATTCTAGGTAAGCAATGAATTTTGGACGTAATTTAGGTAAAATCTATAATAATGTGAACCACTTGGACATTTTTTTGTTTCCTTAATGCCAGTGGGTAAAGCAAAACATAAAACCCAATATTCACACCTCTTCTATTTAAGAAACATCGTCTATATATTTTTTTGCCAACATACAGGCCTAAATTCTAAATAAATTCTAGATTTTTGCAATATTATTAAATGATCTTAATCTACTTCATCAGGTTTCGTGTTCTCTCTTCATCCCGGTCGTATTAATTGGCGCACGGTCATCGTTGGTTTCCTGATGCAGTTCCTGTTTGGACTGATATTCATCAGATGGGACAGCGGTAGGCTGGCTCTGCGATGTTTCTCCGATAAAGTGAGAATTCCTTTGAAATTTGTTACTCACACCAATGGATATACATTCATATACAGGGTGACTGGTAAATTACTATCAATATTTAAGGAACATACTCGGTACATGATTCTCATTCGAATTATGTAAAAAAATAGGTACTTAATTTTTGACCAAATTTCCGTAAAAATAAATAAAGTGTGTACACGTTCCAAGTGTTCCAAGTGTGGACGCGTGCGGCGGCGTGCTGATACAACACTACGCCGCCGCCGCGTCTGTGTGTGTGTGTGTGTGTGTGTACCTAATCTGTAGGGTGTTCACACGATGCGTAATTAATTACACAACTTTTGGTTAACTTTACTTAGAAGTTTATTAATATTTATGTTATATTAATTTTTATTTTGTCATATATGATCGTCAAATATCACGTCCTCAAATATCGATAGTAATTCACCAGTCACCCTGTATATACAATCGTCTAAAAATATTCTTTAGTATATAAAAAAATCTGACCTATAATCTGTTCTTTGGTTTCGAAATTTAATGTTAAATAGAACGACTCTCGGCTGTTCGTTTAGAAGTAAACAATAAACAAATAAATTATAGTTTAATAATTAGCACCAATATATGAAACCTATACAAGATCCTATTATTTTTGATACTTAACCAAAATTCCAATGAATTTTGTGGTATTTCATATAAATCTTAATAATATTTTTTGCTTTTTAGGTCGCTACGTTCTTGAGTTATGGTGTGGACGGAGCTGAGTTTGTATTCGGTGAACTCCTTGTTAAGACTGAACAAGTCTTTGCGTTTAGTGTGAGTTACATTAAAATAACACCTAGTAATTAATTAATATACTTTGGACTATAAGTAGACAAATCTATAGACTAGTCTAGACTAGCATAGACTTACATAATGAATTTCAATATAATTACAATTTAAATAGACACTAGCTGACCCGACAAATGTTGTTTTGTCATGATAAAATGTAAAAAAAATAGAGTTGATTGTACGAGTATGTTGTTTTTTAATGCCACAATATATAAAATTAGAAACATAAATTTCGTCCAAAAATTAAAAAAAATACATTTTGTCGTGAACAACCCTTATCACTTAGCGATATAAAAATTAATAGTAGCCAATTCTCAGAACTACTTAATACGCCTATAAAATTTGGTAAAAATCGGTGAAACCGTTTCAGAGGAATACGGTAACTAAAATTGTGAGGTGGAAATTTTATATATTAGATAAATGTAATCTTATAGCGGAAGTCAATACTCAGCTTTTTTAGTATTAATATTACCAACTTATTTTTTTTTATAACAGACACTGCCAGTGATATTCTTCTTTAGTATGCTGGTAGAAGTTCTATTCTTCTGGGGAGCACTTCACTGGTTCTGTCTCTCATTGGGTCGTATTTTACAATCTGCTACCAAGACCACAGTGTGTGAAAGCATAATTGCCGTGGGAAACATGTTCTTAGGCATGGTAAGAAAAAAAAATGTTATCTAAATGATTCAAATTATTTATTAAACAAAACAAAAGTTAGAAAAAAATGCAAATGATTTTTTATTTGCGATAAAGTGATTTCTGGTAGAACTCCTTTTAGAAGGCCTTAAGAACTAATTGTGATGTATTAATATTTATTTTCAGACAGAATCAATTTTATTGATAAAACCTTATATGGGAGTGATGACTGCCTCCGAGCTACACGTTGTAATGTCGTCAGGATTTGCAACAGTTTCTGGTTTGTTTAACTATATTAATCACAAGTCACAATCTATAATTTTTGCTGTTCAATAGTCTATTTTCTAAACTATTAGTAATATCCAAATATCGTTGTTACAAAATGATCTTTTGTTTGTAGATTTTGTGAAACGTGGTCCTAAAATGACGGTTAATTACTAACAAAATATGTATCAATAACAAATGTCGAACATATATTTTCTCTTACTCAATAAGCCGACGAAAAACTTCATTTCGTACAATGTCTACACTCCTATTTCTTATTCCTTTTGGCAGTAAGAGAAGTTCAGAAATCTGGTCTTTTATGGGCTAACATATATTATATTACAGGGACAATGCTGGCAGCGTATATTGGTTTCGGAGCTGAGCCGGCCCACTTGGTGACTGCGAGTGTGATGTCAGCGCCGGCCGCGCTCTGCTTCTCCAAGTTGGTATATCCTGAGACAAGACGATCTCTCACCACTGTAGACAACATACCACGTGTGGAGAGGTAAATAATGTATAAAAAGAAACTGTTTCTCATTTCTACTAGGATAACAATATGGTTATTTGTTGGGCCTCAACAGTGTTTATTGGTGAGGTTCTTAATTGCAGGTAATGCAGATTCCTTTCTCTGTTAAAAGAAGCTTTTTATTTATAATACGGAATAATTACGCTGAATTCTCAAATCAAAGTACACTGTATTTGCTTTAAATAATTCAGATTATACATTTTGCCTCCTCTAATGACAACTGACAAGTCAGGCTCACAAAAAATTCTACAACTCCTGCTTAGTGACTTTCGTCGCAAAAAACTCTTAAATATAATTTATGATAAGCTTCAATTTATTTTAATCCAAAGACAGGATCAATCAGCGCTGTCCGCAGCGACTCGTGGCGCAACCAACGGTATACAACTGGTTCTCAATATCATCGCCAACCTGGTTGCATTTGTGGCGTTCATCGCCTTCGTCAACGGCTTTATAAGTTACTGCAGCGGGTTACTTGGTAACCCTGATATAAATCTGGAGTGGATATTCGGCAAGATCTTCATACCGTTGTGTTGGCTGATGGGTAAGTTTAAATTTCTACTTAGAAAACTTTTTTTAATTTTTGGGCTTGTCTCATTTATTATTATGCCTTCTCAGGTGTTCCGTGGGAGGAGTGCGAGCTGGTGGGATCTCTGATAGGTCTCAAGACAGTCGTGAACGAGTTCGTGGCGTACCAGCGCATGGGAGAGATGAAGCGAGAGGGCCTGCTGTCGGTGAGTGTCTCGTGACGTCACTAACTTGATCCAAACACCTCCACTCGTATAACTTGACCCTCCGCTCCCCAGCCGCGGTCCGAACTGATCGCGACCTACTCCCTGTGCGGCTTCACGAACCCTTCGTCAGCTGGTATCATGATCGGAGCCATCTCCGCGATGGCGCCCAACCAGAGAGAGACACTATCCAGTGTAAGCTTAATAAAAACTCCTTTATTATTATTGTTTGACAGATAATATAAATAATTAGGAAATACCTAGATACTAATAATCAAAATATTATTTTTTGTATCATATATAGTTGGCTGTGAGAGCATTTTTCACGGGTTGCGCAATATGCTTCATGAACGCGTGTATAGCAGGTGAGTCTTTATAGGATTATTAACTTATAAATGATGTATATTTCAATGAAGTACCTACAAAGATTTTTGGTTAATCTTATATGCCAAAAAAAAACTATAAACAGATGAAAAAAACTTACTTAAAGTACTTAAAGTTTAAAATGCAAAATAATTATAAACGCTTTTTTGGACCATTTAGGACGTGTTTACGTGACGGAAATCATCACATTTTCATGGTTTATAACTACAAAATTATTACTTTTGGAAGATAATTATCTGTCTTTGTGTTTTAAAGTAAAATATGTTATGAAATTTTCAGTAATATTCCAATATCTTGCTTAACTTATACATACTTTTTATGTATTTTTTGCAGGTATATTAATGCCAGACGGCTCGTTCGGTTAAAACTATGGCTGAGAGGATAAATCTACTTTGTGATATTCAATAATATACTTAATTATAACGAAAATCTAGATTATAACCAGTTTATTGTATATACATCGGGTAATTAGTAATTTCTAAAAATCTGTATAGTTAATAATAGTTCTTAAGATTTGTATAAATATTGTGTGATTTTGTATTAACTATAAAATTTTATTTCATTAGAAATATTTAGAACGTAGGATTTATTATAATATATTAATGTAAGTGCAGGTAATGACGTTCATAAAGTCATTTGTCAAAAATAAAATTAATAGAAAACACATTTGTTTTTTATTATCACTAAAGTAATAATATTCTTTATGTACACCTACCTAAAATGTTTAAGTATTTTTACTAAATACGACTAGATTCAAATGAGAATATTAAAATAAATGATAGTTTTAAAACCATATCCCAGACAAATGGCAACATTTAAGTATCAACCTGTATTTGGAAACTATAAATGCTTCAGCCATTTTGTATTTTACTGAAGAATGATTTATCCAATACTAATTACGCGTACTTACATTATCTTCAACAATATTAGCCTATGATATATGTTCCTCAATCTCCATACTACCTTTAATATACGATCCCACATATAACTTATATGTCGTGGTGACCTAGTGGTTAAAGACCCGCCTCTCATGCACGAGGGCGCAGGTTCGATCCTGGCAATTACCAATGTGACTTTTCTGAGTCATATGTACTTACTAAGAGTATTTAGACACCACTGATTAATGAAGGAAAACATAACGAGGAAACTAATGATGTCAGATAACTTCATCATCAGCCTATCAGAGCCCACAGCTGAGCAAAGACGTCTTCTCACATGGAGTAGGTTTGAGTATTAATCACCACGCTCGCTCAAGACGGGTTGGTGATTTCAAACTTACAATTGTGAAATAATAAGTCCTTGGCGTACTTCGCAGAGCGGGGCGGTACTTCACTTCGGGTCAACGCCTGACGCTGTATAAGGCGCAGGTTAGACCTCACATGGAGTACTGCTCTCACCTCTGGGCTGGAGCGCCCCAGTGCCAACTTCTTCCTTTTGACCGAATCCAACGTCGTGCAACTCGAATGGTCGACGATACCGATCTTACCAATCGGCTTGATACTTTAGCCCTGCGGAGAGACGTTGCCTCTCTCAGCGTCTTCTACCGCCTTTACTATGGGGAATGCTCTGAGGAGCTCTTTGGGCTACTGCCGGCAGCTGAATTCCACCACCGCACTGCACGTCACAGGTTGCAATACCATCCGCACCACCTTGACAGCTGGCAGTCAACCACAGTGCGCTTCAAAAGAAATTTTCTGCCACGCACCACCACCCTGTGGAATCAGCTGCCTCGCGACGTATTCCCTATCCATTACGACTTAGGGTGTTTCAAGAAGAGAGCGTACCTATTTTTGAAAGGCCGGCAACGCACTCGGGCGCCTTCTGGCTCCTCGAGTGTTTATGGGCGGCGATGACTATCTCTCACCAGATGGCTCGCCCGCTCGTTTGCCCCCTATGATATAAAAAAAAAAAAAAAAAAAAAAAAAAGGTTTCCTCACGATGAATCATAACATATCACGAGGTCAAATTAATCACAGATAATAAATAAAAGACATTTCAAATAATGATTATAATTCCATTAACATTAAATGCATCTGATGGCAAATTATAAAACAAATACAAATAACAATTTATTCAAAATCAATTGAACAAGACAAAAAAAATAAAATTTGTGTGAGTTATAGATTATATCCAATGTACAGACGGCCACAAAAAAAAAATCAGTATTTTTATTACATAATCGAAAATAGCTTCATTGTATTTCAAAATATATATATTTTTTGACTAGTACATACTGTTATTCCGACTTCTAATCTATGGCTTTGTTGAATATAAAAATATATACATATATATATGACAATATATATATACCGTACATTAAAAGTCAGAAGATACATTAATTTCATAACAACATAGTGAACGGCTGTACATATTGCAAACTTAAATAGTAACATGCACGCCAAAATAGTGTCTATTGCATTATAATAAGAGTCAACACGGCATAACTAACATTGCAAGCTTCAAACTTATAATATGTCAATCAAAATATTACCGTACCAATGATTTAACTGAAAAATTTTAACCTTTTCATATACTAGTGAGTAACTTAAACATTGTCAGTAAGGAGTGTAGGTTGGCATTTTTGTGTCAAGTCTTTTGTTATATAATATTCTTATATATATATACACTTATTGTATACATTATTTATGTCAGTTTTTATTGAAAATATTGTTTAAAAATACTACGAATTATGGTAGAATTGGTAGAAATCATTTATTACTTATACATAAATTTGGTTGTATTTTATAATTTTAAATTTTCATTGGTAAGACAGGTTCATAAAGTTTTTATATATTATATAAACAACTCATGCATTGCTATTCTGAATAACATAATGATATTTCATATTGACAAATTTTAGTACTTATCTTTATTTTTCAATTAAAATTAACATACATTTTGTAAAAAAGACCATATATATTATATTTTTTTCTGCTGTACCTAATTGCTTAGTACGAATCTACAATTATTACCACACTATTACTTATTCTTACTTATATTATAAAACAAATTTGTTACTTTAACTTAACTTTGTATCTCATGGTTATTCCAATTAGAATACTGTATTTATATTTAATGTATTATTAAATAATTTTTCAGTTAAACCACTTGAACGCTTAAATCTAAATTAATCCTTAAAATAATATTTTAAAAAACATCCGTGTAACACTTCATGTGTTATATAGACGAGGTATTTTCTTTGTTTTGAGCTGAGCTTAAGTCTACATCTGTTATGTCGTTTTCTCTTTTGTTATGTGGATCTGAAATTAAATAAACATTTAAGTTGATATATAGATACATATTCCATGTAAATGCAAAATCAATATAAATTAATGTCTTCGACATAAGATTGGTAGTTGTAAATATTTTTGTGTGTATTAGATAATGGAACTTCTTCAGGTAAATTAACTATGTCGTATTATTAGGATAAATCGTTAATCTATTTCTGTTAAAAATGGTGTTTTACAATCAAAAATTATACTAATATCTGATATATCAAAGTAAGTATCTAAATAATATGAATATTAAATATTTATTGTTATGATTTTTTAAATATCTATATTTTCAATAATGTGAAAGTAACTTCGAGTTCGTCACTACTGGCGCAGCAGGTGTGATGACGCCATCGAGTCTCATCGTGTTGTACCAGTGTGTACAAACATTTTCTTTATCTACATATAATAATCATTTAATATTTAATTTTATTATTTTTATTGAAGAGTTTGTAAAGGTAAGTTGTTTGATTGTGTTCCATTTTCGATACTGATAACGCAGTTAAGGGGGTTGACACAATTTTTCATACACACTGTATGTATGTATATATTAACCTGGTATATCTATGACATAGAGGAGCAGGGCAATGGAGGTGACCCCATCTGTGTGAGCACACGGTCCAACCACTGTAACGGTCCATTGAGATGCAGCTCGATCCAACACGGAGTTGATGTTACTGTTTGACGACTGGAAATAAATATATATGATATAATAACTATATTTATTCGTTTATTTATTTATGGGAAAACATACAGCTTATATGACAATAAAATATTTTGGTAGAGTAAATACAATTTGCCAGAACAGTTTTGCAAGGTTATTTTTACATGGAGTATAATATTAGTTTAGAATTTATATTATTATATGTATATCAATGTATAGAGATAATCTGGTTATATCAAAATTCACGTCTCGTAAATGTAATAAAAGACAAAAAAGGTTTTATTTGATTGTCTATGGAGACAGATAAACAATATTTAACAAAAAGTTATAATAATCATAGACAATTTACATATTTTGGTTGTATTTTGTTGAGGCTTCGAACTTTGCTGTGATGAAATCCAGATTACAGATAATAATGCATAGATATTCGATTTTTTTTGATAGTCCAAAAAACACAATCGTAATAAATTTCATACAACCTAATGGATAAATAAATTAATCATTTTTCTTTTGGTTATGTCATATATAAAATTTTCATGCCACAATGTTAGTTACCGTATTCCTTCAAAACTGCTTTACCTATTTTTACCAAATTTTATATACGTATTCAGTAGGTCTGACAATCGGCTACTATCTATTTTTCATACCCCTAAGTGATAAGGGCTGATCACCCACATTTTATTTTTTTTGTACGAATTTTTATTTTTTTAAGTAGGTACTTAGCATTAAAAAATTCACACAACCAAAAATTTGTACTTTCTAATTATCCTCTATTCTTTATATATCAAAACAACTTTTGCTGGGTCAGCTAGTATATACCAATATAATACGTATATTTAATAAGATCTAAAATTTTCGCCATTTTTATTCATTTAAATGAAACGAATATTTTTCGGATTATACTACGCGGCTTTATTATTGTAAAAAAGTACATATTCCCGAGGTTTCGGCTACTTTACAGCAACCTTGATCATAAAGACGAGATGTGAGGCATTCACATCCGAAAAATATTAGTTTCATTTAAATGAATACTCATTAAAGTTTTAGATCTCAATAAATATATATGTTGTATGGATCCTACTAATATTATAATTGCGAAAGTTTGTGAGTGTGTGTGTATGTTTGTTACTTCTTCACGCTCAAACGGCTGAACCGATTTTGGTAAAATTTTGTATACAGGAAGCTGACGTCCAGGAATAACACATAGGCTACTTTACATCCCGGAAATCGGGTAACACCGCGGGGCGCAGCTAGTATTGTATGTCAACCAACCGGTACTCCGCCCCCCATCCCTTGACGAAGCTCATCCTGATGGTGCACATCCTCGTGAGCTGGAACACTGCCTCGAAGCCCTGCGACACCGACTGGGACAGCAGCGCCGCGAACTCTTGGTTGTTGAAGATCTTCAGGTTACAACCTACACACAAACATATTATATAAAACACTACTTGTGTACCGTGATTTCTAATTATTGAATAAATTATAACCCATATGCGATCTCCAGTCTTAAATACATTACTGTACAATTTTATCACATATATATATATCTCTCGGCGCTTTCAGCTCTAACAACGGATGCGACATGAAAATAATTTGAGGCTGTCATCAATTCTTATAGTATTCATGATTATTGTTAAAAGTAAAACAAAATCAAAGATTGTTTAAAAGGAGAATAGAACTATGTTTAAATCTTGGTATAAATATGACGTCTGGACGCACGACGGCAGAATTCAGAGTTCAGTTTGTACGGACCTTTGAATAATATGATTATGAAGAACCTTCGAGAAATACAGGAACATTAAGAACAATTGAAGTTTCATTTTAAAACATATTGGAAGTGACATTTGTAACGTCAGCGAGGCTGGCGTCCCTCTCTTTAAAAATAACGAATGTGTAATAAATCTGATATATAGGTATAAGAAAGTCGTGTTAGTTACAGTATTTATAACTCAAGAAAGACTGTACGAGTTTGAATGGAAATTGGTGGAGAGATAGATTAGAACATAGAAAGGACATCGAAAAAAAATTAATCAAATACAAATTCTTATTTACTACCTTTTAAGAAGAAATAGAGTATGCCACGTTAGTTATAACTTTGATATTGAAACGCAGACAAAGTCGCGGGTAAAAACTAGTATAACATCTCACCTGGAGGTATTTTACACACGGTGGCCGGGTGCCAGCCGTATCTTTGATTGCAGTTCGGACTTTGTACGAATATGGATGAGTCGCTGAGACATTCGGCGAAAACCTCTCCTGAAACATATAGTAACATAATTTATATACTACATACTGCGTAATATAATATATTGTGATATAGTATAAATAAGTCAGGAGTGGTTAAAAGGCCCGCCTCTCATGCACGAGGGCGCGGGTTCGGTCCTGGCACGTACCAATGTGATTTTTTCGAGTCATATGTACTTTCTAAGAGTATTTAGACATCACTGATTAATGCATTCCCAAAAAAGATGGTTGATGTCAGGCAGGCAACCGGTCGTAAAAACAATTAGCCAATACTATTCACAACATGTAAGGCAGACCCTGACTTAAGCTGGGAAATCGCCAGTTAGAAGAGATAGTATATGTATACTACACATAAACATATCTTTGTATTTGAATGTTACGTTAAAATACTAATATTCTCGGATGTACTATGCGTATTTTATTATACTACATACTCCCGACGTTTGAGAACTTTTCAGAAACAGTGATAACAAAGACGAGACTTGAATGTTTGTCAATTGGTCTTGTTATTTATCATGATAAAGTAATTGGAAAAATATTAGTTTCATTTAAATGAACACTCGAAAGTATGTGAACCAGTACAGAATTTATATATGCTAAATATTGCTTAAATATATATATGTAGTAATATAACATTCGTATACTAGCTTTAACCGCGTCTCCAGTCGTATTTATTATTGGTTTTACCTACATACACAAATCGTTAAAGTTGGTAGACTTCACAGATATGTAGTATATATTTCATATAAAGAGTGGATATTTATTTGATATTTATATAGGAAAATAAACAATGATTGTCACACTATTCTCTTCACGTGAATGTTACGCGACCATTAAATTTTTCTAAATTATTACGCCTATAATTTTTTTTCTCACATTTATACCTACACTGTAGGTCAAAATTAAGTATAAACATTTAAAGATGATTTAAAAACACACAAGTTACTTCACTATGTATTAATTGTATATTTTATTTATGGAAACATTGTAAAAATTACACATTTCTTATATTTTTGAGTATTTATGTAAATCACTCACCTCCAATATAATACAGTCGTACACCTTTCCCGATGTGCCTCCTTGTTTGTTCGACCACTTCGTTTCTATTCACGTTGGAAAGCAGACCCAGGCAAAAACTGAAATGTATATAATTATCATTATTTATACAGGGTGACTGGTGAATTACTATCAATATTTAAGGAGCATACTCGGTACATGATTCTCATTCGAATTATGTAAAAAAAATAGGTACTTAATTTTTGACCAAAAATAAATAAATAAAGTGTGTACACGTTCCAAGTGTTCCGAGTGTGGGCGCGTGCGGCGGCGTGCTGATACAACACTACTCCGCCGCCGCGTCTGTGTGAGTGTGTGTGTATACCTAATCTGTAGGGTGTGCACACGATGCGTAATTAATTACATAACTTTTGGTTAACTTTACTAAGAAGTTTATTAATATTTATGTTATATTAATTTTTATTTTGTCATATATGATCGTCAAATATCACGTCCTCAAATATCGATAGTAATTCACCAGTCACCCTGTATATGTATCTAAAAAAAATACACCACCTAAGATTATGAACAACGAAATTCAAAAATATTTTTGAAAAATAACATCTATTTCATTAGTTAATATAAATGTTTGAAAATTTTAATTTTTTAATTATTTAATGATTACGTTTTTATCTCGTCTGTCCGTTATAATGTCTGTAATGGAACCGATACACACAAAAAACTTAGTTTCATTAAAATGAGTAAGGGCGATAAGGTTATATATCATTATGTACTTATATTTAAATATCAAATAGTGTTTATGTGTTCAGTATAAAAGGAGATAAGTTTTAAATATAATAAAATAGTGTAAAATATCGTTAATTCGAACCTCGTAAAGTTAAAAACCTCTAAATCTCACGAAAAAGTTTAGTCCCTTTCCCTTCAAACATCAAAACCTTTATTGTTTGCAATCCAATCCTCTATTAGTCAACATAATCAATATGTAAAATATATACTAACAACCATAAGTCGAAAATTTTATAAGTTATCCAATTAAAAAATTCTCCAACAGTGTAATGACAGCATTGTTTCCTAGGAGTATACATTGAATAGATTTAGCAAAATAAGTATTCGCTAGCATCTTGAAATGTTTAAGTTTATTATTATTGAAAGATCAAGAATAATCTCATTATCTTTGTCGAGTCAAAATTCACGTCGAAATATATACAGTGGACCCCCGGTAATCCGACATGATCTGTTATTTATTATTGAATACATATTTTGTATTCGCTAATGCATGATTGAACAAGTTACAACTTGTTCGCACCATCACTAGTGTGCTCGACGCGTGGGGTATTGTTTTGATTCTGATTCCTTAGTTGGAATTTGAATTTGTACTTCAGAGTACATATAAGTACATATGTATATATAATATGTAAATAATCTTATCATTGAATCTGTAATTTGTCGGATTACAAGGTACTACTCTTTTGTAAAAAAAATCAGGACTATATCGTCTTAGTCAGTACTCTATAATCCGACGAATTCGATAGTTCGACACTGCCCTGCAAAATGTGTGTCGGACTACCGGGGGTCAACTGTATTTAATTTTTTTGGCATCTCCCTTTACATTCACTTAGAGGTCCTACTATGTATTATTAATTCCACCGTATTATGACCTCACCCTTCACTATATAAGATTACTTGTGTCTTGTTAGACAAGTCTAATTCTATGTACAGTATCTTCTTCTACCTGGCAATTTCCCAGCTATAGCCAGGGTCTGCCTTACATGTTGTGAATAGTTTTTGGCTATTTGTTTTTACGACCGGCCGCCTGCCTGACATCAAAACCCTTATTAGGGAATCAACATTAATCAGTGATGTCTAAATACTCTTAGAAAGTACATATGATTCGGAAAAATCACATTGGTACTTGCCTGGGCCAGGATCGAACCCGCGCCCTCGGCGACGAGAGGCGGGCCCTTTAACCACTGAGCCACCACTAACTTAATATATATACATATGTATGTATATGTGTGTGTGTGTATGTGTGTGTGTACCGTTCACTGTTGCTGGGGTCAGTGAATCCGTCCACCGTGATGGAGGGCTGGCTCGCGTGGAAGGTCTCCCCGACGCGCGTGTTCAGCTCGTAATAGCTTATGCTGCACCAGAACGCCGGCTCGTGGTACAGCACGGGGGCAGCTTCAGTCGCCATTGATGGGGAGGGGGTGAGGCGGGTCAGATCTGGACAGATTTGGTTAAGTCAGATCTATAGAGATTTTGATACTAATTTATTATGGAAAGTAATACTTTAAAAGACATGTAAAACTATACGAATGATAACTCAGATCTTTGGAGATTTTATTAGTAATTATGGATTCTCATACTTAAAAGACATGTAAATTTATATGAATGATAACTCAGATGTTTAGAGATTTTACTAGTAATTATGGATTCTCATTCTTTAAAAGACATTTCATATCAATCTAGCTTAGCCGCGACTTTGTCTTTTATGTGGTATTCGACCACTAGTAGCAATCAATGTAATACAGATAACACTATACTTACTACAAGTTCTTATCGTCACTACACACGTATCGTTAACAGTGTGTCATTAATATCTTCATACATTATAGTATTACCGTGGTATTGAATGAAACGGGAGACGATACGTATGTAGTGTAACGATTCAAACATATGCTATGCAAACAGATAGACATACAGAAAATGTCAATATGTATTAAGTTTAAATATAATTAAAGCGAGCAAAGTTGATTGTTGAAGCTCTATTTTAAATCTATACTAATATTATAAAGCTGAAGAGTTTGTTTGTTTGTTTGTTTGTTTGAAAGCGCTAATCTCCGAAACTACTGATTCGAATTGAATAATTCTTTTTGTGTTAGATAGTCCAGTTATCGAGAAAGGCTTTGGGCTATATAACATCACGCTACGACCAATAGGAGCAAAGATATAGTGGTAAATGTGTAAAAAACGGGAGAAATTATTTCATCTTTGAAGCCTTCCACTGCGTGCGCCGTGAAAACGGTTCAAGATACACAAAAAATATGTATTAAAGAATAATAGCTCTTTTAATGATCTAAAAAACAGTCCGTGACAGTATATGTCTATCTTTTAAAATTAACTCACAAAAACCGTTTTTATGATACTTAATTTGGTCGAAATAATATGTTTAAATTGTATCAACATAATAATATTAATCTTTATTAAAATAAACAAATAAATATGTTGTTAGTTAAGAGTACTTCATTGTGAATTTAAAAAAAACATAGGTTTTATCCTGAAAATTCTACGGGAACTCGACCATTCCGAAAACCCCGCAAGAACGGGAACTATGTGGGAAGAACCACAAATCTGCCGGAAGTCACTATTCCACGCGGACGGAGTCGCGGCAAAAGCTAGTTCAAATATAAATAGACGAAGCAAAAGCTAGTGAGTTATATAACAATTGTATAGTGCGTTTGATTTAAGTTGAGCTTTGCATTTGTGTGAGTGCACACGGATAGTGTAAGTGTGATGTCAAATTTTTGAATGCTACGTTTTTTTCTAGTTTTGAGCCGGTTTATTCTGTTTTTACTCCGCCCCGCACCTTCCGTACTTCACCCTTTGTACTGGTAGCAACTTCAAATGTTGAAAACGCAATGTCAAGTGAAGAAGAATTTGTACATATAGTTTTTTTCAAAATTTTTATTAATAAGTTATATTTTCATAATATTCATGATCCATTTTTCCATCTGGCCATTTACAAGTTTTGCTTATTTATTTCTAATCTAGAATAGCTCTGACACTTATGTTATGTATCTATTTAAGATATAAAAAAAATCTAATATTTTTTGTCAAACTCTACTTTTACTTTCACTCACACAAATGCAAAGCTCAGCTTAAGTCTGACGGACTATAGTATCCCTACTAATATTATAAATGCGAAAGTAACTCTGTCTGTCTGTTACGCTTTCACGCCTAAACCACTGAACTGATTCTAATGAAATTTAGTACAGTCAGAGTTGACCTTGAGAAAGAACATAGGATAGTTTTTATCCCAGACTTTTGAAAGGTTCTCTTGGAAACGCGATAAAAGCGAACTCCACGCGGGCGAAGCTGCGGGCGGAAAGCTAGTAATGTAATATACTAAGAAGTAAGTCAAATTGTCAACGGACTCACTCATGTTATCGTTGTGATCCATGGGGTCACCGTCCTCACTCATATAACCGGGGGGCGGGGTCTCCACTGATGAAGAACTCCTGGAAACAGATATATACTAAAATTATTCTCATATACATATATGTATAGAGTTACAAAGAAAATGCTACATGTATATACTTTCAAATAGCAAACATATAAACATCAAGTATTCATTAGTGATGCTTATGTGATTTTAACACAAACACACATTCTTCAATAATGCACATGTACACTCACATAGCTACACACACAACACAAACATGACACTCACAACACAAACATGACACACAAATGACACTCACACAAATGACACCACACACATGACACACTCAATAACAACGTGACACACACACACACACATACACACTCACAGCTGCACGGTTGTGTTCCCAGGGACCTGCTGCGCGAGCGTCGCCTCCAGGTACAGGGCGCTGTGACCACCGACGCCCACGCCCACGCCGGCACCCACACCCACGCCCACCACGCCCACGCTGCTCTGCATCACGCTGGGGAATGACCATCATTATGAATTATCATATAAACAATATTATAATATGAAGGCAATGTTTTCGATTTAGACTCGCATTTAACTTTTTCGTAAATACATTAATTTCATTAAAATTCTAATTTACTGCCACCGTTTTGTAATATTTATGTATATTTACATTACACAACCAAGAATAATAATTAAAAGAGTCAATTAGTTTTTTTATATTATTGTATACTTTGATATAAAATACTATGATTTTTGTACTGTGTTATTAAAGAGTATCTATATTTAGAATTAACTAAGTTTTTGCCAGAATATTCCTAATTTTTACTTCATAATTTAAATTTAATATTTCAGAATAAAATTATTAAAACAATGAGGAAGAATGATATAAATTTATAATCATAGGACTTATTATAATTTTAAAAGCACAGAATTATTTAAAGTTTGTATAATAAAGTAAATTGCAATATATACTAATTGGAACGCCTCCAAATGACTAAAAAGATGAAGATAATGTATGTACCAAATTATTTATCCATCAATACATTACATTACTAGTGATGTGTTGAAGATAGAATGTATGTATCTATGAATTCAAACAGCGATACTTATTCTTCAGATACATAGATATGTTAGCATGGCAGCGAATTTGGATCTTTATCATCAAATTAGAAATAAATTAACTTTTGAAAAACCTATAGGTATATTCAGAATCAGTATGAAAAAAGGATTCATTATATTAAAATAACATTTTTACTTATGATACATGATGAAATTTATCAATTAATACAGTGTTTTTTTGTGGCACATCACTATTTAGTGTGATATATCGATAAATAGTATAAATTCTTGTTCAATCTTAACTCACCTGTCGTGATCGTGATGCTGATATTCGTAGGGCGGGGGGGCTCTTATTTCCCCCTCGGGACAACGAGGCACCAAGATTGGGGGTAACGCTGGAACAGACAAACGTACATACAATATATAGAGATGAAGCCTCTCTTCAGTACCTGTAATCACGGTCATAAAATTTACAATATATGGCGTTTGTTTATATTATATATTCAGTTATATAAATGTTTGTTGTGAAAAATACCAATTATTTAGAATACAAATTTTTGTAATTGTTTAAATGACTTAAGTATTTTTTCAATGTAACTCTTGATGTCAAAATACCAAAAATTTAATAAATAAGTTACTATTTTAAATTGTTTTAATAACTATAAAGTTGTCATGATTAATAACAACAAATAATCAGATATATTTAACAAAGTAAGTCAAAAAATCTATAATGAAATTAGTACAACCAATAATATTAAATAGACAACAATTTGTAACCATGTATGTTTGTGAATCTTTCACTTAAAAACTTACTGTACCAATTTTGATGAAACTTTACAGTACTGTAAGTTAGACTTCAATATGAGATACAGGCTATATATTTTCGCATAGAATATAGTAAATAACGACATAACAATTGTGTTTTGTACACAAACTGTAGAGGGTTCTGCTAGTAAGCTACAAGATCTTTTTCTTTAATATACATTGCTAGACTAACCCAAGGTGAACATAAAGCAAAACTAGTCAATTATAATTGTAAAAGTAACACTAGCCTTATTTAGTACGGCTGAACTGAATCAAGTGAAGTTTTGGTGTTAAGGTAGATAAGACTCTATGAAAGACAAAAACACCAATAACATGTTATAAATGATGGTAGAGCTATAAAAATCTCACCTGGAGAATCAATTTTATTGTAATGATATGGATTGATGCAGACTTCGTCTTTCTTCAACTGGTAAGCATACTCGCAGTGATCTACCGGCTTTAATTCATGCTGGCTCTGTAATTATATATTGAAGAATATATATATATATATGTATATAAGTATACACATTGTAATTAAGGGAATTGAGTAATAATTGAATTTCAAAAGACATGTATATCTAATATGTAGATTCAGGTCACTTTATCATATATCTTGTAAATTCAAGATATACATAAAAAAGTTTAGTGTAGCATGTATTAACTGAAATTCTATAAAATTACCACAGGTTTGTATAAGAAACTATTTATATATATTCAGTTTTTCATGAATAATCCCTAATTAAATTCTCTGTATATTGTTTGATTATACCGACATGCAGTAAGGTTAGTGTGGCAAATACTATATTATATATGACGACTGCCTATTAAAAACATCAATTTTATTAAATTGAAAACATATTTAGTTCAAGAAAAAACAACATATAGGCATATAATAAGTAAATTTGTATAATATGGTATGCCTTGTATATATTATTTTTATATAATATCTGATCTGATTCCATATATTTGGCATAGATGACTTTTCAAATTCAATTATTACTTAATTCCCTTTACAAATAATGTTACTCATGTTTCCGTTACTTAATTTCAAAATAATTCTTATATTGTCTTATAACTCACTTGAAGCTGCGGCCAGCGCCAAAGCCTGCAGTACACAACATGCGGCAAACCCTTACGATTCTGGCCATTTAATATATTATCATTCGGTTTAACCCTGACCAAGAAACATCAACATTAGCACATACTATAAAATAAAATTAATTGCACTAATATTACTAATATACTATAAATAGTTTAATTATAATGTAGAGTCATATTTTAAATGATACAATTTGTTAATTTTGTGTATTTATAAACGAAAATCACTGATTGAGCAGTGAAAACATAAAATAATACGAGCAATACCTAGTATTTATAGTTTTTTTAATTCAAAATTATCGACATATAAAATCAAATATTACAATGGTAATATATTAGCCAAATTATTAATGTACATTTACGTTTTATGTGATATCAAAGATTTTTATAATCACGTATTTAAAGACGTACTTACGGAAATAAAAGTCACATAACACTAAAAAAAAATAGACAAAGAAAACTTCTAATTTGATTCCAATAAGAATATAGCAATCAACTTCCTATAATTCGTAATGCATAACTATTTTTTTCACACAACACTCAAGGACTAATTGCGCAGGACGCTTGAAAAACTATATTCGTTAACACACGGTATAAAAAACAATATTATTAATCAACTTTATATATAATTACGACTTCCTTTATAAATTATACGATCACAATCGGCCATATTCACAGAAAACTTCAATTGTTTTGACGGGCATTTGACCTTCCTTTTGGATTTTGCGTCCTGTCTGCCATTATGTCACCAATATTCGGTGGTTGTTGAACATTGTGAGGTCAACGCGCCCGACTGACTCTAGCATTCGGCCGGTTTATAACTATGGCTGCGACTTTTCATAACGCGCTATTGAATTACATTATTCGTATATAAAAAACAAATTAGTAATAAAATTATTTAATATATAATTCTGTATTGATTTTATTTTAGTATATCGCGATTAAATAGTAACGAAAGGCATTTTGCGGCCGACGTGTGTTAATAATTTATATTGTTTTGAATTAAATTTCATATTTAAAATTTTGTAAAACAATTTCGAGAACATAATAAATGTAACTATAAAAAGTTATGCTCGTAAATGAATAAAAACACTATTTTATTAATATATTTTTGATGTTGAAATAGTGTATAGTATATAAATATATACAAAGAGACATGAAGAGTCAAATTAATAAATAAAATATATAATATATTACCAATAAATAGTTATTCTATTTTTTTTATATATCATAAAAAATTTGAAAACAAAGGCACTTTTTCAATCAGCCCAAATAAATACAGATAAAAAAAAACTATTAAAAAATAAATGTCTGTTATTTCATAAAATATAGACATTTTTTTATTCACAGACAAAACAAAGTATTATCTACATATTAATCAAGGTTATTATCAGGAAATATAGTGTAGACATCGCTGACCTTACCATGCATCTACACTATCAAATTGAACAGAAATTTAGAAGTCTTATTTATAAATCTTCAGACATTTATGTAGGTATATGAATGATGAACTATGAACTTTCTGTTTTCAGTTCGACAGTGTGAACCGATGGTAAGATTTCTTATAATTGTTACATATAAAATATGTACTAATTAATATCTTCCACATATATTTTTAGTGAAGATTACAGTCATACATAAATTTATGAGATTCTGTGTGGTATTTTAGATAATTTATCCCAAAAATCATTTACCATTATTGATTTGTAATAATACATAATTTACAATATTTATTGTAAATACTATATAAAGTACATATCTAATAGATTAGATGTTATAATAAAATTGATAAATAAAATTATGTAATACCAAGAAAGCTAATAATTTGAAATAGATGAAAAAACTAGTACTGAACTTATATTGTTAGAAATTTAGACAAAATAAATTTATTTTCGTCGATTAAGAAAAATTTGTTGTTTGAATATTATTTTATATGTCGATACTCGGTTTAATTTCGCGAATTTAAGTTATAAACGTATTTTGAAATTATTTAGTGTGACAAAACATAATTAAGTCTATTATATTTTTAGTACATAATAAACAAAATGTTGTTTCTATAAACACAAATTAGATTTACGTTATTAAATTCTGAAATCATTCTTAGCGGAATCCAATCAGGAAATATCATTGACGAATCAAAATGCGTCATTACCTAAAACTAATGAAAGGATCATACAGGACATACCTAGGTATCGTCACACACTTTGTATGACTATTTTGGTTGGACAGAGCCTTTTCTAATTCTTCAATCGCACCGCTTTTCTTTAACTTTTTTACTAAACTTTTTACGGCCTTCTCGGACCATTTGTCTTCAGCCGTGGAACCCTCGGGGCCCTTCTTCCACCCCAACAGCCGCTTCACAACAGGTGGTGTTAGCGGAAACATTCCGCGATTATAGTAATTAAAATAAACACTCGAAACTTAAATCATTTGTTTCCTATTTAGTAGATAAACTATCGGCCATTACTGAAAATGTGACAGTTGACAGTTGGGATGTCAATCAACAATATTAATAGGTATCTATTTATGACTCCTTTGTAATTTAAATGTCAATTTGAAAGGAAATATTAGTGAATTATTTAATTTATTTAAAATAAACGAAGAATCCATAAAGATAAAAACCTTAGATTCTAAAATCATCCATTTCACATAAAGTATCGTAACAATTTGTATCCTTATAATCTGTTGATATGAACATTTTATTGGATTTAAATCTATCCGCCTTTGTTATCTATTGAAGAAACCAGTGTTGTTGTTTCAACGATTTTAGTATGTTATATGTATCACCAAATTAATAAAATATAAAAGTTTCTTGTACCGCTTAAAAAAATAACATTTATTGCATAACTTTATTACTTAACACATTTAAAAGAAATAGTTTAAAAGTTGAAGATTGACTTATTCGAATCTTTTTATAAACGTTTATAGCAAATTATCAAATATCAAATTTAATTTATCCTACTATACAGCGTTATTGTTTCTGTCATTATTTGTTAATAAAAATACTTGAAGCTTTAATTGTTTGAAGGTACCTTACAAATTACAATCGTGATACCATATTTTGCCTTTCATGTTTAAGTTCTCAAACATATTAAAATACTAATATACATCATTATAATTTGTAATTTTTAATATTAGCGTAATCCCATTGATAATCTTTTAAAAGGTAACACTGTTGAAAGAATGTTTATTTTGAATTTTAAAAATTTGTCAAAATTAATGGCTTCACTGATTCATTTGTTAATAAAAATTAAATGCCAGTTGCAATGAAAAATAAAGTCGTGATATGAACTGGAAATTGGTTAGTGATTTGTATTTATTTTTTATCATACACTTGGTGACGGTTGTGAAGATGAGGGCTATTTTTTTCCAGAGTAACACTGGCCACAAATTCAAAAGTTTTTGACTGCCTCATTTCAAGTTAAATATATTTGGCTGGAAATAGCTATATAAATTTTTTCTTATTAACATTCAAGTTGAAAACAAACATGATATTTCATAAAATAAATTAACTTCCAATACTTATTAAATCTTTATATTTTATATTATCTGAATCCTTCGAAAATATTATTTTATTTTAAATTTATTCTTCTAATGTGGTCTTCCTGATGTGTTTTGAATTTACAATTTCATCTGAATCTAAATAAGATTAGACAAGATTTTTTAATGTTTTCTGTTCATCTAAATTCTAACAAAAGTTAATTGTGAAAGATATATTTTGTACTTTTAAAGTATATTCTACTGTTTAGGAGCTATTTTTCTTAAATAACTTTGTTCAAACTCTGATTTTACTATTGATAGAGCACATTGATATTATAAACTTATAATCAATTTTATTTAAGTTCGTAAATCAACGGTTGTTTTCATCATGACCATTATTTGTATATCAGCAAAAATAAATTAATAATCATGTTACACACAACAGAAGTATTACTTTTGATATTTTATTATAGTTAATTTTAATGTTAAAAACTATTATTTATTATTTTACAAATATACCGACTGATTTTGGTGGTATAAAGTTGTATTGCACTATATTATAGTGTTGAACCGACAATGCTAGAATCATGACTTACATACCTTTTAACATTCAATCACAAAAATTTTCAAGTTACATGTTTATTTACAATAAAGCAGTTATTTTTAAATTAATATGTATTTAAGACTTTTTAAACCCAACATTATAAATTCCAGTACAATTATACAAAAGCTTTTAGTTTAAAGAAGGTGATTAATTAACTATTTTCTGTTCCATACTTATTTTGTCTCTTCTCCTTCTTCTACCTGGCAATTTTCCAGCTTTAGCGAGGGTCTGCCTTTCTGTGTTGTGAATAGTTTTGGCTAGTTGTTTTTATGACCGGCTGCCTGCCTGACATCAACCCTCTTTGGGAATACATTAATCAGTGATGTCTAAATACTCTTTTATTTATTAATTAACTATTTTGTCTGAAATTAAATATTTTCTTCAGGAATCATGATGGAACCGCAATCACCTTTGATTCTTTGCATGGAAAATGTCGAAGGTCAGGAAGTGGCCCTCAAAATAGAGCCAAATGATACATTTCAAATGTTTCTTGATAATTCTAAGTTAGTATTCACCATAAATATTTACTTATTTGTATGTATAGAAAATTTTATTTGTGTTTTATATCCACAATCATTCATTAACTTTGTTTTTTTTTTGAACGGTATATAAATATTTGACTATACATAGGGTTTTTAAATAAAATTGACTTTTTTTATTTGTATAAATTAATGATATATTTAGTAGATTTTATATTGATATTCTGAATATTAAAATTCAATTCAATGAATTTTTATTTTAAAAATTAATAACATTCTAATTTTCTGATTTGTATAAAAGATTTTCTTCTATTGATTTTCTAAAGGCACTAAGTTCAAAATTTTTCATATGCCTCTTTCATACTCACAATTTCTTAATATTACCAAATTTGCACATATGTATGTAAGTGATTTTTCAATTCCTTTATCTCAATAATCCATATTCTAACATATCTGGAATTAAATCTTACACGTTAGACATATGGAGGAATGATTATTTTGGACTTTGTCAGTTTTCATGAAAACCAGTAATTGATGGATTAATATATATACTACAATTCCTACTTCTTCACTTCAGGTTACTACTAGGTTTCGAGGTTGATATAAACTCAATAACCGGCAACCAGACAGTATCTCTTAGTGATAATATCTATACATTCCTAGTCAACGCTGAAAAGAACGTAACTAGTAATGATCTTGATCAGATTCTGGATCAAAACCCTGAGAATGACGATCTGGTGTATGTTCTTGATGACGGTACCCAAATAAGGGCCTCGCAGATACAATTTGACAATGAGGACCCCTTAATAGATCTAACCGCTGAAAAAATACCATTCGTAAAATACAACGATGATGAAGATGAAGATGTTGTGGAAATCGGGACAGTTAAAGATGTCAATATCATCGAAAGTCCTGTTACCAAGTGGAATAAGGACTGCAGTCCGAAATGCAGTTTCGCTAACAGTCTGCCTTTCAAACTCGTATGCAATAACACTTCAAACTTCGACGCGCAATTCTCGAAATATCTAGAGCCTACCAAAACATATACTACCCTAAATCCGGCCAATCGCAATAAATCACCAAGGAGCCTTATACGGGATAATTATAAGAATTATGATGAACGAAACGATTTCTTCACTAGGGAAGATATTTTGAACATGTTCAAAGATTCTCCAGTAACTTCCTTGCCATATGATGGTCAGAATTACGAGAAGCGTAGGCATGTGAGGAAAACTGACCCTTCTAGATCAGTACATAAGAGCTGGAATTACAAAACAACGCCCGACGTAGACAATATGACCAATAACCAAGATTGCTTCATATGTGGGAAGATTGTTGAAAACAATGAGAAGCTATACCTATTCGATAAAGAAGATCAAATGTTGCATAGATGTGAGCAAAGGAAATTTCAGCAGCAATTGAAAATCATTTGCGAAAGATGTCTGAATGAGAATTTCAAACCCAGCAGAATGAAAAGTCCAAGCCAGTCGCTTAATAACGACGAATATCTAGTCATAAAGAACAACCAACAGTACATATTCCAAAAAATTACATCCATAGACCTAAAGAAGTTAAACGTAGACTCGAACAAAAATTCTGAGTACGTCAAAGTCGAAATAGGTCCCGATGGGGAAATTATCACAAAACCCATAGACAACGATGTTAATGACGTCATGATAGTTAAAGATGAGAAGAAAGAAAGTTCTAGTGACGTTGAAATTATAGAACCGGATGTTGAGATTGACATAGACAATATAGAGGAAGCGGATGAACAAGTGAAGGAGTTTTTGGGGAAGTACCAGTGTGATGCCACAGATAATAAAGAATTGAAATGCAGGTAACATAACACTACTTTTAGTTAGAAGATTTGTCATAAAATTTGTGAATTCTAAATATATATGTACATATAAGTCTTAGTATCTCTTCTTCTTCCTGGCAACCTCCCAGCTTTATCCAGGGTCTGCCTATGCCTGTCTATAAGTCTTAGTATCTAAATGTAAATATTTAATCTATGTTTTTAGATTTTGCGAGCGCGTTTTCACAGAACTGGAACAAGTCATAGAGCATGGAGAGGAGCATAGACACGATGTGGAAGATGAAACAGTATACCCATGTCCGTTATGTGACTACGGTAAATAAATTACTCTTTGTATATATTTTTGGAAAGGTCAAAAAAAAATTATAGGCGATGGTTGAGATTTGGTTCAATATACAATTAATACATAAAAATCAATAAACCTTAATCTCTATAGTATACTCTCCTTTCTTACGACTGGGCAAGGTTTTTAAGAAAAGAGTTTGCAATGAAACTCATATTTGTATGTAATTGTAAAGTTATTACAATTGTATGAGATTTAACTTAACTAAAACATACAACACTATGTATATAAAATCTACTTTTTGATTATTGTTTTCTCGACCTATAAACTCAAAATTCAAGTAAATATTTGTTATCTTCAATACAATTAACAAATTTTTTATAATACAGTACCTACAGTGTACTGTCAATAACTTTAATGTCTACCCACAAAAAACTACATATTAATTATTATGGTTTAATAATAATTGTTTCGTACAGGATATGCAAACTTCAAATATCTCAAAGCTCATCTAAAAGCCGCGCATGTTAATAATAAAGATAATAATAATGAAGAACAAAATGGTATATATTTATTTCATACCTATATTAGTTTCTATTCTCAAAGTATTTCGTGTAGACATATTTTTAGTATTAGTAAATGAAAGATATAGTAGTAGTATAAAAGGTTTTTTTTTTTTTTAAATTAGAATTAGATTGTAGTTAAAACAGTATAAATTATTGAAGTTTTATAAAGGTAAAAATATGATAGGTATGTAATATTGTACCATTAACAATATTTAGTTGTACAAATGGTCAACTTGTTTGAGTCCCGGCCGGGTAAAAATGTATCACTTATTTTTATTTGATTATTTAGGTTTAGTCTAAATCATGTACTAATAATTTTAAAGGAAATAGTATATCTTTAGAGTTTACTACATTATATATATACAGTTACATTGAGACAGCGTAGTATATATATAGAATGTAGTGTAGTTATTCGAAACACATGAAATTAAAAGAAATTAACATTTCAGATAAAAATACACCCAAATCCTCTCCAGTAGCGAAAAGAACAAGAAGCGCTATAAAGAAACACGACAACGAAAATGATGGTAATTATTGAAAACTTCCTTACTTAAATATTTTTTACATTTAGCCTTAGTACGTGTTTGTATCGTAAAACTAATAAACTGACAGTTTCCGCGTTTAGTCAATCAAGTAGTGTTGAGCTAATATTTAAATTGGAAAATGTATGATGAAAAATTCATCGATAGTTTAGTTGTTAAAGTAATTGGAGTAACAACTTAAGAAGATAACTGGTTCGAATCCTGCTCGTGTGAAAAAATTCTCATTTAAATTTTTCACAATTTTTTTTACTACTAGTCTAGTAGTAGTAGAGTGTAATGTAGAGAGAGGAGCTTGTACGGTGGTTGTGAGCGTTTAACGCGTTAGATAGGGTCCCTTAAACCTGCACCTGGGTCACAAGTCCCAGTCACTGTTGAAGCTTCTCTCACTACAACGATGGACCCGACACATACACGGTGAATACATGGAATGATGACAGGTTTCGTCTAATACTAGACTAATATATTATGAATAACAGCATACTGTTTGTTTGGTTGTACTAGCTTGTATTAAGCTGTAGAATAAGTCTAAGCCATACTCTCTTTATAAAAGGGTTATTGTTTGTAATTTAATAAATTTAAATATTTTATTTACATTTATAGATAAAAATGAAAAGAACGCCGAAGAGACGAAGACTAATAATACGGTTAGTTTAAAATAAATTTACCAATGATATATATGTACGTATACTAAATAAAAGTAATTACTACTCTTTTGTATGATTTAAATGCATAAAATAAACTAGAAAAATGTTTTCACATACTCCGCGTTATTTTTTTGGTATTTAATTCAAAGCGAAACGAATAGTGAGTACTTAATATATCTGTTAATCAACCGTCAGCCTCATCTATCTTCTGTGTCAATGGACTATACTATATACAACTGTTATGGTTTCAATCTTCCTGAAAAAAGGAATAAGCTTAGGCCCATATCTTACTCAAATATTTAAACTACACTTTTACAAAGTTTCATCAAAATCAGTTCAGTTCAAATCAGTTTACCTTGAAAAGTAACAAACTTGACAGACAATTTATGTGTTTTACTTAATAGGAATTCACTACTGAGGTTAAACAAGAGTGTGTTGAGAGTAGCGACGAGTCTATATGGATCGTGCAAACTGGTGATGATGATGAACAACTGAACAACTTGCTGCAGGTAAGAAGGGATTATAACACAACTGACAGGTAACTTTGACTTACAAGGTCAAATTATACAACAATCTGTCATATTGACAGGTAAATTTGATTTATTTGAACCATTTATGATATACTACATAGCTTTTCGCTCGCACTTTCGCCCGCATGGAGTTCGGTTATATCGCGTTTCCAAGAGAACCTTTCAAAAGTCTGGTATAAAAACTATCATATGTTCTTTCTCAAGGTCAACTCTATCTCTGTACCAAATTTCATTAAAATCAGTTCAGTGGTTTAGGCGTGAAAGCGTAACAGACAGACAGAGTTACTTTTGCATTTATAATATTAGTAGGGATTGTTTAAATTTGATTATTGTATTTTAAGATATTTGATAGTCAATTAGATATAAGACTTCTGCGAGTAACTATGTTGTTAAAATTATTATTAACGCGTAGTAAATCCGAAAACTACTAGTTTTATTTATCTAACAGTTAGTTACTTACGTGACCACTTGAAGGAATTGATTATACCTACATATAATACTATTATATGAAATTAAAGATATCTTTTTCCTTTCTATTTCTAATATATATCTTTTACGGAAAGGTAAAAGATGAGGAACGGGACATGAATGATAGAAAAAAGCACAAGTGTTTCAACTGCAGGTATATTGAATTTTCTTCATCAATTAATTTCATCAATTTCATATAGTAAATTAGTAAATATTGATAATATCTTTAGTTAATTTTATTACCCTATTTTGTCATACTCGTATCATTATACTATTGGCGTGATGTCTTTTATTGTTTAATACATTAAGTATAAAATATAAATGTATTGACATGTCAATGTAAATGTGAGTTAACGACGATGAATTCCAGTGTACGGAAAAACCAATATTGGTTTATAAGACACTGTGAAAACTTAGGCATAATTGTAAAAAATACCAACTTAATTGTAATAATAAATAATATAAAAAAAAAAATGTGTTTTGCAGCCAAATATTTCCCACCGCGGAGAGTTTATCGTCACATAAATGTAGGAAACGAGGCAGAAAAAGGAAATCGTTGTTGAAGGACGAATCAGTTATATTTGTTCCATCAGAAGAAGATTTTTTGAAGGTAGAATTATATTGAATTAAGCGTCAAAATAATGTGTTCATTAAAATTTGATTACGATTATTTATTTTTTATGGGGAGTAAATGTAAATTAATATTTTAATTATTATATATTATTTTTTTGACATGTAAATATTAAAAATTCTTCTCAATATTAGCACCTGTTCCTGTTCTTGGTCAAAATAATTTTTATATCAAATAATGAGTCTAATACTAGCTCTTTTTTATATGAATATTTGAGAAATTCATTGTATTCTATGCTATTAATTCTAAAAGTTGAGACTTTGTTTCAGAGAGCCCAAGGTAGATTACGTCGTGAAGGATCAGGAAATAATGACCTATTAGTAATGGTAAGTAGTTTAAATCATGAAAATAGTATGTATTAGGACAATCGTACAATTTATTGTATATAAAATATAATATTTGTTAATATGCAGTCATACAACAGCTTTTATCAAAAGATTTTATATTACATTTATTTTCATTATTATTAGCTGTCTTAGAAAATTATTATTTATATCCATACATATATAACCAAAAAAATATATATGCATATATAAAAAATCTCAATTATTTATTATATTTAAAAAATTAATTATATTTCTCTAATATTAACAGAGATCACGCAAGAAGAAGAATCGTGATTCTGAGCCGCAGATCGTCACTTGCCATAATTGCAACGAATCCTTCACGTCCAAAGTGAGACTTAAATTTCATATGTGAGTTACAAATTTATATACTTATGACATCTAAGACTTTTTTATTCATTTAATTGAATTGATATACTATATAGAAACTATATGTCTTTGTGGTCCCAAGAAATCAAATCTCAAAATTAGTATTTCTTTGATGAAATAATCATTCTTTGTTACAACACATTAGTGTTTTTCATTCTTTATTTGCATGGCATTTAATTTAACAGCTCCTATTTTATATGACTGTGAAGTATATCATCAGCCTATCAGAGCCCACTGCTGAGCCTTTGCTCAGACCTTTGTCTTTTCTCACATGAAGAAGGTTAAAGCATTAGTCACCACGCTTGCTCAAGGCGGATTGGTGATTTCAAACTTATAATTTGAAATTATAAGTCCAGGTTTCCTCACCACGTTTTTCTATACCGTCTGTCTAAAGTACACATGACTCGGGAAATCACATAGGTACTTGCCAGGCTTAGAACCCGCGCCCTTAAGCAAGAGAAGCGGGTCTTTAACCACTAGGCCATCACGACCTTATATACAGGGTGACTGGTGAATTACTATCGATATTTGAGGACGTGATATTTGACGATCATATATGACAAAATAAAAATTAATATAACGTAAATATTAATAAACTTCTAAGTAAAGTTAACCAAAAGTTATGTAATTAATTACGCATCGTATGAACACCCTACAGATTAGGTATACACACACACTCACACATATGCGCGCGGCGGCGTAGTGTTGTATCAGCACGCCGCCGCGCGCGTCCACACTTGGAACACTTGGAACATGTACACACTTTATTTATTTTTACGGAAATTTGGTCAAAATTAAGTACCTATTTTTTTTACATAATTCGAATGAGAATCATGTACCAAGTATGCTCCTTAAATATTGATAGTAATTCACCAGTCACCCTGTATATGTATTATTATGGATCGTTAATCGAGATTATACTGTTTCAGGCAATTCCACGACACAACCAATCTATTGACATCCGACGGTCGGTACGTTTGTTCTGAATGCGAGAACGCTAAATTCGCTACAGAGACAGAACTATTCGATCACGTACATTTCCAACACGACAAGCAGAAAAGATGGCAATGCCCTGTCAAAGATTGCGGGAAGACATTCTTCTTGAGGTACATCTAGAAGAATTGATTGTAAAATACTTTGATGTGGCCAATATTAACATTTTAATCCTAATTTAGGGCAACACTAACCAAACACAGTCGCACACACACAGACACAAGGAGGTATGTGTGTGTGACGTGTGGTAAACGTTTCTTGGACAAACAGACGTTGGATGAACACGGCGTTACTCATTTACAGGTAATAGTAACAATATTATTTGGTCTTTTGTCTATATCGTATTGCTGGGCTTTTCAACTTTTGAAGAAATATATCGTGAACCCCCCCCCCTCTCTCTCTACGCGTTGTTTTTTTTGTAACTAATATTGAATCCAATACATTTATTTCTTAGATATATCTTTTAGTTGATACTTTTCTTAATTAATCTTTAAAAAATATTATTGTTTTCTCTTACTGATGTAGCTATGCCAACCTTTACTAACTCCACTATACAATTTTTGTAAACCCTCTGCGACTCGCAACCTACAGGTTAAAAAACCCTGTCGTATTGTTAACAAGTACTGACTTGAAACCTTATCATTTTAGATAAAGCCATTCCAATGTCACATATGTCTTAAGCAATTAACCCGTCGCTCGCGTCTACGTATGCACTTACGTGCTCACGAGGAAGAATTATCACCAGCACTAGTTTTGGTTTGCGCGATATGTAATAGGGCTTTTAGGGATCACGTCGATGCACAGGTAAGTTTGGCTAAAGGTAAATTTGCTTTATCAGGTAAAGTAGAATTATTTTCACTGTTTACCCTATTATATGTTTAGCTTTAGTCTGGTATTAGTATTTTTGAGGCCTTAAAATATATCTATGGTATTTATTTAGGAGCATGCTACAAAATCATCAGAATGTATTGAAGAGTTCACAAATGAATTGAAAGAGGAGAAGGAGGCTTCAGAACAATTATCTCCCACCAGTGGGCTAGTGAGACATACTGTTCGCGTCGTGGGTAGGCACTTTATACATATGTAGATAATAATAGATAATTATCTTCTTTATTTTTGGCAATCAAAAATTTTGTAAATTGCATTTTGTTCGGATATTATAAATAAATTATAGTATGCTGATTTACTCGAGTCAGTTTTCACTTTTAATTCTACTAATATTATAAGCAAGAATATAAGGATGCATGTATTTTTGTTTTTATTCCGCATTAAAATTACATAACGGACTTTTGAAATTATACTATAATATAGTAATAGTACACCGGTATAGATCCTAAAACTACCGCTACACAGACTCAATTAGATATTATATCTATGGTTTTAACACACAAATTTTCTCCCTGAACTCTAATAAACTAAATTTAAGGCAAAGACTAGGTGTAAAATAATTCAGTGCACATCGTTCCAGTTTTAAACATTATTTTGTTTCTGTACCCTCAATCGTAGTTTTATATTGTAGCAGAATATTCACATAATAAGGCGATCGATCGTGAAGTGAACAACGCTGAGAGCGAGGCGCTATTGTCGTCTTTGGATGACGTTGCTAAAAATATCATACGAGTGGTCATCATTGAGAAGGCGTTCAGATGCGAGTATTGTGAAGAGTTAGTATTAAGCATATATGATTGTTGGAATAAACTAATTTAGTTATAAAATGAACCAATATAAGATTTTCGCGAAAATTAAAATGAAAACATGGTTTTTTGATATTCATTTTTATATCTTCCATACATTTCGATAACTTTACAGCTATTGTAATCACTGACAGATGTTATAAAAGTGACTTTCATCTCATCTCGTGATTTTTTGAAACATGTTAAAATAAATTGACAAAATCTCGTGATAATATTTGAAAAACATAGTTTCATTATACATATATTGCGCTTCTATAAGAAATAATTTGGTAATTACATAATATTGATGTAGTAAGTAAGGCAATTAATTAAATAGGGACTTATAATTCCAGTGTATTCTATTTGGAAGACGCTTTAAATAATCACAGAGTAATACACAAAGGTGTGCAAAATCCGTTCACCTGTCACATCTGTAAAGTAAGCTTCGCCACATATTCAAGGTAAGTTTGAACCATACAGGTAAATTTACATTATAGTTAAGGTAAGTTTGCTTTATAAACATATATTTTTTATTTTAACGTCTTCATTATTTAATAATTAGATGCACAACACACAAAACCACACACGGTTTTTACAAGCGAAGTACTACAGAGGGTAACGAGGGTCACACTGGACCGGCTAGCGCGGGGATTTTAGGTTACGGGGGATTCCCAGTTGTTAAACACTTTCTATGCGAGGTGAGGGTAATCTAGGATAACTAGGGTAAATTTTAACATGTACTTAGTTTTTTATGTACCTTATTGAAGTTATATTAATTGATTATGTATTTTGTATAAGGACTGCGGAAGATCGTATTTGCATTGGACATATTTACAAGTACATCGTCGCATGAAACACGCTAACGAGAATTATATATTTAAATGTAACCAGTGCGAACTAACTTTCCCAAATAGGTATATTAATAATTATTAATAATTATATACCAACCATAGTAAAAACGTTATTAAAATTCAGATAAATAGTGTAGAGTATTGAGCCCAATGCGTACCATTCACTTTTCCATTTAAGCTATGTCCGCACTTTGTCGGTGAATAGAGTATTTATACATTATAATAGAAACAGATAATTTGAGAATTGTGTTAATATAGATGAGAAAATAACGTATTAAACTATAAAAACAACCTAGTACCCTTAGAAGGTTATATAAGAAAAGATATTTAGAAAATCTTTATATGTATAATATTGAGTAATTATATTATTATTATGGTTTTGTAGTTGGAGTGTTGCGTATCACAGGAAGAAAGTACACGGAAAATCTGGTCAAGACGAGAATGGGGGCATCACTAAAATTATAAGAGACAACAGGTATGTATTCAATTGTTAAATTATTTATATGAATATAATTTAACACCAAGAAATTATTGCTTTCAGAATCCCATGTCGTGACTGCGATCAGACGCTGCCAAACAAAATTGAACTCTACAAACATAGAAAGAAGGAGCATTCGGATGAAGCTTTAGATATGGACAAAGAAGGTATTATAACTACATTAATATTAGAAAGATGAATAAAAAATTTGTATGTGTATGTTTGTAATGAATACATTCAAAAACTACAGTGCTTATCTCAAAACTTTTTTCACCAATGAAAAGCTACATTTATATTGTGTAACATAGGCTATATTTATTTTCACAAAAGATTATGAGGCACTCCGCTTAAATAAATAAAAATAAATGTATAAATAGAAGGTAAAAATATTACAAAAATCTTATGTACACTGGTGCGAAGCTTGTACGGACGGAAAGCTTATATACAGGGTGACTGGTGAATTACTATCAATATTTAAGGAGAATACTCGGTACATGATTCTCATTCGAATTATGTAAAAAAATAGGCACTTAATTTTTGACAAAATTTCCGTATAATTAAATAAAGTGTTGACACGTTCCAAGTGTTCCAAGTGTGGACGCGTGCGGCAGCGTGCTGATACAACACTACGCCGCCACACGCGTGTGTGTGTGTGTGTGTATACCTAATCTGTAGGGTGTTCACACGATGCGTAATTAATTACATAACTTTTGGTTAACTTTACTTAGAAGTTTATTAATATTTATGTTATATTAATTTTTATTTCGTCATATATGATCGTCAAATATCACGTCCTCAAGTATCGATAGTAATTCACCAGTCACCCTGTATATATCCAATTTTTGTTTACAGGTAATTGGTCGGATCAAATAGATGAATCCAGTACCACTGTATGTAGCAAGTGTGGACACAATCTGCATAACGTGACGGCGTTACAAAAACATATCAAGTGAGTTACATTAATACACTTATAACTAAACAATAAACTATATGACATTTTAATACACTAAAAATAATCGTCTTCTTGTATGATTAAAGATATAATCATTATTGGGTTAAATTAAAACGTTTTTACAAAACGTCACGAGGTTATTGTATTCTACTATGACTTGTAGAAGCTTTATCCTATTAACTGGTATAAGTGTTAACCTAGTCGTAGTTAAGTTTTACCCTATTAATTTATATAATCTTTACTTAGTCGTTTTTAAGCTTTAACCTATTAATTCATATAAGCGTTACCCTAGTGCTATTATTTAGGCTTTACCCTACTAATTTTTACAAGCGTTACCCTAGGCATTTATAAGTTTTACCCTACCCCCAGGGAGGTCCACGGGTACACCAATCCCCACTCGTGCCCCGTGTGTGGTCGTAGTTTCCGTTCAGCGTCGATACGTAACGAACACGTAAGGACTCACACGGGGGAACGACCGTACCCCTGTGATGTGTGTGGGGTAGCGTTTAGACGGTGAGAGGAATACTTTATAATAATAATACATAATAATAATAGTTTATTTGCTCAAATATGGGTTAACAAAGGTATTTCATACATACTTCAATTGTTTTTGATGAGGGTAAATGATATGTTGAGGTGGGTTAAGTTGTAACATTTGTAGACTTTCTGTCTAGCTGTGAAGTATTTTTTTTTTCTAATTGATGATTGGATATAACTTTAGTTTTGTCCTGTTGTAATGGTACTCGGGTTCAATTCCCGATTAACAAAACATGTTTGTTCCTAGTGACTTTTGGTAAAGAGCATCACTTTCAATAAAACTATAAAGTAAGAAAAACCGTCACCATTATTACATGTTCCAATTGATCATCAGATTCATTTTATTTCGTAGAAATGTTGAATGTGACAATATTATAAATCAAATTCCTACGAATACCAATTATCTATTTCATCTCTAACTCCGTAACTCAAACTGATAGTTTTGAGGTAATTCAATCTCATACTAATACCAATCTCGTTCATCTATCTCATCTATCTAATCTATCTCATCTATAGATCAACAGCGATGCGTAATCACCGTCTTATTCACACGGGGGTCCGCGCGTGGGCTTGTTTGAGATGCCCCAAAAGGTTCCGTATTAAATCTGACCTCAAGACACATCTAAGACTGAAACATCCGGCTCATCTGGCTGTTATTGAGGTATTATTAGAAAATAATGTATATTTAGAGTTCTAACAAAATCCTTACTGTTTTTTTTTTAAAGCCAGTCCTTTTAAATAACGAATAAAACCTAAACTAGAACAAACTAATCATTATCTTAACTCAATACAACTTAAATAAGTTAAAAACAATTTACAAAAATACAAGTCGTGTTCACAAAATACTTTCCCGCGTAAAAGTCGACAAATCAAGCGTCATAGCTTTAATATCACTTCGGATGCGTTCGGGAATTTAAAAGTTCGGTTCAAATTAAAAGTGTGTTCCCTATATGTATGTACATAAGGACAGATAGTTTTTCACAGCCATTACTGTGTATTAAACTTAGGGTTTTATTCCCGGACTAAGATTTTTTTAAAGTTTTTTCTCATAGTGCATAATGTATATATTAAAACAGCCAGATATTTGATAGTTAGACATCAAAATAATTTCAGCTACTGAGATTATTCGAAAGAGACAGCCAAAAAAAACTAGTTTTTAGTACAAATAATTTTCAAATTATCTTATGAACATGGAAAAAGTGGTTAAGTGTATATATATGTTTTTCAGATCGAGGGTACCGCAGCATCTTCGGAGGAGGTGCAGCAACAGCTGACCTTGAACAACATCAACCACGACAAGGTCATTGAGATAACGATGATAACCTTCGCTAAGGTCAGTACACTACAATATACAAGTCGGGAATAAATATTATTTATGTTTACAAGAGGGAGCTAATTTTAAAAAAATAATTTCTAATTTCTATAGAAAGTATTTAATTCGACAAAATTTTTACCAAGCTACCATTAATAAAAAGGTTCTTAAAAAAATGCTTTAATCAAAAAGCCATTGCTTTGAGGCAGTTTCCTTATCACCTGGTCAGCATCTGATTGTATAGTTGTAAAGAAATCAAATGAAAAACATAAAGATAAAATTTATGTAATATGCGAGAAAATCCTCGGAAATAACTAGTTTTAAATATATTTCAATTCGAGTAATTCTCGAAAGCTTTTAAGAGTTTTTAATTAATATTATTATTAATTAATTTCATCAGGATACAACAAACATAGTTCCTAATTCATCCCGCGCTCTCGGTCTATTAAATGATGTGCCGAGGACACGCGTGGTTTGGGAGAGGCCTACGCAATACTATGGTGAAATATTATTATATTATATACATACTAGCTGCTCCCCGCGGTGTTAACCGCAGATTTCTGGGATGTAAAGTAGCCTATATGTTATTCCTGGACGTCAGCTTCCTGTATACAACATTTTATTAAAATTGGTTCAGCCGTTTGAGCGTAAAGAAGTAACAAACATGCATACTCACTCACAAACTTTCGCAATTATAATATTAATAAACATATATTAATTCGTCTGTTCATAAAGTCTCAAAAAAGCTATAACCATTATTAGAATATATTTAAACACATAATTTTAATGTCGAATTACTGTTTTTCCTTATTAACTATTAAGTATATAAACAGCAGTATATATAAATTGAAAATATATATGTTGTAATTTTTATTCGTAAGTACTAGTAATTAGTTTTAACTTAATATTTTTTTTAATAGATGTTTTCCAACCCCGTCGCGGCCGGGGTATAGCTAAGACCCCAAGACGACCGAAAATATTGAGAGGGGAAGATTTACCCCATGATGAAAATTACCCCTTGGATAATGATAACACGGAAACGGTTTGACATATTACTAAATCAATTCTATATAAATACTAGAAGACCCGGCAAACTTCGTATCGCTATATAATCAAGAAATGTCTGTTACGTTTTTTGATTTATATTATTAGAGTTTACCTATTAAAGCCATAAATCTCCGTGTTTTGAAGTGCGACAGAATGATTGACATATTACAGTTAGTTGTCAAACCTAATGTCAAAAAAAAAAAGTTTGTATCAACAACTACTAATAAATTAAAAATTAACTAAAAAACCATTGTCCAGCAAGCAAAATTGTGAATCTAAACCATTCCCAGATCCCCTTGAACACACACAAAAAATTTCATCAAAATCGGTCATGTCGTTTGAGAGAAATTCAGTGACATACACACTCACAGAAGAATTATATATATAAAGATAAGCAATATATTTATATTCAAATTACATATTTCTATTTTAGGACCCAGAGAAGATTCAAGATAATATGTATCCTGTGACTTTGAATGTGGATGGAGAGGTGAATTGTTAAATTTATTTAAAAAACTTAGTTTAAACTTGACAAATCTTCATAGAGCATATTTATATGAACTATTAGATTTTGCCCGCGACTTCGTCTGCTTTAGTATCAATATTAGAATTATATCTGACTTAGCATCCTCTATTCCTCAGTAGAGGCAGTAAATAAGAAGATTTTGGATTTTATCAATTTATTATTCTTTTTCAATCTTATGTAAAGTATCCTATGTCTTTTCTATGTTCTAATCTATCTCTCTACCAATCTTCATCCAAACTCGTACAGCCGTTAGAGTTATAAATAGTGTAACTAACACCACTTTCTTTTATATGTAAATATAAGTTGACTGGTAGGCAGATTAATTTTTTATACTATGTGCCATTCACAAGCCTATTAATTATTAAGGTAGGAAAAATATAAACTAGTCAAAAATATTGTCTGTATTTCCCTATGTAATAAATAGAATAGTAATTTTCAATGTTCTTTACTTATTTCAGTTTCAAAACCTATCAACATTGAATGTCCAACTTTTGTTACAAGATGGCGCTTTAGTGAACGGCAATCAAATGGTCGAATTACAATTAAACGATGAGATGCTTCTGGAATAGTATATAAGAACTATATAGAGTTTAATGAAGTAATATTAAATGAAGTGTATTTGATTTAAGTTTAAAATAAATGTATTTTGTTTTTTATTTTTTATACACAATAAAATGAATAACCTGTCTCTTTATTTGTATACTAATATAAAATAAAACCGCTACAAAATTGTAAGGAGAAGAAGAAATTAGGATTAAATAAATTTATATCAAAAGGCAATACATTCTGGGAAACTTTGATTGAATACATATTGTTAAGTCTTAGGCCTCGGCCTCGAATTTTGCGGGCAGCGGAGCGGGAGCGGGAGCGGCAGGATCTTACGCGTATAATCAAATGGACCGACCCTCGAATACAGCGGTGCCCGCTGCCCGCTATTTTGGAGAAATGTATGCGTTTTCGTGCCGCCGCCGCTGCCGCTCCGCTGCCCGCAAAATTCGAGGCCGAGGCCTTAGTACACATCAAATATAAGTTTTGGCGGCAAAATATAGTCAAACTTAATAGGGAGGAGTGACGTCACAAACCGTGTGACGTAATCGATACTGATTGGCTGGCTGGCTGTCAGATATGTGCTTGGTTGTCATGTGACACTTCCTAGCATTTGTATTTAAAGTTGCGATGCAGAATATTATATGATATTGCTTTATTATAGAATAACTAATAGGGATGAAACTTTTCAATCATCAAGTTTAATTAATCATTACTTATCTCTACATAAATAAAAATTTGTACAATATAATAAATACGTATATTTTCTGTATATATATTCAGGAAAATTGAGCATAAAAAGTTACATTCATTAGCCTCTCAGTTACACAACACAATTTTTTATTTATTAAATGTAGATACAGGCAAAATCTCAAAGATGTCGTAGTGTTGCCATATAATGTTAATAAACTCCAATATTATTCAACATGTGCGTCAATATCATCTGATGCACGTCCCTGAACACCGTTCTCACATTATCCGTGTCAGTAGCTGTTGTGAAATGAAAATAACATTCTCTGGGTCGAGATGTCTCAACTATGACGAATTTTTCAGCTGTGGCCGTATACCTGCGACGTTCGCGTTTTTTTGTTGTTAAATCCTGTAAAAAAATACATAACTGTTTGAATTATTGGTATATAAAGATTTATTTGTTGTTTTTTCTTGCCTCCTTTTTTGATTTAAGCTTGTAAGTATTTTATATGGATTTAGGCATTTAATGAAAAGTTTATACATATATTTTTCTCTTACATCAGATTTACTTTATAAAAAAAAAGCATAATGGACTAGAGCAGCTTGTTTTTTCTCAATTAATTTTTCTTTATTACTGACTAGCTATTATCCGAATAGAGAAATAACTATAATGATAAAAAATGATTCAAGATTCCAAAAGTTTAGCCTCGATAGTTTTATACACAAAATCTTAGCTAAAACGCCTTAAATATTATTTAAAAGTTACTCACGACAAATAAACTCCTAATGAACATCTTAGTCTTTGTATATTCATCACCTTGGCTCTCAAACTGACGGTACTCTGGAAAGTACGGAGCTATACTGCGTCCCTGACAGATCTTATTCTCCAAAATATCTTGCTTGTTAAGGAATACTATAAGACCTGCTTCTATTAAAAATCTGAAAGAAAATAACTAATATACTTATTTGTATATGTTATTTTGTACAATTTTAACACCTGAAATGGGAAATTATTTTGTATAGATTTATAAGATAGTCATTTAAATAAATAACGCTTCTATTGAATATCTGTTCTCACTTAAAAGCATAGATAGGCCGTAAAAGATTTAATAAAATTTGTAATTAATTACCTTGTTGTCTATAAATCATAGAACAATATAATTCGAATGTAAAGTTTGAGGCGTAGTATTACCTACCGACTTTGCCACACATCTTCGAAAAGCACCAGTGCTTCCTTCAATCTGTTCTGAGTGTGATCCTCCCGAAGAGTTTGGTCGAAGTCACTACACGCCACCACGAACCATATGGCGTGGATACCTTCAAATACCTGCGTAAAATATGAAATAATTTTTCATATCTAATACTTACATTACTTTAAAAAAGCTATATATCATTTCAGAATGTCTATTAATCGATTTTTAAAACACACGCTTTTTGTGAAAGCTTTTAGCGAGTCATTTATCTGTATATGAGTGACAAGGATGAGAAGCAAAGGCATAATATTAAGTTAAATTAGATATTAAACCCGTTTACTAATGGTGAATGTATATAGGTATGTAGTTTGTAAAATGGTGTTAAAGTACCTGTATCCATTTTTTCCTTTCCCCTCTCTGACCTCCAACGTCAAACATCCAAAACTCTTGTATACCACCGTGCATTGATTTGGGTACCTTAAATATGATTATTTATATAAAATAGTGTATAAATATATTATTAATTTGTTATTAAACTTGAACATACTTTAACTTTAAATTCAATCTTCTGTATTCCAGTTGTTTTTTGTCTACATCGAAGTATATCAGCATCGGTGGGTAAATAATCGCTCTTTGCTAATAAATCGATTCTGTCCAGGAAACTGTAAAATTAAAAAAAGCGCCATTTATTGTCAATACCATAATGAGTTTGTTCTTTTCGAGCGACATCTAGTGTTATTGATAATTGATTTCAAAATAATCTTTTCGATAAATAAATATCTAATTATTTTATATTTACAAAAATATTTGTTATATGTAAATATTTTTCAAATACTGTTTTCTATGAAATGAAATCGAAATTTGGAATTTCCATACAGGAAATAATCTAAGGTATTAAACACAATCTACGAATACAGATGATCTTTTTGATATGAATAAAGATATACAACATAATATTTTTTTTATATTTAATATTATTGTTATATTACATGATAAGTTGTATGATTGTTGTGTGCGTCTGATTTAAAAAATAAAAAAAAAAAAATAAAAAAATAAAAAATAAAAATCTTTTATTCTCAAGCAACATAGGCTCATAGTTGGTTAGTACATATAATTACTTAGAAAACTATGTTAGTAAAATATATATATATAATAAAAAAATAAAAAAAAAAACAATGAATACATACCTACCACATTATTTAAGCATTATATTGTTTTGATTGTAGCAAGTCTAAAAAAAATGTTTAGAATGTTGGAAATACAGCGTCAGTTTAATAAAGAGGCGAGCGATTATTAAAGACATCGAATTTGTTTAGGATTATTTCAATACAAAATATGAAACGAATCCTCTCATCATTCAATGTATTCACCGTGCGGGTGTCGAGTCCATTGTTGTAGTGAGAGGAGCTTCAACAGTGACTGGGACTCGTGACCCAGGTGTAGGTTAAGGGATTCCTTTCTAACGCGCGTTAAACGCTCACCTCACCGTACAGGCTCCTCTCTCTACCAAATTTGAAACGAACCTACTTGGTCTGCTTTCGAAGTACATTCCAAGAATAAATTGATGTGAGTTCTGAACATGCCCAAGTCTTTTAGTAGGTTGTAACTTGTTACATTATAGAAAGTGATTTAGTGATATTTTTAATTACAATAAAACACTCACTACTCCGCACTGTCCAGGAGTTGGTATTCGTTTGATCTCCTGAAGCATTCTCTCACTCCACTATCCTTCCATAGGTTTCTGACGTGGTCGAAATAGTCCTGAAGATTTAAGGATATACATGTATAGTTCTATCAAGACTTATCTTAAGATATATCTTCAGTTCAAAAGTACAATACAAAAATATTATTACATTTTACTCTTATAAAGTCTATACATTCGAAGTGCATATATTTTTATTTTTTAAGAAATAACCACCATATGAAAACGTAATTTACTACAATTTCTAATAGTTATTACCTTCAATGCATTAAAGGCATGGACTTTTAAGAAACCATACAGTTATATTAAAATAGACGAATATAGAATAAAATAACTTTTCAAAATGGTCAGATCTAAGATTTTCGCGAGTATTCATTTAAATGAAACTAATATTTTTCGGATGTATTACTCGATTTTTATTTTTGATAAAAAATTACATACTCCGGAAGTTTCGGCTACTTTAAAACAAACGTGTAGACTGTAGTACATCCAAATAATATTAGTTTTATTTAAAAAAGGATATTAGTGCATTCAATAATTCTCTAAAACAATATACAATACATTAATTTGTTCATTTTTTCTACCTCATTATATTCCAACGGTCCATCGGGTCCTATTTTAAGTATATACTGTTGTGATTGTACATTTTTCGGATCCTGAAGCGCTATACTCAGCGTTGCCATGTTCCTAACTATATCATAGATCGACTCGTGTGTATTATGCCTTATGTGTTCAGCTTTCTCTTTACGTTCGCTGAAAAACATTTTAAATGTATTAATCTTTTACTTAAAATAGTTATTTTTCATTTATTATTAATTCATTAACACGACTCATAATTCCAGTTACTACTAAATTAAAATTACTTTCAAGCGTTTAGTGCCAACTTTCTTCTTATAATTTAATTATCATATTTGGTACTTTTAAGCTTAATATTTGCCTTATACTCGTATAATAAGTACTTATATTAATTATTAATTCATACTTATAGTACTCACCTAGCCGTGAAGCCTTGAACGTGTAAAATCTTCATTTGTTTAATTATAGTTGTCTTACCGCTCTCACCCGTCCCTAGGAGTAATAACTTTATGGCCTGGAAATAAAACATATATAAGAGTTATTTATTTATAACTTCATTAGAATTTTACTCTGAATTAAAGAGAAGGTAAGGTAATCAGTTTCTAAACGATATCCATATTATCAAAAGTAACGCGAAATTGAGTCTGTATGCTAATTTGTATCATCGTATTATATCTTCTTCCTCTATCTGACAATTTCCCAGCTTTAGCCAGGGTCTGCCTCACATGTAAATAGTTTTGGCTAATTGTTTTTACGACCGGCCGCCTGCCTGACATCAATCCTCTTTGAAAAAAAAATCGTTTTGTACAATACAAATTGCAAACTTTGTTTCTTTTTATAAACGAGGAGTGAACCAAAAGTATGATATTTGTAGTATATATGATATTTGTAGAACAAGTCAAAAGATTTTAAAAAATAATTTTGCTCTCTCCTAATCTAACTCGTGTATTGTGTGTAAAAAATATAAATATGCCACGACCACTTAGAAGTATGTTTATTTGATTAGTAGCTATAGGAGAGTAAACGTCAAAAAGGACAAAATATTAATTACAGACGACGAATAAATAGAAAAGTAAGATTCATAAAACATTTGAAAAAGTAATTTTTTTAATGTCTACAAAGATGTTTTAATCATCATGACTTTTAGACCACCTTTAATCTATACAAATAAATAAAACTAGAGTGTCTGTTTGTAATATAGAAATAACCGTTTTTTACTACATGCATATTAATAGATATGTATACGGGACACACACCAAAATATTTTTTTTTTTTACAATTTTTGTCTATATGTTGGTTCCGGCTTGTCTCCAAAACGGCTGATTTTTAAGGTACTTTTACTAATATGTCTGTTATAAGGAATAACTTAGGCTACTTTTTATCTCAATACCGAAATTAAGTGTTATCACGCACTAATGGGATTCAGGAACCACGCGGCGTTTAAAAGGTCTTCATTGTTAATTTTTTTACGCAGACGAAGTCGCGGGTAACAGCTAGTATAACCTAATACTTTCTACGTACTTTAATTTAAGAGATTATTTTTTGATATATGACATTAGTTAAACTCACGTCATTATAAGATTTGATCCAATGTTTAATCTCTCTGTCGATTTGTCTTGAATTATATTCATCTTCATTGTAAGTTTTCACGCAAGGCAGGATACCCATTTTGGAATCTGGAAACATATCATATAATTAATAAAAAACAAATAAAAGATTTATTTATTGAAGAGTCATTCATTTAAATTGTTTTTAAAAAGGAATATTTGAATTTATATATTTTGTTTTTTAAAGTATTACGAAGTTTTTAAGTTTCGACACCATTAAAAATGATGATTATATTAAATCATTTAATACTAATGGTAATTCACATTATTAATTTGGTGGAAATATTGAGTTTGAGGAAATATTTTTGCGAATACTCATTTAAATGAAACTAATATTTCGAAATTACTACGCGATTTTTTATTTTTGATTATAAACTACATACTCCCGACGTTTCGGTTATTTTAATATTGAGTTGTTTGTTATGATTTTATGCCGCCAAATCTTGCGAAGCTAATAAAAAAGATTGACAGAAATACCTATCAGCATGGAAAGTTAAAAACTATGAACCAAGTATATAGCAATGTAATCATTAAGTAAATGTTCGTAAATCAATTATTATATCTACATTCATATTTATAAGATTTTTTTACCAAGTGTTTTGGCAGCTTAAGATAATTTTTTATCAAAACAAATCCAGACTATAAAGTTTTTCAAAAAATTCATATATTTATATATACATATAATAATATTGCATAAAATGGTTACATTCAAACGTATGGAAGCAATTTCATTATATTTTAAATACTTCATATATGTGAATTGAAATTTTAACGAAAATATAAAATGTATATACATATATGTATTATATGTATGTAAACTCAATTTTATATTTTATTTGTTAATTTACAAACACACCATTTGGTTTACATTTCAATATTAAAACATAACATATGCATTTATCATTATGATATTTCTTATTTATTACAAAGTAATAAAAATGTGTGTTGAAAGTTATCTTTAGGAATTTTTATATTTTTTGTACGTTTTTTAATATAATTGTAGTAATTAGAATAATATTAAAGCATAGTTACAGTAGAATTTTGTTTTTAATATAAAAGAAAACATCAAGTTTGCGATATAATTGATTAATTATCTTTCCTCTTTGATATTTTTAAATCAAACAGATTATATGTAATAACCAATTAGTCTCTGAGCTAGCTAACGTTTAACATAACTTCAAATTACCCACATTAATTTAACGAAAGTTTTGAATCGTATTAAAATTATTAAAAAAAGTTTTAAATATATTATAACATTACAATGATTTAAAATATAAAGCATCTATATAATATTTTAAAATAAAATTGATAACAAAACTTTCCAATATGTTTTTCTTTAAAACACGATATGAAGCACAGTTTAGCAATACACAAACGAACACTTATGCAAATACTTTTGGCACATTCTGTTATACACACACATTTATGCATCTGTCAGAAAATAGACAAATACACGTAACTAAAGAGATCTAAAGCAAAAAGGTTATATATTTGCACAATCAGCCACTAAAATTCATTTGATAAATTAAATATATATTTATATGAATTAACAAAAAATATGTTACCGTATCCGGCTGGGATGGTCAAATCTCAGCGACTGACTGCTTCGTATTTTAATCAACGATAAGTTATCAAAACTGATTACGATTTATAAGTATACATTAAATTATTGCAATTCACTGATAAGGCAACCGAAATTATTTTACGATGATTACTAGTGCAGACCCGCCCTTATTATCAATTTGAATGACTTATTATTTTATTTTCATTATATCTATATACCATTACATTGGAAAACTTCGTATTTACGAAATTTAAATATCAAACCTTTTGCATGTTTATACTTACGTGTTTATTGCCGCTATGTTCCAAATATAGACACATTAATAACTTCTTGGTACTTTATCTGTTATATGGGATATTTAATCAACAACAATTTATTTAGAAATCTTCATAACATAAAAATAACAATATGTGGGTAGACACAAATATGTTTACTTAAAGAAATATAATGTACCGTCTACTTTGTTACTTTTATGCTACATTAATCTATAAAACATTGTGCAAGACGATACAATCTGTTAGTGTTGTATTACAAGTGAATTTCAAGATGACTGGTCGAGGAAAAGGAGGGAAAGGACTGGGTAAAGGAGGCGCGAAGAGACACAGGAAAGTATTGAGAGACAACATCCAAGGGATAACGAAGCCGGCGATCAGGAGACTGGCTCGGAGAGGAGGAGTCAAGAGGATATCAGGCTTGATCTACGAGGAGACGAGAGGAGTGCTGAAGATATTCCTGGAGAACGTGATCAGGGACGCTGTGACGTACACGGAGCACGCCAAGAGGAAGACTGTCACCGCCATGGACGTGGTGTACGCGCTCAAGAGACAGGGACGAACGTTGTACGGCTTCGGAGGATGAAGGAGGAGTAGGGAGTTAGGTGTAATAGAGATAATATATTGAACAAGCATTAATATTTAAAACATCGCAAAGACAAGGTCCTTCTGAGGACCGCTACATTAATGTTTCAACAAAACGTCAAAATATATTAAAATTAAATTGTACGCGCTGAAGAGACAGGGTCGGTATTGTACGGCTTCGGAGGATGAAGGAGTCATTAAGTTACGCCTAAAATAGTCTTTCTGAAGCTCTGATATTTAAAAGGTACGATAAAGAAAGATTAACTTATAACATAATGCACAAAATATTGAATGTAAAATGAAATAAAATTGTATAGATTATTAAAGTTGAATTAAATTCAGATTTAAATTACATATTGTGGTTTTATTAAAGGTTTTTCTTTATATATCAAAGAATATAGATTTTGATTATCTATATGAATTATTTTTAAATATTTTTTTACTTCTATTCATATTAAATAAAATAGGATAATTAAATTTGTGATATCGAAAATTCATTATAATAGTCGAGCATCAAAACCCAAACAATTTTTAGCATGTTGTCAGTTTGTTTAGACTGTTCTCAAATATAGTAAAACGGATTTTGATAGAATTTTAATTAAAATAAGCTAAGTTTGTGGTGGTAGAGCCTAGCTGTAGTCAATTTACTACAGCTCGAACATGGGCTGGCTCGACCGGGGAAGTACCACCCTCTCACAGAAAATCGGCGTAAAGTAGTCTTTAAAGGCTGCGTTTCGTCCGATGAGTGAGAGAGCCGGTTGCCCTTTCCCTTTTCCCAACCTCTACTTTCCCTCCCTTTCCCACCTTTTCCCCAATCAAGGGCGGCAACACATCCGCAAATCTGCGTTGCGGATGTCCATGGGCGACGGTAACTACCTATCATCAAGTAGGCCGTCTGCTCAGTTGCCCCCTTTTCCCGTAAAAAAAAAAAAAAAAAAAAAGTTAATGAAAGATTATATTTTTCTAAGAAATGTTGAGGGGGTTAAATGTATGTATTTAGTCCTAACATGAATTTTGTGCTCACATTTGTATAAAGCATTTCTATTGGTCAACTCAATAATACTCTCGTTCAACAGTGTTTAGTTGCAAGACTTAAATGAATGTATATTGTCTATAATTATTACTAAACATCATACTTAATTATATTTACTCAAAATGTCTTCCAAAAAGAAGAGCAAGTCTCGTTCATCTCGCGCCGGCCTCCACTTCCCCGTGGGAAGAATCCACAAGATCCTAAGGAAAGGGAACTACGCGCCCAGGATCGGGGCAGGAGCGCCTGTGTACTTGGCAGCGGCCCTGGAATACTTATCAGCTGAAATACTGGAGCTGGCGACGGAAGTGGCCAAGGAGAACAACAAGACGAGAGTCATCCCCCGGCACATACTGTTCGCCATCAGGAACGACGAGGAGCTCAACAGAATGCTGTCCGGAGTGACCATCTCTCAGGGCGGAGTGCTGCCCGCGATACACGCGCAGCTGCTGCCCAAGAAGACGGCCAAGAACACGCAGCCCTCGCAGGCACAGTCATCACAGTCATCGCAATCTTATTAACATGTATTTATCATATTTAAACTAAAAGACAAAGTCCTTTTAGGGCCGCATCTGCGATTTCATTACTCTAGCTACAAAACTTGTTACTATTTACTATACTCTATTTAATTGTTCATTTTCTGTTATTTATCAATTTTTAATATTTGAGAGTTTAAATAAATGTTATACTTTAATACAAAATATGTTTTATTTCACAATAAAATTAGTTTAACACAATGTGTCTTAAACGAAATATAATTTTTTTGTATGAAATATAAAAAATTATACCAATTTGTATTTATTTAGTACCTATCTACATTCAAGAATTTTATCTTGGTAATACTACAGTTGCATAGTTTTTATTGCATCATATGATCAACGTGTAGATTATTACAATATTGGACAATATCACTATTGGACTAATGTCCCACGGACAGAATCTTGAAAAAACTTTAAATTTTACTTCATTTTAACGAGAAAAACACATAAAAATATGTTTTTATTTGTGAGCTTGTTTGTCCTGGAAAACTTCTTGAAAGCCTAAGGGAATTTAATAAAAATTAAAACCTTATTTGGGTGATAAAGAAGTTTTAAGCTAAAGTTTTTCAGTTGACAATAACTTTAATCCAATAATCCAAAACTTGTGTTTCTTTTAGAAAAGAATTTTTCATGAAAATAAATGTTTTTTGCAATAAATTATATAAGCTAAAAAGATGTATAAATATAAAAAATACAAATTGAATGATTGACATCATTTTAAAGGTGCAGAACTTCGCAATAAACAACCCATAGATATAAAAAATGTAAACTCATTTAACGTATTTAAAAAAGAATTTGCTGAGTATATTTTAAATAATAAATAATTAAAACTAATACAATACGTTGAATTAGTAATTAATATAGGAAAAAATGTCTCTTATTTTATTTAATCTTTGTTACAAGTGTGATGTCGAACTGTATATTCATAAATGTTTTTGTTGTAAGTGTAATTCTCATATAAGTGATAATAATGTCTTAATGGGAATAAATATTTTAAACCATAACTCAGTTATTTCGAAAATAACAAAAAGCAATGAATATTAAAACAGGTTATAGAAAAGAAATAAAAAGGCTTGAATACTTTCTTTTTCGAGATACAATTATAAGGATACATATATAATATATGTATATATCTACAATTATAAACAACAAATAACTGATTTTTTCAATCAAATTAAATCATTAAATTATATCATTAACTCATTTCTTTGTTAAGTTTCAAAGCATTTCTTTATTTGAAATGTTCAGTCATTTTTATTACTTAAAACCTGTCTTTGAAAACTAAATCCATATATAAATACGAGATAGGTATATATGAGTCATATTTAAAAAAATAATTAAACCAACGACATTTAATTTTAAATGAAACCCTTCATTTTTAATACTTACAATTATTCTTTTAGTTATTTGTTTTAATAATGCTTTTAAATTAAACATAACGTTCAATTTAATTTTTATGTATTAATGTATATGACGTCTTGTTGAAACATTAATGTAGCGGTCCTCAAAAGGACCTTGTCTTAGCGATGTTTTAAATATTAATGCTTGTTCAATATATTAATCTCTATTACAACTAACTCCTTACTCCTTCATCCTCCGAAGCCGTACAACGTTCGTCCCTGTCTCTTGAGCGCGTACACCACATCCATGGCGGTGACAGTCTTCCTCTTGGCGTGCTCCGTGTACGTCACAGCGTCCCTGATCACGTTCTCCAGGAATATCTTCAGCACTCCTCTCGTCTCCTCGTAGATCAAGCCTGATATCCTCTTGACTCCTCCTCTCCGAGCCAGTCTCCTGATCGCCGGCTTCGTTATCCCTTGGATGTTGTCTCTCAATACTTTCCTGTGTCTCTTCGCGCCTCCTTTACCCAGTCCTTTCCCTCCTTTTCCTCGACCAGTCATCTTGAAACTCTTGTAATACAACACTAACAGAATGTATCGCTTGCACTGTGTTTTATACATTTATGGAGCAGAAAAGTAACAAAGTAGACGGTATACATATTTAATTTTCTTTACGTAAGTAAAACAATTTGAGTCTACCCATATTATTTTTATGTTATGAAGATTTTAGAAAACTTCAATAAGATTTTAAAAAATATTTAAGCGTTAGTGGTATTATGGAATTTTACGTATAATTTATGATTATGTTATATTATTTTTGTAATATAAATTTAATTCCTTATTTTATTTTGTTTCGTTCAAATAGAGTATATTAAATTTTAGAAACGTATATATAATACTATCGATTGTCCATTTAATATACTATCACCAAATTAACCAGAGTATTTTCCCAATAATAAAATAAGATTTCTAAATTACTTCTGTCTGTCTGTCTGTGTGTTTATCTTCAAAACTATTATAAAATAATTGTTTGAAAACTGGTTTTGTAGCTAAGATAGTTTTTTCATGATCTATTAAACTTGTAACTCATCCAACCTGTGCTTTAGAATTTGATTAAAGAAATATGTGAGTTTTAACAAGTGAATATTGAATTAACTCGTATGAACTACTCTTCTTAAGATAGATTTGTATATATTTTTATTAACAAGAATCAATTATTATGTAATAAAACGAATTGTAATGTGTGTAAATACATAAACAAAATTATATTTCAACTTTATTTCAAAGTAAAAAGGTTTCGTACACACTTTAGACTAGATTATGAAGTATATATATCGATTTAGTTTCGAAAATTAAGTCTTATACTTAATTTATCCTTATCTCTTTACAAATAATTTTATCTTTTTTTTTTCTTTATTTTGCGAGCATACATATACTATATATTATATATATATTATATATATATATACTATATATATAATATACTATATATATATTATATATATATTAGGATATTATAAGTTCATTTATGTTTTAATTAAATATTAAAATAACTTCGCCCTATAGGTATGTGCCAGGATAAGTTATCGCAACGAAGCAAGCATAGTGAATAGTGATATCTGTTTATTTTCTTTGTACTATGAGTATGTAGTATCATACGTCTTTTTGGTGTGCACAATAAGACTATTTTAGAGAACCAAGAATAACTAAAAATATTACTTAAATATCTTGACCATTTAATACAAGTCATATTTATTATAAACAAAAATATAAGGAATTTCTCTGAAACAATAATAATAATATCTAAGATTCGCGTGTATTCATTTCAAAAGAACATTTTTTTTCTGGTTATTCGCATTTTTTATTATTTTATAAATAATTAATCCCGGCGTTTCGGTTTCTTTACAGCAATCTTCTGTAATTTCATGCTGCATATTGCTGCAAAGGAACTGAAATGACGGGATTGTATAGTTATAAAATAATAAATAAAACATTTCCTCGAAACTAAAATGAATACACTAATTAATTACAATGATGTTCTTATGAGAACATAATTAGGGAGGGGATACGTGGTGTGTATGATCGGGTTTAATATAAATATGACAAGCATGCAGCAGCCACTATACAACATCAAGATGGCTCGCACCAAGCAAACCGCTAGGAAGTCGACCGGGGGCAAAGCACCACGAAAACAACTGGCGACCAAAGCCGCGAGGAAGAGCGCCCCCGCGACCGGCGGAGTGAAGAAGCCCCACAGATACAGGCCCGGGACCGTAGCCCTGAGAGAGATAAGGAGGTACCAGAAGAGCACCGAGCTGCTCATCAGGAAGCTGCCCTTCCAGCGGCTGGTGCGGGAGATAGCACAGGACTTCAAGACGGACCTGAGGTTCCAGAGCTCGGCGGTGATGGCGCTGCAGGAGGCCAGCGAGGCGTACCTCGTGGGGCTGTTCGAGGACACCAACCTGTGCGCCATCCACGCCAAGAGGGTCACCATCATGCCCAAGGACATCCAGCTGGCCCGGAGAGTGCGCGGAGAGAGAGCTTAACGACCAACTACGAGTAGCTGCTCGCATACATTGTATTGACAAAGCCCTTATCAGGGCTGCATCTGACTGTTTCTACACTGGAACCGGCGCTTGAATGGGACTTGGACGTGAGTTCAGGTCACTTAATGATCGCTTTATATTTGATTGTTAATGTTAAAGATACATTAAAGACGTCTCAGATGAAACAACAACGTGCAGTCCTGACAAGGACTTTGTCGATCAGGTCATTTGTGCGACCTTCATCAATAAATATTAAATAAATAAATAAATAATAACATTAAGTTACTGTGACTGTGACTGTGATGACTGTGCCTGCGAGGGCTGCGTGTTCTTGGCCGTCTTCTTGGGCAGCAGCTGCGCGTGTATGGCGGGCAGCACTCCGCCCTGAGAGATGGTCACTCCGGACAGCATTCTGTTCAGCTCCTCGTCGTTCCTGATGGCGAACAGTATGTGCCGGGGGATGACTCTCGTCTTGTTGTTCTCCTTGGCCACTTCCGTCGCCAGCTCCAGTATTTCAGCTGATAAGTATTCCAGGGCCGCTGCCAAGTACACAGGCGCTCCTGCCCCGATCCTGGGCGCGTAGTTCCCTTTCCTCAGGATCTTGTGGATTCTTCCCACGGGGAAGTGGAGGCCGGCGCGGGATGAACGAGACTTGCTCTTCTTTTTGGAAGACATTCTGAATATTCGTAAGACACACAAGCAGTCATGCTATTACATCGTTTTAATATACACGCAATATAGTTATTTGGAACGAGCAAAAATAGATCTTGAAAACCAATCGGAAAGCAGAGCGCTGTTATTTCTTTGTTTCGTTAAAAACACTCGTTCTTTATCCAAGATTCGTTTCATTTATTACTTTAACTTAAATAAACTTCACATAAATAGTAAAATATATAATATAAAATAACAATCAAAGCAAATTTAAATCAAAGCAAATGTTATATCTTAACTTTAAGCCGAAAAACATCAAATATTATTTATGACTACAAGATAAATGAATCTATTTTAAATAGAGTTAACCAAATAAAAGATTTAGGTATAACTGTTGAGTGAGTTGAGGTCTAAAATGAGCTTTATTCCCCATGTAGACGAATTGACCAGTAAAACACTTAAAATATGTATTAGGATTCATAAAAAGAAGTACAAAAGCATTTAAAAGATCAGATTCTATAATAACATTATTTAATTCGTTTATAAGAAGAAAATTAGAATATTGTTCTGTAGCATGGAGTCTTTTTTATCAAGCTCATATAGACAGAATAGAGAAAATTCAAAAAAAAATGATAAAATTTGTAAAATTCAAAGATAGAAACACGATTAGGCTTAATAATTATGATACTTTATTAAAAAATTACAATATGATAACGCTTAAAAATCGTAGAGATATGCTTGACTTATGCTTTTTACACAAAATAATATCAGGTAAAATTGATTGTCCTCAATTACTAAAAGAATTTAATATAGTAGTACCGAGACCTAACGCGAGGCATACAAATACATCAACTTTCAAATGTCGGTTTGCAAGGACAAATTTAGGAATAAAGGCACCTTTAAATAGGGCCTTTAGAAGTTATAATAATATTTCTAAAAAAGTGGGTATTGATATATATAACGATAGTCTAAAATCCTATAAAACAAAAATAAAAAATAACTTTAAACATTTAATGTAATATACTTATTGTAAATAATATCTGCGGAATAGTCCATATACCTCTTACAAATTAGTTCTACTTTATTTTATATTATTTATTATTTAATACGTTGCTTTATTATATATATATATATATATATATTTGTGAATGCATGCTGAGTTAGCCTTTAATTGTAGTGTACCTTGTAAGATCATTGTACATTATGTTGGCTTCCTAATAAAATAAATAAATAACAATAATTTATTAATTTGCCCGACCGGTTGTTTTATATTTCAGTTCTTCAATCATGTTAGAATATAATTAAGATAATGACATTAATATAATAATATATTTAGCGTACATAATTTTTACAATTATTTTGTTAATGGATGCCGTGAGTAGGTTATATGAATAAGGGTCTAAATATTTTCTTTTAATGAGATCTGAGACTTATATTTTTTTAACAACATTCCTATCGTTTAGATTACTTTGCTACAACAGTGATTACGGACACACGAGATGTGTTTTTGTGTAATGGCAGAGAAGTTTTTACTTTGTTTTTTTGCACCAACTTCTATTGTTTACTTCTATTGATTTATTTATAGTATTAAAGGGAAGATGGTTTTAATAACCAAACGTTTTGTTCGACCTTAACTATAAAATTAAAATGTATATTTTATATGCATTTTTCGAAGACAGATAATGCCTTAAATTTTATCGAGATAACAAATCTATTTAATATCTACGATCTAGTGAAGGTTCACATTAAATTTTAATTTTCCTTTTATATTTATTTCATTAAATTAGTTGGATTTTAGTAATGCTTAATATACTAAAATCGTCAGTAATACAATATACACATAATCTAGTAACCGCGGATCAAGATATAATAAGATAATGAACATTATTAAAATTATTAAATAACAAAATTACCAGTAAAAAATAATCAGTACACATTTATGATTGTAATTAAGAACGAATAATTCTTTCACGCCGTCCACGGTCCATTAAATGAGCCTTTCGTCACATACCCACAAATATTTATTAATGGTATTTATATAATAAAAATGAGGCAATGTAAAACTTGATATTTATGCGAGTACGTAGGTACGCATAATTTTTTAACTTAGAAAATATATAAATATATTGTTATACATGTTTTAATACTTAATATTATTGTAAATGAATAAAAGCTAACACACTTTACGTACGTAACTAGCATTTATAAAAATTGTAATTTAGCACAAGTATAGTATATACAACGGTACTATTATTTTATAACCCTTTTCAAAGAAAACTTATTTTTTTTGATATTTCAGTTAACAATACAATCCATCTACTGTTACATAAATAGAAATCAATATTTTTAAGTCTACATTACACATATGTGCAGTACAGTTATACATTTGATTATAGATGGGTATATCTTAAACAAAATAGATTGTTTAAATTCAATATAATTATTGTTGAAGGTAGAACTAAATAATATAGTTATTCGAGTTTGCATCGTTACACTATACTGTTTCAAGTGGCAATATCCGTGCCATACTAATTAGAATATACGAATATATTTAGAACTAGCTTTCCGCCCGCAGCTTCGCCCGAGTGGAGTTCGGTTATATCGCGTTTCCAAGAGAACCTTTCAAAAGTCTGGGATAAAAACTATGCTATGTTCTTTCTCAAGGTCGACTGTATGTCTGTACCAAATTTCATTAAAATCAGTTGAGTGATTTAGGCGTGAAAGCATAACAGACAGACAAACAGAGTTACTTTTGCATTTATAATATTAGTAAGGATTATTTTGATGATTCATCATAATTAATTTTAATACTGAATCATTGTAATTTTGTTATGGCAACATTAAGTTATCAATCTGATTTTGATAAACTATAAATACTGGCTTCATCCATTTTATTGGAAGAAATGCTGAACATTTAAAAACAAATCTGAAAATTTATCTCGAACACTAAAATATACGAGGTATTAATATTTCATCATATACTTTATCCTATTATTGTATTAAAGTAGATTATTGAATAAAAACGGGAGATGATACGTATGTAGTAATGCAAACTTGGCCTAAACATATTCTTTATAATAATTAATGCATTAATCGTTACTTAATACTTATATTTCATTGTTTTTAATAACTATTTGACAATTCTCGATTAAGAAACATCAGATTTAGGCCCTTAAAAGGGCCCTGGTCATAAATAAATAATTAAAATGTGTAATTAATGTTATTATATTATTATTTTTTTCTTCTTATTACGATTTCTCATCTCTGTGTGTACTGTTGTGATACATTGTGATAGCTTTCATTCCTTCTATGTTCGCATGCTTAGCCAGCTCCCCCGGGATGAGAAGGCGGATTGCGCTCTGGATCTCCCGACTGCCTAAGGTAGTCTTCTTCCCATGGGCGACCAGCTTGCTGGCTTCCGAAGCAATCTTCTCCAACATATCATTCACAAAGTTATTCATTATCAACATCGAATGTCTTGATATACCGAAGTTCTCCTTCGTGACGCTTCGCAACAGTTTGAACAGATATATTGAGAAACTCTGATAATTCTTCTTCTTCATTTTCTTGCTTTTCGATATGGGCTTGTCTATAAGCTTCTCCATAGATTTAAGTGGTTTCTTCGGTACTTTTGTCGGCGCCATTTCTATTTTTCAATATTCTAAGATCTTCAATCAATTCAATTTTAAGCTGCAATCGTTCGTTTAAGTAAGATTTTATGACGGACTATAAGAAGGTGTTGAACGAGATAATGTTACTTATCCAATCAAATGACTTTTTATGAAGTTCAAATATCAATTAACAATGGTACACTAATTTTATAAGTGGGTACATTTTTCTTCTAAATCTGTGTAAGACAATATGATTTAAATTATATAATTGCTCCTCAAACTAATGTTCTAAGTCATATTTTAGTTTTGAAGTAACTAGATTTATTTAGTTATTTTCGGCAAACTAACACAGATAATTGTTATCTATTTTAATTTAAATAATGAAAACAATTGACTAAGTATGTTTTTTTATTTATGATATATGAAATTTCCTATGCATGTGTATGGTGCAGGAAATAATAAAATTATATTAATTATAATAATAAATAATAAAGATTTTTATTTCAGTGTAAAGTAAGTTACATTACAAAGTGTTAGTACATTGCTTATAACTAGGTTAGGTTATAAAGGTATTCATTATATAATATATTTCTATTTGTTCCTTTACACGAATCCCTTTCGGGTAAAAGCCTCCTCTAATTCCTTCCATTTGTCACTATTTCGGAAAATTGTCAACCAGTTATAAAATTATATTATAAGATAAAAAATAGTTAACCATTTTTTTAACAAAATTATAAAAATAACGTAATATTGCGATTTTATTATCGTAATTTAAACAATTCAAAATCCCTGTTTAATGGAATACTGAATTAATAAACCTTCATGTTGAATAAAAAAAAACACTACGTAGCAATTTAAAACCAAACACCTTCGTTTTTATTTTAAAAAGCTTTCCTATTGGTTAGTCTCAACACCTTTGCTCGTCACGTAACATACTTGTACATTTCTTGAGAAAACTACATATATAACATTAGAGCATCATACTCGGTAACATATACTAAACAAGTCAAATGAAGATGTCTTCCAAAAAGAAGAGCAAGTCTCGTTCATCCCGCGCCGGCCTCCACTTCCCCGTGGGAAGAATCCACAAGATCCTAAGGAAAGGGAACTACGCGCCCAGGATCGGGGCAGGAGCGCCTGTGTACTTGGCAGCGGCCCTGGAATACTTATCAGCTGAAATACTGGAGCTGGCGACGGAAGTGGCCAAGGAGAACAACAAGACGAGAGTCATCCCCCGGCACATACTGTTCGCCATCAGGAACGACGAGGAGCTCAACAGAATGCTGTCCGGAGTGACCATCTCTCAGGGCGGAGTGCTGCCCGCCATACACGCGCAGCTGCTGCCCAAGAAGACGGCCAAGAACACGCAGCCCTCGCAGGCGTAGTCATCACAGTCACAGTCACAGTAACTTAATGTTATTATTTATTTATTTATTTATTTAATATTTATTGATGAAGGTCGCACAAATGACCTGATCGACAAAGTCCTTGTCAGGACTGCACGCTGTTGTTTCATCTGAAACGTCTTTAATTTATCTTTAACATTATCAATCAAATATAAAGCGATCATTAAGTGACCTGAACTCACGTCCAAGTCCCATTCAAGTGCCGGTTCCAGTGTAGAAACAGTCAGATGCAGCCCTGATAAGGGCCTTGTCAATACAATGTATGCGAGCAGCTACTCGTAGTTGGTCGTTAAGCTCTCTCTCCGCGCACTCTCCGGGCCAGCTGGATGTCCTTGGGCATGATGGTGACCCTCTTGGCGTGGATGGCGCACAGGTTGGTGTCCTCGAACAGCCCCACGAGGTACGCCTCGCTGGCCTCCTGCAGCGCCATCACCGCCGAGCTCTGGAACCTCAGGTCCGTCTTGAAGTCCTGTGCTATCTCTCGCACCAGCCGCTGGAAGGGCAGCTTCCTGATGAGCAGCTCGGTGCTCTTCTGGTACCTCCTTATCTCTCTCAGGGCTACGGTCCCGGGCCTGTATCTGTGGGGCTTCTTCACTCCGCCGGTCGCGGGGGCGCTCTTCCTCGCGGCTTTGGTCGCCAGTTGTTTTCGTGGTGCTTTGCCCCCGGTCGACTTCCTAGCGGTTTGCTTGGTGCGAGCCATCTTGATGTTGTGCGGCGACTCGTCACAATATCGTATTTATAAATGTGTTTTAGAATTCATAATCAACATACCCACATGTTGTTTAATTTATTGTAAGTACTTACCTACAATTCTAAAAATTAACTGCCAATGAATATACAAACAAGATTTCAAACATGAATGACGAGTAGCCAGATAACGTTTTCATTATTTCATTTATATTAATGTATTACTTACTTATAACGTTTAATCTATTTCCTCTTTCCAGATATTTAAATATGTATTATAATATTTTTTTTGGTTCATATTTCGTATCTATTATATCCTTACTGACTGTTCTATCTGTACGTTAGATTCAGTTATTTTATTAATAAGAAAATATAAATAGTAATTTATAAATAATAATTTAAGCCATTTTAGGAGAAAAAAAATATCGTGGAACTTCTTAAAGCGATGCAGTTAAATTTCATCACGGAGGAATAATTTTTATGAATGCATTTAAAATTCAATGAATCGAACAGTTCCTGTTTTAACAATAGGTAATTCTTATTTATAACTACATATATATATTTTATTCTCTAAATTCATTTTAAATCTATAATATTGGAAGTTACATAAAAACTTTAAAAAAACCATTAAAAAAATATACTTATACCAACCCAGCATTATTGGCAATTGCAACATAACATCAGTATAGGTATTTGATATGAAAAAGACGGAAACAAGATAAGAATATGTAAGATATAATGTATTGTACGAGGATATTAAAAATATACATATTTATAACACTTACAACGGTCTATAAAGTGACTTACAACTGAACAATATCTTAACAACAAATAGATACGCAACTCCAACGTACATAAAGAGCGTTTAAAATTTATTATCAAAAGGCCACAAACTCGTACTTAATGTAATATTTCATGAAATATATAAAATTACTTTATATAGGAACGAAAATTCAACAATATTATATTAAAGAAATAATTTCTGGTAATATTAATAGGTAACTTCAATATAAGTCCAGGATTATGTATAAGTTTTAAAACTATACTAAAATTAATTAATTTAATACATACCTACTTACGTAACGCAAAAAAAAACAATTTAAGTTTGTAATCAAATCATCGTACAATATATATTTTACCAAATGTATTCTTACTTGCACTTTGTCTACCCAAAAACTAGTTTGAAAGTTTATCTAAATTCGTACCTATATATTTTTATTTTATACTGCTAATATAAAATATAAAGAAATTAAACAAAAGTAGTGTTTAAGTAAATTCTGATCACGACACGAGCATAAATTAACCACTAGGCCACCACTGACTTACACTGACTTGTTATTACTTTATTAATTAGTAACACATTATTATTTATATTAATTGAGTCAGGTGTAGTTGTAAAAATATACTAAAATTATAACATTTTCGATATATTACATATAAAATCTAGATAAAAGTACTTCCATTCAAAAATGTCAATGACGGCGCCCTATAGACGATGGGACAGAAGTGAACAACATTTGCAATAAATTATTCTAACCTATTAATATTATACATTGTAAAGCTTGTTGCTCCTTCACATAAAAACCACTTTACGGATTTTGATAAAACTGTATAAAAATGTAGTTTAGTGATCAGAATAAGATATAGGATATAATTTATAACAAAACCTGTGTAATATGAACAGAATCGAAGTATAACACTTGTGTTTTGTATGAATAATCGTGAGGCAGATTATAAATGTCGCACGTCAGTAAGCAATATATTGTTTTTATAAATTATAAATCCCAATCACAAATACTAAATATTTAAGCACGGAATCGATTTTAACCTAACTTTAATTAATAAATTTAAACAAAATACATCTTCATTCACTTTACGTATTATATTTTGGTTAACATTAATATATTTTTCTTACGACACCATCACCTTTCATGTAAGTTATATTGTATTCAGTATATTTTAATATAAACTGGTGGAACACCAAAGGTTATGAACCCCGGCGAACAGCTGCCAGGCAGATGTCTGTAACGGTTGGTAGCACGTGCCTACAATGAACTCCGACTTGATACGAAACACACAAGACACAGTTTGATGTAACTTGGACGATATACGATAAATGTCACATATTTTTACAAAATTAACAATTTTCATTGATTATTAAAAATATATTACAATATATCTATCATATATATGAGATTTGAATTTTTAGAGGAACGTAAAAAAAATATTTAATTTATACTAATTGTGAACGAGACAAAAATATAAAAGTCTAAATAACTCCGTATTACAACAGCTGTCAGTGAAAGCTCTTTCAAAACCAGTCCAGCCAGAGATAAGCCGGAACAAGTGAAAAAACAGACAATGAATGTGTAAAAAACGTTATTTTTATGTATTGTATACGATACATAACTATCTTATTTTAATTATTTGTAGGTATAGTTTTGTATCTTCTTTTAATTACTTGTAAGTAAAACAGTAGTTTTAATGACAAATATACTTAGAAATATAAAACCATCTCATATATTAATAAATTTAATTGCGTAACTTTGAACCCAATTCCATTATATTACTAGGGACTGAATGTACCCCGGCGCAAACGTTTCCTCCGCTAACTTCCAATTCAATAGTTCAATTCAAATTATAAGAAAACTTTACTTCAAACCTTAACGCCTCAGGAATAAGGCTTGAAATAGTTAAACTCAACATATATTTATGAACACCTTTTTAAAATACCGCTAGTATGAAGTGCAAAGGATTTTATAAGCTATTTATATAGCAGTTTAGTTGAAAATCGTTCGTCGGTTATCTATTGTTTGTTATTCGCATAGCTCGTGCCATGGGGTGCGCACACGCATCCGACCCTAACGTTTCACGTGAACCCTTGCCAGTTGACCGTTGAATGTCGTAGCGAGAGGATCTCAGATAAAACGTCGAGTTGATATTTAATATAATATAATATTTACTCCCGCTTAAATAATGACAAAAATATTTCTTATATTCCTTACTGATTGTGTGTGTACTATAGTTTTGTGTGAATTGTATTAAAGCAAGAAGATAATATTGTGACAAAGTAATAATAATTACAGGACAGGTTCAAGAAAACCATAAGACCCTATCGGTCACGCTTTTAGTCAACCTTTGGATGTCATGCTGTAACGGGTTTCGCCATTATGGAGTCCCCTAAGATAGTGTACAAATATTACTCGAATCCCGCGTTTTGCGCGCAAAGTGAAGTGGTGTTCGCTCAAAAGTCATGTGTCACGAAAATCGTTTCCCCTGACCGCCGCATGCCGCCGTTAGGCGGGAATTCACCTAGAAAGACTTGTGAAAGCAACAGAATAATGCGAACAGATATATCTGACAATCCACTAAGGATTTACGCGAGTGGAAAGAGGGACGAACCTCCCGAATTACCGCCAAAACCACCAAAATATCAGCGACAGTTTCAAAGACAGGCTTCATTAATCTGCAAACCGACTCGTTCAATTGTTAGATGTAGGACTAGAAGCGAGGATTTAGAAATGGCACAATTCAAACAAAGACGCGAAACGAAATATGATAGAAGTGAGATTGACGACAATCTAGAAGACAGGAAACATAGATATGAAGTTATAGATATAGATGATGGAATGGATTACTCTCCGACCAAGAAGAGAATAGTTGAGGCAGACGAAAGTGAGATAGAAGAATATAATGTAGATGCTCCCGATGAGAACGAATTAAAGGAAATACCTACGGAAATCGTCAAAACTGTGAACGGAAAAACACTGAGATACGCGATAGTGCCTTCAGATGACGAAGAGAGAAGAAATGTTACATTCACATCTCCGACTATGACGAAGAAGAATCTGATTGCTACACAGAAGCTGCACGAGTTATTATCAACGCCGAGGAAACTGAAAAGTTATGCCAGTCAGCCTTCAGTACGAATAACGCCCAACAAATCTGATGGTCCAAGATATGCTGGCACCCCAATGAAAATTATATCTAGCACTCCAACACAAGTGACCCCATCGAAGTCCTGCGCTAATCTAACTCTTACGAGAGGATCAGCAACTTCTCCAATTTCACCAAAAGCTCAGCAGAAATTAAACTACGGTTTACCAGATTTTGGAAGACAGGACGTTTTTGTGACTAGTTTTAGAGAGAAGAGAGGCAGAAGCTTCGATATGGACAGAAGAGAAGGAAGCAGAGAAGGAAAATATGACAGAAGAATAGACGAACAGAGAAGGGATAAGAATACAGCAGTCATCATGCCGAGGTATGCAAAACGTTCTTCGACAAAAGCTAATTAACACTTTTTTTGGCCTTAAATGAGAACAAATAACAGTATTTATTAAAAATTTTGAATTATTGAGAAAGTTTAATTGCAATAAATGTGAAATAAACTAAGCTACTTATAATCGTGAGAGAGAAATTTAAGTGTATTTTTTAATACGAAAATTACAAATAATTTTCATCACTCTTGATTCTAAGATCTGCTTTTCTGTTCCATTCAAGTAATTTATAATAATATACTAAAGTTAATTTTATTTTAAATTTGACAAAAGTTAATAATCAATTATAAATTTATACTTACAATGTTATTTTAATCATGTATTGAAAATTAAGCCACAGTGACAATTTACTCACGTATTTGTAGTGAATGTATGCTTTTACCATATGTAACGGTTTAGAATTATCTTTTTTATTCAGCTTATTGCTAAACCACAATAGATATCGTTTCTTTAAGCCTAACGTTAATAATTCAATGAAACTATTATTTCTCGTATATACTACGCGTACTTTATTTTTGTAAAAAAACAACATACGCCCGACGTTTCGGTTACTTTTCAGCAACCGTGATCATTAAGACGAGATGTGAATGTCTGTCAGTTGGTTTTTTAATTATCATGATAAAGTAATCCGAAAATATTAGTTTCGTTTAAATGAACAAACATAAGTCTTAGATCTCATTATTACTACGACCGATAGCAAACTGCTTCAAATAATTGTTTAAACATTTCAGAGTCGCCAATCAGTCTCCATCTATGTATTCTGAGGATACTTACAAGTCTTTCTCGAGCGTCAAGACTATGAATCCCGCCACGGCTTCTCTCGCTATAGCAGCCTTAATGCTCACTGTTTGTGGAGGATTGAGCACCGGTCTAAGCTTTTACATGATGTATTGTGTAAGTTTATTATATTCTATGGTTAATATTATAATTTTGTTACTATTATCACGTTTAAGTTACTGGAGGCCTAGTGGTTAAAAGGCCTGCCTCACATGCATGAGGGTGCGGGTTCGATCCTGGCAAATACCAATGTGATTTTTCCGAGTCATATGTACTTTCTAAGAGTATTTAGATATCACTGATTAATGGATTACAATAACGTTTAATTTTGCTTAGAAAACTTCCAAAGATGGAAAACATTCATTTTTAAGAATACTTAAAGTTTCATAACAATATAATATAAGTAATTTTTATTATATTTGTATATTACTTAATTTGAAATGATTGTAGAATTATTTTTTGATTATTCTTTATATGGAAGTTATAAATCAATTTATTTTATAATATTTTTTGGACATAGCACAACAAATTAATATTTTACATACAAACCCAAATTAATCTATCAAATTTAATATCTATGAAAGTTACAATGTTTTATTTCTCACAATTAAACAATGAAGTATAATTCTTTATCTATTTACTAATATGGATATTTTTCTTCTTCAGATGGGTCGACGGTATTACTTAGACTTTGGAGTTCTATCTGGATTCACCTGCTTCCTCTTAGGTCTCCTAGGTCTTAGGTCTAGACGAAATCAATTGCTACCTAACAGAAATTATATTTCAGGTGAGATTAACTTAGAAAAAATATCTTATTCTTAATTAATTCTATAGATTCATTCACTATTAATACTATTTTTTAAGAAAATGAAACACATCTTGATAATTTATTGACTAGCTTTTACAACCTCGTTTGGACATAACAAATTTAAGACACAAAAATTAAATACTTTGAATTGAACAGTTTATATAAAAAATTTGCAATTTATTGCAAAAGCTTTCTTAAATAATAAACAAACAAAGTTACATTTAGTCAATATATGTATATCCATATAAAAATCTATAATAGTGTATATATTATATGTATCAAATATAATATATACATTCTATTTTGACATTAAAAACTATTAAATTGCTTTCGGGTGACGTTGTAAAAGCCGCAGGGCTAACAGCTATACAAAATAATATAAAACTATTAAATTTAATTTATATTTAATATGGTAACATTGTGGAAAGTAAAAGATGCGGGTAATAAAACTGACCATAAAACAAAGAAATACTCTCTCTATGCTTCACCCGCATAAGAGATAATATAAAAACTATGTTAAGATAATTAAAACAAATTTCTTTTACAGGTTACATTGTACTGGCATCGTTTTCGCTTCTCAGTTCTATTGGATTGCTGCTACTTTTAACGCTTCAGCCACAAACAGGAACTCCATTGAATGATATAACTTCCGGTGCTGTTTGCAGCATTAGTATTCTATCTTTATGTCTAGCTTCTGTTGGTATTCTGGCTTCGTACTGTTGCGCCCAAGATCCTCCTGATAATAGAGTTGGAACTGCGAGGTGGTATTAGTTCCGAATGTTTGTAATAGATGGCGTTGTTATTAAAGATGTATATATTGCTCACGTAAAAATACTTAATTTATTCTTGAACTTGACAGCAAAGTTATCCTTTAAGTAAGGATATATGGTTTTTTGTATTACAGACTCTTAAACACACGTTTATAATAGCGTTTATTGATGATAAAAGTTAATTAGTTAAATGGTTTTAAATTAAAATTGCATCCCATGTATATATTAAGGTTTCAAATAACTATTTCAATTTATCTAAGGAAATATTAAGCTATATACCTCATTCAAATTTCAATTAAGAGTAACTGAAATTATTAAAACTTAAACAAATTTACGCTCTAAAAACAGTAGATACATCATTGTACCTTAGTAGCTTATTATGTAATGACACAAAAATATAATAGATGGTGTTGTATTTAAATAGTTGTATAATTTCTATATAAGCAAGTTATTGACTATCTTTGTTTAATTTAATAGGTTATATATTTGAACTTGAAATAATTTATTTTAGACATACCAAAGTTTTATGGGATTTGGACATTAATAACTATAATTTAATTATAAGATGTTTGTAAGGGTAATTTTAGATAATTAATTAATATTTTTAATATGAACCATATTTCAGAATGTAAATATATTTTAATAAATAATAAAAAATAACGTTAAAATGTTTGTTTATAAGTCTTTCTATTTTATTTTTATAGTATGTAATTGTATGAAAAAAACAAAACTAAATTAAGAATACATTGAAAATGAATGTACATTGTAAATTAAGTTTATAGTCTTTTGTACAGACTTTTGTTCCCTTTTAGAACAAAACAGTATTTTTATTTGTTTGTATATTTGTGTCTATAATTCTTTACTTCTTTAAAATAACTGCATACTTTATATTTTACTTATTTTCTTAATAAGTTTTCATTTATTTCACATATGTGTTTGTTATTTATAATAAAAAGGTTTTTATTACTTCCTTTTTAATAATTCAACTGGTTTTCAATTGATTTCAAAGATCCAATTTACTAATTACTAGTTTACAATATTGTAAAATGACTTATTGTGCTATTAACTTTGCATTTTTTAAATTAACTACACTTAAGTAATGAATTAGGTAAAAGTGATATATTAATATTAAATAATAATAATAAATAACTATTTTATGATTGTAACTTTCTCTTTGATGATTTACATATTGGATTAAGGGAGAATTTTTAAATTAATACTTATTAAAAATCCTTATGGTTACATAAGGACAGCGCCATCTATCGTCTGTGACACGCGACTTTGATAGACTTATAAACTTATATATTTTACTATTGTATGTTATTTTTATAAAAAAAATTACGATATCATTCACGTAGTTTTTAAAAGAAACAGCAACTTCCATCACTATATACTCAAAAAATTTCATTTATAATATCACTAGGTTAAAGAATGTCTGCTTAATTGGAATCTAAGTTTAAATTGTAACAAATACGAAATATAATTAAAAAACTAAAATATTTGGTTCTGAATATTCAATTTCCACATTTCATAATCAATAGATAATAGATAAATTATTTATGTTATTGCAATCTTATGCTTTCTAAAATTAATTTGTAATTATAATATGTCAAAGTTTTCCAATTTGTTAATCATTATTTGATGTGAGAAATTTTTTCTATTTTAACAGATTGATAATAAAAAGACAATTTTATTTAAACCAATTGTAAACTCAAAACAAATAATAATAAAATTGTCCTATATAAATATCATGTTTTTTTATTAAATCAAAATTAATATTTATTTACTTATGGGTAAGTACCTACTTAATATTAAAATAATTATTATTTTTGGTTGTGATTTCAATAAATTTGATAACACCTCAATTCATTAGGTAATTTTCAACATATTCTAATTGATATTGATATATTTTAATAGGCTTTAATAGGTAAACTCCAAAAATATAAATAAAAAACGTAACAGATATTTCTTGATTATAGCGCGATACGAAGTTCGCCGGGTCTTCTAGTATATAAAATTGCTCCATAAAGAACTTGTAGTTTCGTAATTCATATACAATAAAGTAATCCATCAATTAACAGTAAACAGATATATACAATGTTCATCATTGTAACCAATATTTTTTTTATTATTTTGAAATCCTGCTGTCTTGTCATTCGCCAATCACGTGGTACATCGGAAAGCAGAATCAGAATATGTGACAATTTATAAGAGATTTATAAGTGATTTTACTAAATACATTAACAATACTAACATTTTATTAGTAACAGTAATTATGATGCTACTTTTTTTTATTGTGTTTAATTTGTATTTGTATATAATAGGATAAGGGCTAGTATATAAGTATTTATCCTATTCCAAAAGTCAAAATTTTATTCTTAATTTATGGTCAAAATAATTTATTTGTCTTTTAAGAAGGCGAATGTCTAATCGTAACTGTGTATATAGCGACTCATGTGAATAAAAAAATTAATTAAAACTTGTTAGAGTATATAAAGTGTAAATTAGATTTCTATATTCTAAATGTCAGAATATAGTAAGAACCAGTTTCAGAACTAAATGTAGACTATAAAAAAATGATTTTTTACTAATTTGACCTTTACGTCTATTATAATATATTTTTGGCTGTATTCACGAATTTAGTCTTTTTTTCATGTAGCCATCCACGCAGATACAACGAGGGCCTAAAATGTCCTGCAATCCCATTGAATTTAACTCTGCAACTCAAATCCATAATATGTATCTGTATTTAAGTTGAAACAAAGAAAGAAAACCAAATCCCTTTCCATGAACCAGAGACAAAAATTTACACTTTCATTTTATTACACAAATTTCTTTTAAAAGTAATTTTAAAAATAGGACGAGAGAAAATAAAAATAAAATATTACTTAAAAAAAAACAACCTTCTATTTTTTTATTATAGCTTCATTTGTACTGGAATCGTTTAATATTTTGCCAATGTCGTCGTTTTTATTTGATGGACGAATTAAAAACATCAATACTGCTTAGATAAAACACGAAGGTGTTCGTCGAATAGAATAAAAGCGTTTATCTTATTATTATTTATTTTATTTTAAAGAAATCGTGTTATATTTTTAGCAGCAACAAGAACAAGTAACAATTTTAATCATTCTCGAATTATGGACAGAGGGTAATGTCACCTTTCATCTTTGTTTTCGCTGTCATCTATAAAGTTGTCAAATGTCTAATATTAAGTTTTAGTTATAAAATAAATGTAGTTTGTTTTGTGTTTATTTGATTACGTAGTTGAAAAGTGATGTTTATAAAACAATTAATAATCTTAAGTACAGTGAAATGATTGCTGTTTAGTCAAAGCCCACCGATACGCATTTGTTATTTACGAATATGTGTTAACAATAGCATTTCCTAGTTAAGGGCGATAACAGCAAGTAAGTCTTTGTTTAAATTAATTTGAATGATACGATTACAATTCCAAAAAATTCGTATAAAAATGTCTTTCAATATCTTATACTTGTTACGATAGGATAAAGTACGCTGGTCATATTTTAAATATAATGATTCCTTTTTTTACGTGAAAATTTTGTAAATTTAGGGTTTTTCATTATAAAATTTCATTATATTGTTATTCTTTTATCAGAATATAAAAATTAGTTATTATTCCATAAAAAACATTGTTTCCTATGTACTTTACACCATAACCTTGTGACATCTAATTTAAATAAAACCTTCATAGTTACTTTTCAAATAGACACACATCTGTTGAAATAAAGTAAGTTGTTAAAAAAAAAAGATAATAAAATACAGGCCAAATTTAATTGCATAGTAAAATTTTAATTATCAATATAATGTTATGATGCTATTATAAAAAGTATCACTATGACTAAGTTTTTCTTTGGAACAGGATACTTTTATATATTATCACTGATCAAGTTTCTGAAATGTTTTAGTTAATCTGTTAATATATTTAAGACAAATAATAATAATAATAAAAACACTTTCAAATCATTATATCATATTTTTTCTTATCTATGAAATATATATATTAAAATCAGAAACTTATAAATTAAAATATACTTACAGCAACATATTGCTATTGAAGTACATAATGTACAACATTTTATTATACATATATGTTTGAACAAATACTGTTTTTTTAATCATTTTTATCATATTTTTTCTTGATATAAATTATTAATGTATCCCTAAGTTCAAATGGTCATAGTTCAATATATAATGCCTTGAGTTTTATTAACATTTTAATAATCAGCAATAACTTTGTTTTATATATATACTATCTGACCCCGCAAACATTGTTTTGCCATATAAAATAATAGGGATTGGTGATAAATATGTAAAAATTTTGGGTTGTATGTATTTTTTAACCCTACATTATAATATAAATTATGGTGAACAACCCGTAATACTTAGGAGTATGAAAATTAGATGTTGGCCGATTCTCAGACCTAATCAATATGCTCACAAAATTTCATCATAATCGGTATAGCCGTTTCAAAGGAGTTCTCTGTCTAATACCACGACACAAGAATTTTATATATAAGATTATCTCTTTTTTATGTTGTAACCATGTTAGGTATATAGAATTAAGTTATGATAAAAATACATAAAATATATCCCTGTTTTTATCTTTGGCTTCATTCTAGAATCATGGAATATTTTGCCAATATGAACGTTTTTATTTGTTGGACGAATTATAATCTTGTGTACCATGTTGAGGAAACATGAAGGAGTTTGTTAAACGGAATAAAGCCGTTATTATTTTTTATAGAAGACTAGTTATATATTTACCAGGAGCCAGAACAACAAAAATATATATAACTTAGTAATTAGTATTGTAAATTGTTAAGGCAACTACTAAAGTTTTAAGTTATTATATTTAATAAATTTACACACAAATCTTACACAAATTTTAACCACAAGTGCATTGATTCTATCAGACATTCTAATTTATAAATCTTCTTTCCCATTTTTTTTAAAGATTCTTTTCTCTTTGACCATTGTCCACAGTAATGAACGAAATTGAACAAAATAAAAAATAATACTACATATTATTTCTATAAGCAACATTACTGTAACTTATAAAAAAATAAAGTTGTTTAAGAAAAAATACTATGGATTCACAAAGAATTTTTTTAATCACTCACAAAATTTATATTTATAATAATATGAGTAATATTTAGTGTAAAAACAGTTTCAGTTTGACTTTTATTTACATTGATATAAATACAATTATGATTACAGATCAAATGGCAGATAATCATATATGGGAAGCTGCCGAGGTTTTAATAAACAGCATGCCGAGTACACAGTATAGAAATATATGTAAGTAGACTATATATAAATATATTTAAGTGTATAGTATAGTAATATAAATCAGTGGTGGCCTAGTGGTTAAACGGCCCGCCTCTCATTCATCAGGGCGCGGATTCGATCCTGGCAAGTAACCAATGTGATTTTTCCGAATCATATGTACTTTCTAAGAGTATTTAGACATCACTGATTAATGCATTCTCAAAAGTTCATGTCAGGCAGGCGGCCGGTCGTAAAAACAATTAGCTAAAACTATTCACAACATGTAAGACAGACCCTGGCTAATGCTGGAAAATTGCCAGGTAGAAGATTGTATATATACATATAAATGTTTCATATATATATGTTTGTTATATTTCAGCTCACTCATCAGTGAACATGACAGCTGAGGACATAGCATCTGCTAATCAGTCAAACGGCAGATTATCCAGCGTTAGAAGATTCTTCTGTCTGTTTGTCACTTTTGATATACTGTTCACTAGTTTAATGTGGCTTATATGTGTTATGGTGAGTTGTATATATTATATACACATTTTATACATAAAATTCCCATGAAACAATGTTCATTCCCATATTCCTTCGAAACGGCTTGACCGATTCTCATGAAATTTTGTGAGTATATTGTGCAGGTCTGAGAATTGGTCAACATCTATTTTTCATACCCCTAAGTCAAAAGGGTGGTTCATCCCTATTTTTTTTATTTTTAGACGAAATATATTGTTTTTATCTTTTCTATTTTGACTTTTTTATCACAAACCCCTATTTTTTTATATGGTAAAATAATGTTTGCCGGGTCAGCTAGTATATATATATATAAGAATTGATTTAACATGTAACAATATATTTTAATGTAATGATATTAAATAATAAGAATATGATTTTAAATTATCCAAACACTTTCCTGATGCATCTTTCTATAATATACGGTATAATACAAAAAGGAGAAGAAATCTAAAAAAAAGATTAAACAGTTCTTAAATTTTATTGGAATGCTTTAAATTTATTATAAAAATATTGAAAATAATAATGCATATAAAACTAGACATTTAAAATAACATTTCTCATATAACAGTACTAAAACTAAGAATTTTTTATTATATATATGTGTGTTGTTTGTTTCAGATGCGAGGAGAGACCCTTATAGAAATCTTCAATAGAGAAATTGTACATTATGATATAAAAGTATCATTGTTTGATATAGTCATAGTAGCCATACTAAGATTCATTTTATTGTTAATATTCTATGCAGTTATATGCATTAATAATTGGAGTGTTATTGCGGTAATTATTCATTTTTATTCTATTATCACAAACACACACACATACACACAACAAGTTAATAAAACTATATTTTAGACTAAAAAAAAGGAATTTATCATAACTCATAAGGAAGCTAGTTTTACATTCAAAGCCATCTAGTGGTGATTTCTGAAACTATTTTTTGAATAAAATTTAAAATTTTCTTTTGTACGGAAAATTTATGAAGAATATTTTTCTCGCTAATATCGATAATATACTTTGTTACTTTTTGATCCATTAAGTAATATTTACAATTAACTTTAAACAAAGTTGTAAAGAAGTGACCTTTGTTAAATAAGATATAAATATGTGTGTGTGTTTGTTTGTTATGTTATATATTGTAGTTTAAAAATAATATTTTAATTCCAGCTTTCAACGGGCGGTACATGTGCCTTTTTGATAGGAAAAGTATTTGTATATGATGTGAGTATATTGTTTTAAATTAATACAATTTTTTTATTATTAAGAAGCCTTACCAATGAAATTTTTGAGTTTTATATCCTTGATGAATTTATAAAAGTTGATTGGTACATAGTGTATATACTTCCTTATATAATGAAAAGTAATTTTAATATTTTTCTCAATTAATTTATAACATAATATAAGATAACTTTGGAGTTACTATAACTTATATAATAGTTAATATTCTTATTTTTTAATTGAACTTTGTGTTGCCATACCACAATATTATTTTCTCCCTTAATCAAAGTAAGTCACAGTATGAAGTTATATAGTTAATTCAAGTCATAATGTTTTTATATCCAACATTGTATGAGTAATATGTTTCTACCCTTTTTTCAGTGGCCGGATGCGTCTCAGCCTGTCTATCAAGTGTTTTTAATATTGACTTCCTTTACCCTGGCTTGGGGTGAAGCCTGGTTTCTTGACTTCCGGGTGTTGCCACATGAGCAACATGCCAAACAATTGTTGGAGACTATAGGTGAGTTATATATATTAATGTATACATATACAGGGTGACTGGTGAATTACTATCAATATTTAAGGAGCATACTCGGTACATGATTCTCATTCGAATTATGTAAAAAAAATAGGTACTTAATTTTTGACCAAATTTCCGTATAAATAAATAAAGTGTGTACACGTTCCAAGTATTCCAAGTGTGGACGCGTGCGGCGGCGTGCTGATACAACAACACGCCTCCGCGCGCGTATGTGTGAGTGTGTGTGTATACCTAATCTGTAGGGTGTTCATACGATGCGTAATTAATTACATAACTTTTGGTTAACTTTACTTAGAAGTTTATTAATATTTATGTTATATTAATTTTTATTTTGTCATATAAGATCGTCAAATATCACGTCCTCAAATATCGATAGTAATTCACCAGTCACCCTGTATAGCTGACTCGGCATTTTTTTTATGCCATGTAAAAATAAAGGTTGGTGATAAAATACTAAAAATTTTGGGTTGTATGGATTTTTTAATGGCACATTATGCCTACTAATATTATAAATGCGAAAGTAACTCTGTCTGTCTGTCTGTTACGCTTTCACGTCTAAACCACTGAACTGATTTTAATGAAATTTGGTACAGAGATAGATTTGAAAGGTTCTCTTGGAAACGCGACATAATCGAACTCCACGCGGGCGACGCTGCGGGCAGAAAGCTAATAAAATAAAATCAAATATTTCTTCCAAAAATTAGAAAAACATTACGGGTGAACAACCTTTATAAGTTAGGGGTATGATAAATAGATAGTAGCCGATTCTCAAACCTGACTGAATACGTATATAAAATTTGCAAATTTTATACGTATATATATTTCTTATCAAACTCAATAATATTAAATATATACAAAATTTTCATTATGACATTAAAAATTATAGCTTCGTGTCAGTGATAATTTTTGATGACACATAAAAAGCGAGTAAACTAAATTAAACGCGATAGCACCTGATACATATTTTTTCATAAAATAAGACACTTGATAACCACGAATTTGTGTGAAAATTAAAATGCATATAGTGTATTTTGGTTATGACGACGTCGGACCACATATATGGCGTCGCTATATCCGGATGTCGCTTTAACCGAAATAATATAAAAATGTATATATTAATTTAGTTATAAATAATTGAATTATGTATATGTTATATATTATCCGTGATATAGTTCAACGTTCGAGTGAACGTACGCCGCTGCTGGCGCCACGTACGTCCGGAGAGTCTACTGTGAATTGGTTTTCTCCTGTGGACACTCCACAATCGAGCCCTAGGCCTCCAAGGGACGTGATATTAACACAAGAACAGGTGAGTGGAATTTATTATAATACATAAGCATTAAAAAAATTATATAGTGTGTTTGATGCCTATAATTTTGTTTGTCACAAGCTCTAAAACTCTATAGTGTGTTTAGAGCCTTAAGTTTTGTATAAATGATTGTACTTTATAGGGAAATAATATACAAATTGTGTAAATTTATAAATTATGGGCTACAAATATGTGAATAATTTTTAGTTTAATATACGAATCAACGATTTGAAATTAATACTATTTTAGGAAATTATATTGATGTATTCTTACCCATAGAAGTTTGGACTTTTGAAATTGCGGCTTTAATACTATTATAGAAAATTATTTCTATATACATATTCTTACTCATAGAAGTTTGCATTAACATAAAAAAAAATTCAATTCGTTGAAAGTACTAAATTTTTGAATTATACCAGTTTGAATGAAGGTACCAAAATATAGGTGCAACCAGTGGATATTCAAATATTATTATTATTTGAAAACAAGGAACAAGGAAAACAAAATAACTTTATTATTGTGTACACAACCTGTTAGATAATTAAAACTATCATAATACTTTTTATTATTCATTAGCTAATTTAAACTTATTCACTTGAGCTTAGTAAAGACAAAAATAATAACAAAATGGCGGAAAAATATTTCAACAGTATACTGACAAATTAAATAGTCCCTTTTCATTTGACCGTTTCTATGAAGTTTTAAACGAGCATTAAGGAAGCAGTGCCTCTCGAATTAACACATGCACAATTTTTGCACACACACATACAAACATTTCCTGCATACATACACGAGATTTGTAGATCGTCCTCGAGATTATTTGTATGGAAAATATTCACCTAGTTGTGCATACCGCCGCTCTGGCTGCATAGCGGCGCTAGCAGTTAGCAGCGGCCGATCGAAAATGTTTCGTTTTTACATTGATAGATGGCACTTATTAACAATCGTGAGTCAAATGTCATTTTAAATGTCTGTAAACATTTGTATTTCGTAATATATGATTAAAAGTATGTAAGTAAGAATTAAACAATATAGCTTTAGTTGTTATATGCGTAGGGTATGCAGTTCTTATTTGTATCTATGGTGTGCACGTCAATGCTATCAATCAATGTATAAGTTACAGAAACGTTTGAAAATAGCTATTAATGACACTAATACTTAAGACTAATACTTAAGAAGACTAATACTTAAGAATCCAATACTGATATTATTGCTGACTAAAGTATTGTTCGATGTTTCGAGATTCTGAAAATCACTTCGCTTATATGAGTTGACATTCTTATACACTTGAACACTCAGGCTTTATCAAAAATACGCGTACAGAATCTGCTTCTGATTATCTTTGATAAACTATCGAGATAAAAAGTAGCTTGGACAATAACCATGTCCTTAAAGACCGCTGATAAACTTGATCAAAAATGCATTGAAGTGATTAAGATTAATCAAATCTTTGTCGGAAGTCTTTGTCATCGTCATCAGCCTATCAGAGCCCTGCTGAGCAAAGGCCTCTTCATACATGGAGAAGGTTTGAGCATTAATCACCACGCTTGCTCAAGACGGGTTGGTGATTTCAAAATTATAATTGTGAAATTATAAGTCCAGGTTTCCTCACGATTTTTTTCCTTCACATAATTGTCGGAAATTGTCGGAAAGGATAACATGTAATAAATTTGGTTATTTTTTTTATCTTGGGAGTATTTTCGGTCAAGGTCAAACAGGTTCTTATATTGAATAACTAATACAAGAAACCAAAAATAAATATAATACCAAAGATGAGATATGAAACTACTCCTGGCATGAAGTAAGAAGAAAATAAACGAGCAGAACAAAAACTATAAATCTGACTAATATTTTTCACCTGTTAGTTATCGCCGTTAGAATTCCCAATATTACTATTTATTACGATGTTACGCGACGGTGTCAGTGATAGTTAAATTAAATAAGAAAGTTACTGTGTAATGGCAGGCCGCGTTTAACTTCTAAGTAAACTTGTTCATTCTACACGTGACTTTTTAGTTTTATATTCGTTTTTTATAATATTGTAACACTATTTGTTCAACCTTCGTACAGTAGAGTCAACTATATTAAATTTTAGAACTAAGTCATATATTTTTGTTTTCGTTGCATCCACCGACCGTCAAAATCATAATTACTATCTATCTATATATGTACATACTATATAAAAAAATCCCTTTTTCCCTTGGTCACGGCATCACGCGTGAATGGCTGGACCGATTTTACTAATTATTTTTTCCTTTAATTTGTTATTATTAGGAGAAGGTTCGAATGCAAGAAAAAATTACGAAAATTACTAGGAAAAAAAACTAGAATATTACACTTTTTTATTAAAATAATGTGTCACTCGCAGTACTATTCACGTAGTTAGAATAAAACATAAGAATAATAAATACTTTGTTTTTGGAATAATTTCGGGTATTACCAACTACAATTCAATAATCCCAGTTAAGAAGACAGAACATTGTCTGCCGACTCAGCTATACTTAATAAATATATTAACTTCATTAATTAAGAAATTAATTTCATTCAGACGAAGAGGTAATAGATACTTCTTGATGATTGAGCGGTACGAATTAGCCGGGTCAGCTAGTTAAATATAAATACCAAACAGCATTACAATAAATCTTGTTATAACCCAACCAGAGAAACAAAATAAACATATAAAGTCAATCTGATAAATGGCTTATAAACGAGCGGTATTACTTATTTTTTAAATTTTATAATCGCTTAATAAAAGAAACGTGGATATCAAAAAAAGTACTGAGAGAAAATATTACAATATGTGCGATTTGTAACCTGACTTAATATAATAAATATTCTATAATTATTTTAACGTCTTGCAAAAAATACTCATTTTTGTTGCTAACCTTGGATGCAATTTATGCTGTCTTCTATCGCCAATCTCCAATACTCGTCGATAATTATTTTTCGTGTATATACACGAAAAATATATACACGAATATATATAAGTATATACACGAATCTGAAAAATATTAGTTTCATTTAAATATTTATGAAATTTCTTAGCTATAAAAACGTCTTAAAAATGATTCTGTACAGTAATAATTTTTCACGCGTTCTGGATTCTGGAATCTTCCATAACGTATATCGTAAGGAGCATCTTGTGTACAATGAGGTCAATTGACTGTTAATCGATTATCATTGCGGCAGTTTTAACTATAGCTAGGTGGATTAGTGCTCAATTTATGTAGAAACACAATGGCATAAACATTTAACTTCTACATGCCAATTTTCCCAGCTTTAGCCAGAGTCTGCCTTACACGTTGTGAATAGTTTTGGCTAATTGTTTTTACGACCGGCCGCCTGCCTGACATAAACCCTCTTTGGGAAAATATTTTTCGGATTATACTACGCGAATTTATTTTCGTAAAAAACTACATACTACATGGGATTAACATCTCATATTTATGATCACGGTTGCTGTAAGGCCTCGGCCTCGAATCTCGCGGGTAGCGGGGCGGCAGCGGCGGCGGCACGGAAACGCATACTATTCTCCAAACTAGCGGGCAACGGGCACGGAGAAATGTATGCGTTTTCGTGCCGCCGCCGCTGCCGCCCCGCTACCCGCGAGATTCGAGGCCGAGGCCTAAAGTAATAGTATAGGAAGTATGTAGTTTTTTTACGAGTCGCGTAGTATAATCCGAAAAATATTAGTTTCGTTTAACTGAAAAAACGAGCGAAAATCTTAGATCTCATTGAGTTTCATAAAAATCTCAGAAATTTTGTACCAAACAACGGTTTTAATACAAACTAAAATTATCATTAAGATAAAGAAAGATACAAATGGCTCAATTATAATATCTTCTATGCTTAATACAAGTTTGCATACATTATATACGAAGTTAGGTACGTTTTAACTGCAATCGAACAGTTATGGATAAAATACTGGTAACGCTACGTATGTAGTGTGAGGATTCAAACTTGGGTTAAGTATGTATTCCCGGCTGGGGGGGGGGGGGGCTGAATGTATGTATGTATGTTGGGTTTTTTGTGGGTATACCGGGAACCTTTTTTCGGGGAGTCCCACATACCCCTCTCCGTCCTTCGACGAAAATGCGTAATGCATGCATAATGGATGCGTAAGGCATTTTTACTAAGTACGCCGAAAAAAAAGTATGTATTTGGATTATATATATATTTCACACGATATTAGCTAAAAAAATGTGATAATATATTCCAAAGCTTAAGCCTTAAATGTCAAGATCATTATTATATGTATATTTATAATACATATATCTTTTATGATGTATATTATAAAAATGTATATATTTTACGCTTTTTATAGATCAATATCAGTGTGGTATCGAACATAAATATGATATAAATCTAAGTATTATTCCATAGAATATTTTATATACATATATAAATGTACCGTCTGTTTGTAAAATTATAATAACAGTTTTTCACTAAATGCGTAGGTAGATATAAAAAAATATCATTTTTAACTTTTGTTAGTCTATCTCTTTGTTCTGTCTGATATACGAAAGGGGTGAACCTATTTTGAGGCGATTATCACTAATAGGTAGCTAATGTTATAAGATGAAATTTGATTACTATAATTTTAGAAAATTTATTACTATGAAAAATAAATACGATTCCGCGCGATCGAAGTCGCGAGCACAGCTAGTATGTATGTATAATGTTTAACTTCTAACAGAAAAGTAATATTTCTTATCTTTTATTGTATAAAACTTTTATTTACGTCATATGTGTATGTATTTTTTGGTTATTTTTCAAGTTTTTAAAGTCTTGACGTCATAACGTTTCCTTCTTTCTCTTTTATATATATTAATATAAATAAATTGCTTATTATTTTTATATATAATTGCTATACATTCAAGCATTAAGTATTTTTGATAGTGTCAAAAATATGCAAGAATATAAATATATTTACATTCGTTAGTGCCAAAGTCTAAGTTGATGATATTCGAAATTTAAATAGAAACAATGTTGCCAGCTTTTATATACTATTTATTCATATTATTTTTTTAATTTCATATTATCTTTTTTTAATTATGATAAAAAATTTGATATAAAAATTATTCTAAAATTATGTTTATTTCTTATCTAACAAAATTTTTTTTCTTATGTTTTAGCATATATAAATATTAAAATATCAATATAATTATCATATCTTTGTAATATATTTTTCTAATCAACAAGATCATTCATCCGTAACAGATCGAAAATTGAGCCGGTATTATGTTGGCAACATTGATGTCCTTCAAATTCAGTTTCGCGCCAGCGGTCGAGTCGACTGCACGTGTTTTGTGTTTAATTAAATAGTGATATCGCATTTGCAATTGTATGTATAATTAAATGTCTATACAAAAATTTTATACTTACATTTGATTGTATTGAATAATCTGAAGAACCAGTATATTTCCTGCGATTTCTTGATATTAATCCGAAAGTAATTTGATACGATCTCGTGGTTTAAGCAAGTAGAGTTGAATGCAATACTTAGTATACTCAAGTTATTTTGGAAACCCGATATGGGGAACAAAATTAACAAACCATTTTAAAATAAATTTACTATAGTTCATTGACCTTCATGTAACAAAGGAAGATATATGAACAAAAACACATAATTCTGTTCTCCATAATATATTTATAATTTTATTTGATATAATTAATATAATACGAAGATATATTTTTCAATTATTTCACTATGTATATCTTCATATATATAATCAGAACATATAATAATCAATGACTCACATACTTGATCGATACTTATTTATTAGGAAATATTTGTTTTGAGATAAATCGTCTTTATTGTACACGTATTATGTAAATAATAATTTCTTCAAGTGCTTTATATACACATATATACCTAAGTGAACGAAGAATATATTTTATGTTTATAAATATTTTGAAGGCATTATCAAAATTAATGACGAATTTTTTATTTGAAACTAAAGTATTCTACGATTTTGAAAACTTTCTTTATTTTGTGTTATCTACTTAATTTTTTTTTAATATTTTTATCTTCGTTTTCCTAATTAAACTAGCTATCCCGGCGAACTTCGTACCGCCCTATAATCAAGAAATATCTGTTACACACACTACAAATTATCCTGTAGACACCAATGTGAAAAGTAAACTAAGAAATGGTAAATTAATTGTGTAGGTATTTTTTTATTATAACTCCGGCCACAGACCAACTCCGATCGATATATTTGCTAAGAGCATGTAAATTTGTTTTAATTTTTTCTTTCTTCGTGAATATTACTGACAGTGACACATTATTTTATTTAAAAAGTGAAATACTGTAGTAATTTTCGTATTTTTTTTCTTACATAAGAACCTTCTCCTAATAATAACAAATACGATAAAAAAAGGATTAGTGAAATCGGTCCAGCCATTCACGCGTGATGCCGTGATCAAGGGAATAAGGGATTCATATTTATACATATATATATTTAGATTATACTTTGATGAAATTGAAATTTCATTTGTCTAAATAAAACATACTCATTAGACATTAGTACAAGTTCACACCCTTTAACTAAATACAGATAGTCTACAGTTAGTCGTTCAAAAATATTTGCAGATAATATTGATGTAGGTACAATGATAAACTGTTATCGGTATATACTGATGGTAAGATTTCTTATAATTTTTACATTCCTACTAATATTATAAATGCGCAAGTAACTCTGTCTGTCAGTTACGCTTTCACGCCTAAACAACTGAACTGATTTTAATGAAATTTGATACAGAGATAGAGTTGACCTTGACAAAGAACATAGGATAGTTTTTATCCCAGACTTTTGAAAAGTTCTCTTGGAAACGCGATATAACCGAATTCGACGCGGGCGAAGCCACGGGCGGAAAGCTAGTATGAAATATATTGTAGATATCGATGACCTTACCATGCGTCTACACTATATAATATAAAAAATTTTGAAGTATTTCATTTATAAACCTTCACACATTTATGTAGGTATATGAATGATGAACTATGAACTTTCTGTTTTTAGTTCGACAGTGTGAACCGGTGGTAAGATTTCTTATAATTGTTACATATAAAAAATGCTCATAATTATATTTTCGAGTGCGCGGGTTCGATCCTGGCAAGTACCAATGTGATTTTACCGAGTCATATGTAGTTTATAAGAGTATTTAGACACCACTGATATATGAAGGAAAACATTGTGAGGAAACATGGACTTATAGTTTCACAATTATAAGTTTGAAATCACCAACCCGTCTTAAGCAAGCGTGGTGATTAATGCTCAAACCTTCTTCATGTGAGAAGAGACTTTTGCTCAGCAGGGCTCTGATAGGCTGATGATGATTACAGTCATACATAATTTTATGAGAAGTTAGGAGGTACCTCAACTAGTACCAAAATAGTTAACTATTATTGCTTACGTATTTTATTTGAGTTTAATATACATATGTATACAGGGTGACTGGTGAATTACTATCAATATTTAAGGAGAATACTCGGTACATGACTCTCATTCCAATTATGTAAAAAAAATAGGTACTTAATTTTTGACAAAATTTCCCTATAAATAAATAAAGTGTTGATACGTTCCAAGTGTTCAAGTGTGGACGCGTGCGGCGGCGTGCTGATACAACACCACGTCACGACACGCGTATGTGTGAGTGTCAGTGTATACCTAATCTGTAGGGTGTTCATACGATGCGTAATTAATTACACAACTTTTGGTTAACTTTACTTAGAAGTTTATTAATATTTATGTTATATTAATTTTTATTTTGTCATATATGATCGTCAAATATCACGTCCTCAAATATCGATAGTAATTCACCAGTCACCCTGTATATATTTTACACTTGTGATAAATAACAATCATTCTAAGTCAATTTGCACTGATATAAATATTAGTTTTATCATGTTAATAATTATATATTTATCTTGATACGTGTTACTAAGTGCCGGTCATTGACCTTATATTAAAATTTACATAACATACCGGACTCTTGATGACTACTGACATTCTTATCACTTGTCAGGATCATATGTACATATGAAATTATTTATATTATTGGGAATATATTTATTTTCTATAATACACACACACACACACACACACACACACACACATATTATATGTACTTAATACGAATAGTTTGATCGTTGACGTTTCTCTAACAATAACCTACATTCGGTTCGGTAAATAAAGTAACTTTCAATAAAATTATAATTTTATATACGAATATACTTAAGTTATATTAATTATTTATGCTAATTAAATTTAATTGTCTAACAATAGTTCTGTTTTAACTCCGAATGAGTTGTAATGAGTAAATGTTACCTTTACCTAAACTTTTTACCAATAAAATTAAGGTAAACTAATGATTATAATTAACATTTCTACCTCCCTTATCTTTTAACGATATAAATTTAATTTAATATTTTATAACATATATTCCCATAGTACTAAATGTATGTATTGTACCAATTTAAAACGAAAATACTTTCAACTAGCTAAATAAAATTACTTGTTAGTATTATATAATATAATAATTACACATATATCTTCTTCTTCTATATATATAAAAATGGATTGCTGTTCCTTAGTCTCGCTAAAACTCGAGAACAGCTGAACGGATTTATCTTATCTTAGTCTTGAAATGTTCGTGGAGGTTCAGGGAAAGTATAAAAGCTAAAAAAAATTGATTCATTACTGGGAAAACCATAAAAACAGCCCTTTTCTATTTCCCATTCAAACGTTTTTTTTTTTGACATTAGATTTGACAACTAACTAATATGTCAATAATTCTGTCGCACTTCAAAACACGGAGATTTATGGCTTACAGGTAAACTCCAAAAATATAAATAAAAAAACGTAATAGATATTTCTTGATTATAGGGCGATACGAAGTTCGCCAGGTCTTCTAGTCTTTTATATATAATAGTCTTTAATTGTAACAAACAATTAGTTCTGCATAATTTAAAAATATAATAAATAATTATCTAAATATTTTCAAGCTATATGTACATTAAAATTTCTTTAAATATGTGTTATCATACAATGAACACTACAAATGATTTTAAAAATTATAAGTAAGAAATACAAATAAAATTTAAGAGTGCAAAAACAAGAATAAATCACTCGATAGTCAAAAAAAACTGCAAAATGATTTTAACGACCAAGTTTTGGTATAAGTCAAATTATTACTAAAAAGTATTTAACTTTTTTACTACATTCACTTTTTTACTTGCAAAGTAAGTCGCAGGATTTATACCGGTTTTACGGTAACCAATATTGTATTGCAATTGCAAAACTGTAATCTGTTTTTGTAGATATGATTATAAAATATCGTGGCTTTTTTCATTTTAACGAAGATTATAAAGAATAAAAATGGCATCGAGTTCAGAAAGTGTCAATAAAAAGGAGGTAGAAATAGAAGAACATATTCAACAGCTGGAGAATGTTGGGACTGAGGAAGAATTGGAGAAGAAATTGAATAGTATGAATAAGTTCGGTTTCTCCGTAGCGAATTGGATGAAAATACTGTTCAATAGAGAGAGTACTGAACCTTTTAAAGCCGAATGGCTTACTGTAAGTTGTTGCTTATGATGTCAAAATAATTTTGACGTGGTCTGGCGTATTCACCAAAAGATTTGGACTTTTCTTGCCTAATTAATCTCTTTTTTATCGTGTAGACTTGTTTAAATTAGGGATATCTTTTATACAAAGAAAAATGTGAGTATAAAAAAAGATTTGTTCTTGGAAAGGATGCGAGTCATTTTTTTATCAGACCCCAAATAAAAAAGGTAACAAAAAATAAGGTAGCTCCTCTAAATACGATTGTCTAATAAAAATCGATCTTAATACTAAGAAAGATTAACTTGTTCTTTAAACAATGTTGCACAGAATTAATATGTATGTCAAATAATTAGAATGATGAAACTACTCACACAAGTCAAGAGTCAAGACTATGTGCACGATAGGTAAATAGTTGAATCGACTAGAATGTTATCCCAAAAGTCGCGGGTTCAAATCAGATAAAATTTTGCATTATTTTCAATATCTGATGGTGATTTCCATAAGTACACGATAGTTGAAATGTTAAATCGACTAGAATGTTATTCCAAAAGTCGCGGGTTCAAATCTGATAAAATTTTGCATTATTTTCAATAGCCGATGGTGAATTCTATAAGTATGCGATAGTTGAAATTTAAAATCGACTAGAATATCATCCCAAAAGTCGCGGGTTCGAATCAGATAAAATTTTGCATTATTTTCAATAGCCGATGGTGATTTCCATAAGTGCACGATAGTTGAAATGTTAAATCGACTAGAATGTTATCCCAGAAGTCGCGGGTTCAAGTCAGATAAAATTTTGCATTATTTTCAATAGCCGATGGTGATTTCCATAAGTACACGATAGTTGAAATGTTAAATCGACTAGAATGTTATCCCAAAAGTCGCGGGTTCAAATCAGATACAATTTTGCATTATTTTCAATAGCCGATGGCGATTTCCATAAGTACACGATAGTTGAAACGTTAAATCGACTAGAATGTTATCCCAGAAGTCGCGGGTTCAAATCAGATAAAATTTTGCATTATTTTCAATATCTGATGAGGATTTCCATAATTTCAGATAGATGAATACAAACAGATGGCGGAGGAGAGTATGGTAAACGCCTGGAACACTATCAATCTAGAAGGCTGGAGGCTGGAGAAACGAGGGTCAGTAAAAGGAGACGTGGTAGAATCAAAACAGACTGAGCAGTTTGGAAAAGTTTACAGGTTTACGGTGAGTTATACTAAGTTATAGATATATTTATCTGTAATATTCTTCTTCTACCTGGCAATTTCCCAGCTTTAGCCAGGGTCTTACATGTTGTGAATAGTTTTGGCTAATTGTTTTTAAGACCGGCCGCCTGCCTGACATCGATGCTCTTTTTTTTATATTCCTCTTTAATATATGTGTACAGATATATAGACAAAATTATTTGTAACCAAACTTTTATTCATCACTATTTGAATCTGTGTAACTAAAATTAATAAAATAAAAATATATATTCGATATTCAAAACACGATAACTTTTTTGCTTTTGCATCGCTTGTTTTTTTTTGTTAATGTGTATATGGATGTTTTTATTTGGAACGTCAAAGACTGGGATATACTTTGATTTTGCATTATACATTGAAACGAAAGATAAAAAAAACTGACACAATTATGATATATTTACCGCGACTTCGTCCGTGTGGAATAGTGACTTCCGGCAGATTTTTGGTTCTTCCTACATAGTTCCCGTTCTTGCGGGGTTTTCGGAATGGTCGAGTTCCCGTAGAATTTTCAGGATAAAACCTATGTTTTTTTTTTAATTCACAATGAAGTAGTTGGATAGTCCAGTTATCGAGGAAGGCTGTGGGCTATATAACATCACGCTACGACCAATAGGAGCAAAGATATAGTGGTAAATGTGTAAAAAACGGGAGAAATTATTTCATCTTTGAAGCCTTCCGTTGCGTGCGCCGTGAAAACGGTTCAAGATACACAAAAAATATGTATTAGAGAATAATAGCTCTTTTAATCGTCTAAAAAACAGTCCGCGACAGTCTATGTCTATCTTTTAAGATTAACTCACAAAAACCGTTTTTATGGTACCTAATTTGGTCGAAATAATTTGTTTAAGTTGTATCAACATAATAATATTAATCTTTATTCAAATAAACAAATAAATATGTTGTTGGCTAAGAGTACTTCATTGTGAATTTAAAAAAAACTTAGGTTTTATCCTGAAAATTCTACGGGAACTTGACCATTCCGAAAACCCCGCAAGAACGGGAAGTATGTGGGAAGAACCAAAAATCTGCCGGAAGTCACTATTCCACGCGGACGAAGTCGCAGCAAAAGCTAGTATTGAATAAACGAATAATAAATATTGCTGATTGACAATTAATTTTCTATTTCAGGGTATGGTCGCGTGTCCAGCAAAATTTCTGTATGAAGAATTTAAAAGCAACCTCACCAAGCTCCCAGAATGGAATCCAACCATACTGAAGAGCGAATTAATTAAGGTAACATGAAACTCATAGTGACAGAATTTAAATTTGACCTTGAGTTTTCTTCTTCCTGGCAATGTCCCAGCTTTAGCCAGGGTCTGCCTTACATGTGAATAGTTTTCGCTAATAGTTTTTACGACCGGCCGCCTGACATTTTGTGAATAGTTATAATGCTAATTGATTTTACGACCGGCCGTCTGCCTGACATCAACCCTCTTTGGGAATGCATTAATCAGTGATGTCTAAATACTCTTATAAAGTACATATAACTCGGAAAAATCACATTGATACTTGCGAAGATCGAACCCGCGCCCTCATGCATGAGAGGCGGGAATTTTAACCACTAGGCCAGCACTGACTTAATTTTGACCTTGAGTGTAACAGTTATTTAGTGGTTCTTATATGTACTATTGAGGGTATATAAGGTACGCTATTGATTTGAAGTGGATTTTTATGTAATAGAGAAGGAAAATAAAAAAATCTTCAGCAGGAAAGAGGTCAAGTCATAATCTTGATAAAGATCAATTATCCTTATTTCACATACATTTAACATTTAGTTTAGATAAATATTTAATTTTAATACATTGTTTACCTATACTTTTATTACACTCAAATATGGACAAAAACTAAATATTCTAGATTCTGAAATCTATAGTAATAATATAATAATTTTATTTCTAAAACTGTCATTATTCTTATCATATTTAATTTCATATGCCTATATCGAGATAGCTCGTTCATATCATATTGACAGATACTGTTCGTTATCAACACGGCAAAGGCTTATCATGGGAAATATTGTGACCTTGAAACATTGTTTTTTTGGAAAAATATTACATTAATCCATACAACAATGTAACAATTATGTTCCATCGTGTTATAATGTAGTTATAAGTGTTTGTGTGTCACTTTGGCTTCCTATTTAATAAAATAAAAATAAAACATAACTAAATCACAGCATTACTTGACTTTAACTAATATATAAGTTCTATAAATGTATGTTAAAAAATAATAAACAAAAATTTTACCAAAACTACAACTACCCTCAAATCAAGACTTAAAACTATATACATGTTAAATATATGTGTAATTTTTTTATGGAAATTTACAACGATTGACTATGTTAGATAAAGTACTAACAAACTTTTCGATCATTCAGTTGTATATAGAATTCATAATCATTATAATACTTTAAATTATTAGATATATTTCATTTATTATTCAGTTAATACCTTTCCATTTTAAACTATAACTTAAATGACTGTGACACATATTATCAATAACGAATTAGAAGATAATAATTAATTATCAGCATTATCTAAATTAAAATAAATAAATGATAATAAAATATATTATATAAATATTAGAAAAAAAATATTAATTTTTTCGCGAATGTCTCAATATCATTCAATAATACATTAAATTTGATTATGCATCGTATTTTAAATTCTATATTCCCAAAAGAGGATTGACGTCAGGCAGGCGGCCGATAAAAACAAATAGCCAAAACTATGCACATGTAAGGCAGACCTTTTCTATAGCTGGGAAATTGCCAGGTAGAAGATTATGAATAATTATATAAAAACCAATTTTTTTCACCAGGAAATCGGTCCGGGTATCGATCTATCATACCAAGTTACAGCGGGCGGTGGCAGAGGTATAATCGCGCCCCGCGACTTCGTCATACTTAGAAGAACGGCTAGCCTCAATAAAATGGGGAAATTAGATGATAATGACCCCTATTGTTATATAAGCAGCGGGGTCAGTGTCACTGTACCGGGTTACCCGCCATGCAGCGATTTGGTCAGGTGGGTAATCACTAAAACACTTTCTAATATTCATTATTAATAATAATTAATTGGTTATTTAAAATATGCCCTAAGACATGAAAAGACGTGCAGAGTATATTCTTAAATTAATAATAATAATAATTAATAATATATTTTTTTTTGTATTATTAACTATGTATATCTATCCAATATTTTATGAACCTGATAATAATATTAATAATGTTTTTTCAGAGGTCACAATAAAGTGGGCTGCTGGCGTATGACTCCCAAAATGGTTGAAGTTAATAACAAGTTAGAGCAACAAACTGTCTTCCAATGGCTAATGTGCTGTGATTTAAAAGGTAATTATTATTATACTAGTAAAGAAAGTCTTTCCAATCCCTACTAATATTATAAATGCGAAAGTTACTCTGTCTGTCTGTCTGTTACGCTTTCACGACTAAACCGCTGAACTGTTTTTAATTAAATTTGGTACAGAGATAGAGTTGACCTTGAGAAAGAACAGGGTAGTTTTTATCCCAAACTTTTGAAAGGTTTTCTTGGAAACGCGATATAACCGAACTCCACGCGGGCGAAGCTGCGGGCGGAAAGTTAATATATATATTATTTATATATATATATAGCTTTTCTGTGTTATTTTTGTTATTCAGTTATAGTACATTTTATTTTCTAATAACTCATCCCTACTAATATTATAAATTCGAAAATAACTCTGTCTGTATGTTACGTTTTACGTCTAAACCGCTGAACTGAATTTGATGAATTTTGATATATAGATAGATGAAATCCTGGAAAAAGATATAAGCTACCTTTCATCCTTATCCGGATTCCTAAAGAACATGGTTGGATCAATGAAGTTCTGTTCTGACTTAGAAGCTATAGTGACCAAAAACAAATGTTCTAGCAGACAGAGTAGCGACCAAAACCTAGTATACCTATAAAGATATGATTAATTATTGAATGAAATTGATAAATATGGATTATTCAAGTGATAATAGTATTTATATCTAATTGTGATTAGATTTATTAATACAATCAAGATTGTATTCTAATCATGTGACACAGAGACCACTATCATCAATTAGTTACTAATTATCTATTACAATACATTATTTTATTTAATATCTTAGAATTTAGATAATATTTAAAGTATATGAAAATGTTATTAATATTATAATATAATTAATTTATCATCTTCTACCTGGCAATTTCCCAGCTTTAGCCAGGGTCAGCCTTACACGTTGTGAATAGTTTTGGCTAATTGTTTTTACGACCGGCCGCCTGCCTGACATTAACCCTCTTTGGGAATGCATATGACACAAAAATATGATAATTATTTGTCACTATTTTTAAATGCTTCATATAATTTAAAAAAAAATGACAATAAGACATTCATTTAATAAATAAATTATTAGAAAAATATCTTCATTATAAATTTAATTTAACACACAAATACATATACATACTAACTTTCCGCCCGCAGCTTCGCCCGCGTGGAGTTCGGTTATATCGCGTTTCCAAGAGAACCTTTCAAAAGTCTTTGATAAAAACTATCCTATGTTCTTTCTCAAGGTCAACTCCATCTCTGTACCAAATTTCATTAAAATCAGTTCTGTAGTTTAGACGTGAAAGCGTAACAGACAGACAGAGTTACTTTTGCATTTATAATATTAGTAGGGATTATAATAATAAATTTTTATTTTGGTCATACATATTTACTTACAAAATATGTTATAATTTTTATAATTCTAAGAATAACAAACAGAAACACATATTATTAAATTACATATATAAATTAATATATTATATGTAAATTTTCAGGTAAAATCCCCCAATTTGTACTGGATGCGGCATTTGCTACAGTAATGTTGGATTATATAGTACATGTCAGGAAATATGCAGCAGAAAGCAAAGCAAAGGGGCTCTTCTAATATGAAATCTGAATATATTAGTACATATATATGTTCCTTTGTAATAAAGAATGGATATATTATAAGCTTGATGTTAAAACATATTATTTTGATATGATTTAAAAATATATATATGTGAATGATAAAATTTATAATTTATGTTTTTTATTTCATCTATGTAAATTGTTTTTGTACAATAAATCTTATAAAGTTAGTCGCTATATCATTAAGTTTCTTCTACTATACAGAATAATTATTTTCAATATGTTTATATGTAAAATAATTTAAAATATCTACAAGGGAATATATATAAATATATAACAAACTTGTTCTTCCCGGCAATTTCCCAGCTTTAGCCAGGGTCTGCCAATATAAATATATAACAATATGTGTATGTAATGTAGTTATGATAAAATTGTTTTCTTTTGTCTAAGAAATGTTCTAACATAATGTAACAAAACAATTAACGGAGGTTTAAGAAATAATAATAATAATATTATTATAAAATTGTTTGTATATTATAAAAAAAAATATAGAAAAAATTATAACCATTCAATTATATTAAAATAATGTTAAAAAAATTGTGAATACAAAAACATATATATAAGCTTAAAATAAACGATTTTACATTAAAACTATGAAAAAATTATGATATTTAAAAAAAAGCTAGTTTATTTCAAATATTCCGTTTCTAGTACACAATTAAAATGCTTTTGAAAGCATAGTTACATTTCCATGACATTTACTGTTTTTTATTTTATCTATAACATTTTATTAAAACCTTTTTTTTATTATATTTTCTCCATTTATCATTTTAGTATATATAATCTTTTTTGAATTTATTTTTTATTTAACCCCTTGCATGCATTTTTATCTTTAGTCATGACCGTTGATATATTTAATTATTATTGTAAAACTAATAAATAAATTTTTATATTATAAATAAAATTATTTCATTTTTTGTGTATATTTAACTACAAATACAAAAATTCGTTTTATTGAACTTAATATAATTATATACATTTTAATTTGATACTTACATTATGGTGAATAAAAATAAGATTTAACTTTAATGCTTATTCCTTTTTATATAAGAAAATAAATATATTCAAAAAGATTTGTTCCAAAACAGAGTTTTATAACTAATTTTTTCTACTTTAACCTTAGTTATCACTGAGTTTTTAGTTAAATTTCACTAAAAAGAAAACCTCTGGAATGGGATGATAAATTGAATTTAAAACCATTTAAACCATTTATTTGCTATACACATACATTACATAGATTATACAGAAGAAAATAATTAAATTAGATAATAATAATAATTTAGATTATAATTCTACGTTAACAAGAATAAACTAACTAACTATAGTTATTTACTTAGTAAAGCAAAATATGCGAGTACAATTTTGACTGCTCAAACCTTCTCCATGTGAGAAAGAGGCCTTTGCTCAGCAGTCAGCAGTGGGCTCTGATAGGCTGATGAGGATGACAATTTTGACAGTGATTCAGTTTTAAAGATTCTCCTAAAAAACTCCATATAAATGAACAAAAGAATACTTATTATAATAAAACATCTTAATAAATCATTTCACGTCAATATTATTGAAAAGTTTATGTACCTGAGTCGTCGCCAAAGTAATTCGTCTCAGCATCCCGACTCCCGTTTCGACATTATTGTTCCTTTTTATCATTCAAACGAAACAAAAGAAGTCACAAACAATGACTAAGTGAGGACCTAAATTATAATTGTTATTCTAAAATTAATAAACTTGAAGAAAATTAGAAAGTGTAGATTAATGACACACAATTTTAATAAAATAAATTTTGAATACACTATACACTACTTTTGTTTTAAGCAGAACCAGGAAACGGACATAGGATACCTTGAAATTCGTTCGACCAGAAAAAAAATTTGCTAATAAAAACCCAAATCTGTTTAATTATTGCCTCTAAAGCGAAACAGTTCACCTGGTCAGGCTATACATTTCTTATTCTGAAACTAACGCTGACAACGTCGGGAGCAAAAGCTAGTAGTTTATAAAATAACTTTACATAAGTAGCTTCTCAACTGAAATATTCACATATAATAAAAACACAAACAAACGGTAAACAATTATTAAGCTCTAAAGCCCTACGTCGATCTTCCGTCTCGACGTCTTTGTTCTTCTAAACTGTTGATCTTCCTTTTCATTAGCTACACGAAGTGCCGCAAGAAGACGCTCTCGTTGTTCGTCATTCTCAGAAACTACATTCTCTGCCGTACGCTGCCGCAAATCTTGCAGATGTCGCTCTCGTTGTTCGTTATTTTCATTAGCTACACGTTGGGCCGCACGCTCTTGTGAAACATCTAAATTTTAGAACATAAGACCTTTCTCTTACGTTACGGCTAGCTACGGTTTCTGTTACGTTACGGCTAGTTACGACTTCATGAAGACAAACATTCATTGACTTTCTGTTACAAAACAACGCCATCTGCTGTCGTTATAGCAATTACTAAACGGAATTAGCAAAAAGTAGTATTATTATTCACTAATAGATGTCAGGATGGATGCCACTTTTAGGTGGTAGAGCCTAGCTGTGGTGAGTTACTACAGCTCGAACATGGGCTGGCTCGACCGGGGAAGTACCACCCTCTCACAGAAGATCGGCGTGAAGTAGCCTTTAAGGCTGCGTTTCGTCTGATGAGTGAGAGAGCCGGTTGCCCTTTCCCTATTCCTACCCTTTCCTTTCATTTCCTTATTCCCACCCCTCCCTACCCCAAAAAACAAGGTTGGCAATGCATCCGCAACAAAATGTTGCGGATGTCCATGGGCGACGGTAACCACCTTCCATCAAGTGGGCCGTCTGCTCGTTTGCCACCTTTCACATAAAATAAAATAAAAAAAAGGATGAGTCATATTTTAAATTGGGACTACTCAAACGCCCCCCTTTTGTCATATTTTTCATAAAATGACATTTTCTAAAAATGACTCCTAGCTAGATCAATCTATCACCCCCCAAATTCCCTATAAATTAAATTTCATGAAAATGGTTGAGCCGATTCAGAGATTCCAATTACAATTATAAGTATATACAAGAATCGCTCATTAAAAATAAAAGATTAAGAAACTGACAGGAACGAGATAGTTTTCATTTAAAAAGAATTCTCGTTATTTAGGAAGCACATTAATTTGACTGTTTGTTATGGGTAAATATAAAAACTTGTCGGCCATCTTTGGGAGAATATGTATATATATAGTTGTGTTAATTATTTTAATAGCAAATTTTTGGTTAAAAGGTTTTTATTTCCCGTTTACAACATCTTTTTACGCATTATAAAACTAAGTTTCTCAACATGAATAAATAAATAATTTTTAAGGTGATGATTACAAATTAGCAATATCTTTCTAATTTTTGTTTTGTGAAACGATAAAAATTTTAATAATTCATAATTTTGAGATAAATTCTTCTTGGAATAGACAAATGAATGAGTGTTTGTTAAACATCTTGGTCGAACGAAGTTGTAGAATTCAACTGGTATTTATAACTTTTACTTTATACAAGAATATTATTAGTACTTAATATACCTAGGTAGTAAGGACGTATTACTCCTGTGTGTGTTTATTAGGTACACTCAAAGATAAGTTTTGTGGCTGTAATTCTACCTGATGATAGAATTAAAACTGAAAATGGTAAACCCTAAACATGTTGTTCTATAGCCTTTCCACTCTAGCTTAGAAGACATACAAAAAGTTTAAAGAATCTCAGATGAAGGCAACCTATTTTCAATTCTTGCTGAGATCATGATGAAGATGCGTATCTCTCGAATCGGATAGGTAATGGAAGTATTAAGTTGCCACTTTACTTGGCGTTTATTTGTTGTGTTAAAGACCATGTGTGGAGGATTTATTCGTCTTCATTTGACATATTTGCACAAATAACACACATACACAAATAAGCGAAAACGCGTAAAGACGTGTTTTTGGCATGCCAAGTGTGGATGTCGTGTTTGTGCTATTTGGACTATGTACCTACAAATATTTGGACAAAAGCGGCGAATACGCAACGCCAAATGTAGTGAAGTGTAATGCCACTTTTGACAACTGGTTAAATAGAAATATGACAGCATTATTCCTCTTAGGAAATTATATATTCTTTATATAGATTAGGAAATTATCCTGGAATGGAGAATAGCTAATAGCTGCACTTTACCAGCACAGCAAGTTTCCTTTGACCTTAATGCTGCAATCTTTCACACAACGAACCTAAAGTTATAAATGGAGGACACTTAAATAACTTTAAATAAAAACTTCATTAGGTATTGACAATTCTTATAATAAGTAGGTATACCTCGTTGTCGCCGAAAATAAATATTTAGGTAAATGAACATTGTTTTATTCAAATAAACTAAGTATTTTATAAGCAATATAGGTATAACTAAATAAAGTGCATTTACATCTCTTATTACTCGACATTAAGTATACCCTATAACATTTGTGATAATACTGAAACATTGAACACTCTTATTCAAAACATAACCATAGGTATATCTTTATAAAAATATTTACTTATAAGTAAATATGTATTTCGTGTTTACAACCAAAGATGGCTACCGTAGCTGCGCTGAAATTCAAGTCTGCCATTTTGTTTTGTTATAATTTCAGTTACCTTATTTACGATCATGTATAAAAGGTTTGTACTTAAAGCCTTATTCTTATTTTTATTTCAAATGATAGTTTTTTGAAGTAAGGAATTATAAAATTATGTTGTATTAGTTGAGTTTCTTTTAGCGTTTTTCTTTACTTTTTAGTCTTTATTAAGTATAAGAAATTGACTTAATAAGGGTTTCCAATGCAATCTTTCCTATAGGTAATTTCTCAACTTTCTTGAAGCTTAATTTACTATGTTTCTTCTTTGAATCACTTCTTTATTTTTTCTCCTACCTACTAATTATATAGCTTATGTTATTAATACTTATTATTCTTTTATAATAAGTATTAATAATATAGTCCTTGAGTGGAGACCGCGTCTTGGCAAACGTAGAGTAGGACGCCCCCCAGCTAGGTGGACCGATGACCTTAAAAAGGTCGCTGGGTCTCACTGGATGCGGAAGGCAGAGGACCGAGTGTTATGGCGCGTGTTGGGAGAGGCCTATGTCCAGCAGTGGACTGCAATAGGCTAAAATGATGATGATGATTCTTTTATATGTTAATGAAGAATTAATTTCCGATGACAAATGTATGTACCTATGCGAAAAATAAACCAACTTTTTACTATCAGTGACTTAATATAACGAATTTTCATCTTAAACCTGAACCCAAGTACTTTTTTTACGTAGTTAAATATTTCACACACGATTTATGGTTAAGAAAACGTGAATACTGTTCGTTTGACGTACAAAACGCAGACTTGTAATTAGGATACGGCTGTTAAGTACCTACTGCAGAAGTTGGCTTGATCCTTCACTAAAGAGGTTACGAAAATAATAAACCTCTTTCCATTTTAATATGAATCATGTAATCAGAATATAAATTGTCTGTTAGAAGTTATTATAAAAAACGAATTCTAATATAGCTGATATTGGTAGAAGTCCAAATTTTATTAAAATGGTATTTTTATGGTTCTGGTAAAAAAAACTTTGTTTCTCAGCTTCCAATGCTTCACGGGAAGTTTATGTTAAGATTAATTTGTACTTAATAAATAATAATATTTAACATTAACGTATAATCTCCCGTTTCACTCAATAATCCACGTTAATACTATAATGTATAAAGATATTAATGAAATACTGTTAACGATACGTGTGTAGTGACGATAATGGAAACTTGTCATTAGCTACCAAGGCTTTTTTAATAGTTCAGATGTCTTAAATTTATTATTGTATTCCTTTTCATTAAATTAAATATACTTAGTCCAAAAGACGAAATTCGTAAGAAATTTATTGAATCAAAGTTATTAATATCTGTGAATATTAAGGAAACTATCTGATAAACCAAATAAGGTACAAGACAAAAGAAAATACCAGTATATAATAAAATTAAACACTCCCTGGCTGTACATATAAAGGTATATATGTATAAAGGAGATATAATTAGCATCTAAGCATATACGATTTATTACAAATGTCAAATAAACTATATAAAAGCAAAATTTCTCCAAAACTATTAGTTTTATTTAATATTACTCTCAAACATCATAATTAACATCAATTATTTATCAACTCGCATCATTTTCAATCTACCCTCAATTAAACAACTAATGTCATACAACTAACAAATCGGTCAGTTCGATTTAAAACTCGTGTGTAACCGATCAATCATACAAAATCATTAACAAAATGTCCGATGAATCCGATATCGAAATGAAATCGGCGCCGATGAAGTCCAAAAGAACACCAGCTAGTCCCACAAGTGAGATGTTAAAAGAACCTAAGAAATTAACAACAAAAGAAATGATTAGAGAAGCATTGACTGAGTTGAGAAGTAGGAAGGGAACCTCAATGTTCGCTATCAAGAAATACTTGGAACTCAAATATAACGTGGACGTGGAAAAAATAAAACACATCATCAAAAAATATATTAAAACCAGCGTTGAAGATGGAACTATAGTGCAGACTAAAGGCATAGGTGCGTCTGGATCGTTCAAATTGGTCGAAAAGGAAAAGAAAGTTAAGAAAGAAAAGAAAGATAAAAAAGATAAAAAGGAAAAGAAAGAAAAAAAAGCCAATCAAACCGAAAAAAAAGAAAAAACAAAACCTAAAACCAAAAACGAAACCAATACGGATGATAAAACAAAAAAGGTAAAAAAAGATACCAAAGATAAAAAAGATAAAGCCAAACGAAGTGTTAAAGAAAAGAATGATAAGATTGTTAAGACTCCAGCTAAGAAGAGGGCTATGATGAAGAGGAAGAGCATCGGCTCAATCATCAAACCACCGAAAATGCGACCAGCTAAAGTTAATAAGGTTTCGAAATAATATAAACTAAAGATTTTTCCAAATTATCGTATAAAAATCTATATTAATATTATAATGTGCAAGTAAATTAAATATTTAATTGTGTTATGTAATAAATATATTTATATTTAAATAAAATTATAAATTATTGAGATTTTTTTAAGCTTTCAATGTTATTCCTATAAATAGTGCTTGTAATTTTATAGTTATGAATATTTCTATCAAGCTTACCACCAGTTTTCCATAGTACGTACGTCACGTTTAATAGTACAGTTAAATTAATATCTTCATACATTACAGTATTGACGTAGTATTGAATGAAACGGGACACGATACATGTGTAGTGTGATGCAAAACTTGTGGTAAGTAGATAAACATAGTTACAGTGAAAAAGTTTAATTATTTGACTTAATAGATGTACTTACTTAATTATATATTTATGTTGTAAAAGTTAAAACTAAAGATATATGTTACTCGAATTTCGATTATTACCGACATCACTATATATTTTAATTAAAAACAATAGTAAAAAATATAACTGGTCTTCTTTAAAAATAATAATTATAAAATGAAAGTCTTTATTCCATTCGACAAACTCCTTCGTGTTTCCACACATTAGTCAAGATAAAAATTCATCCAACAAATAAAAACATTGGCATTGGCAGAATGTTCAACGATTTCAGTGTGACTGAAGCCATAGCATAAAAATAATAAACAGACATACATATATAATTTGTTATTAATTATTATAAATAGGTGCATGAGTGTTATAAATTCAATAACCATTAAAAATTTAAAATCGATTCTTATCGAAATAAAATATGCGGTTGAATTGATACAGCCAATGTCGAAATTAAATCTAGTTTTGAAATTGTGAAGAAATAAATATACCTATATATTTTTAGCTATGTATAAAATATACGTTTGTCCATATATATAATATTTTCATATACCTATATACTAGCTTTCGGCCCGCAGCTTCGCCCGCGTGGAGTTCGGTTATATCGCGTTTTCAAGAGAAGATTTCAAAAATCTGGGATAAAAACTATCCTATGTTCTTTCTCAAGGTCAACTTTATCTCTGTACCTAATTTCATTAAAACCAGTTCAGGGGTTTAGGCGTGAAATCGTAACAGACAGAGAGACAGAAGTTACTTTCGCAATTATAATAAGTATTAGTAGGGATTTAGTTTTTGAGATCATTGACATACCTATGACATGTTAGTTGCCAACTTTAAAAAATTGTACTTCCTATTATTTTAAAACATCATTTTTAAAAAAATAAAATTATAATTCTGTTATTTCATTAAATTATTGATATGAAAAATTGTTTATCTCTACTAATATTATAAATGAGAAAGTAACTCTGTCTGTCTGTTACGCTTTCATGCCTAAACCACTAAACTGATTTTAATGAAATTTGGTACAGAGATAGACTTGACCTTGAGAAAGAACATAGGATAGTTTTTATCCTAGATTTTTGAAAGGTTCTCTTGGAAACGCGATATAACCGAACTCCAAGCGGGCGAAGCTGCGGGTGGAAAGCTAGTTGTAAGTTATCTAAATTAGATCTAAGTTTATAATGCGCATGTTATTTCATTTGATTTCTGATGATGGACTGGGCTTTGAGCTAGTTGTTTGTTTCCATCACCACTCTTCATACGGAACCTTACACTAAAAGACTTGGGCTTATCCAGAACTTACATTAATTAATTCTTGGAACGTAAGTACATCGAAGGCAGCCCTAGTAGGTTCTTAACAAATTTGGTAGAGAGAGGAGCTTGGACAGTGGAAGTGAGCGATTAACGCGTTAGATAGGGGTCCCTTAAACCTACACCTGGGTCACAAGTCCCAGTCACTGTTGAAGCTCCTCTCACTACAACGATGGACCCGACACACGCACCGTGAATACATGGAATGATGAGAGGATTCGTCTCATACTTACATTACTTTACCTTGTTATATGACGATAACATTTTAGACTATGCCAGACGATCTCAACTACTCTTAATTAATTTTAAATAAATTCCTAAGCTAAAAAGACGGTGACAGGCGGTGAAGGAAAACATCGTGAGGAAACATGGACTTATAATTTCACACTTATAAGTTTGAAATCACCAACCCGTCTGGAGCAAGCGTGGTGATTAATGCTCAAACCTTCTCCATGTGAGAAGAGGCAGCTCAGCAGTGGGCTCTGATAGGCTGATGATGAAACTAAATAGCCTTCATTTAATTTATTAACATTACTTCTTGTTTCGCTATTTTTATATTGTAAGTCTTCAAGATATTTAATTTATTTTACATATTCTTCAAACATCAATCTATTAATATTTCTTGATATATAAAAGAACTTTAGATTCGTTTAATAAAAACGCGATCGAGGCAGCCATTTTGTGTACCCACAGAAAATTGAAGCTATAACATAGTGTGAAAAATTAAATTAATTTCGTCAGTTAATTTAAATGAAGATGTCATTGTTGTATGTTTTATGTAAATTTTGATAGAGATTTGAAATATTATATAAGCATTATAGGTTCTAATAATGAATAATTCTTGTATAGAATTAAAGTATTTCAGGTAAAAAAAATTATACAGATCGGCTTTACTGTTACGTGGTTAATGACAAATTTTGTCTGTCTGTCTGTTTGTTCCGACTTAACTATAAAAATGATCGTATATTCTTAAATTACGAGTTCATTTCTTCTTATTTTTAATAACAATTGAGAATTAGCAAAGAATTCAAAATGGAGGGCCAATGGTATTGTCCATAATGACTTTTTTCTGTTCTTATAATAAATTGCAACTAACAGGAAATCTGGTAATTATTTTACCTTTATGTATACCGACGCCATTGTAACAAAAATCGCAATATTTTATTGTTTACTTAAGGTAATATGAAACCTTCTTGCTGTCTAAAAGTATACAGCCCATTTATTACTTTACAACATAATGTAGCAGCCGAATGACAGACAAAATCGAAACCCGTTTACAGATAAGCAAAATTTCTATGAATTAATTATATAAACATCAGCCATTCTGCAAAGATGACGTCAGCTGCCAGTACATACTCTACACTAAATTGAGCTTTATGTACATCTCTTAAAACTCATTATTCATTCAATCAATACAACAAAGCAACTTTATTACCGAACTATACAGTTGAGGCAGAAAAAAGCGATCGGGCCTCTCGTTTTTGTGTACATAAATTGTTTATATGCGGGAAAGAGAGAGATGTATCGTCGTCGCGTACTTTTCAGTTGGTCGGGGGGAAACGGGGTCATGGCTCATGTTTGAATTTCGAACCTATCCGTCCAATGCGATGCGTCTGTGTTCACGAGACTATCATTGGTTAGGCGCGACCGGTACCAAGTTATCCGGTTTTAGTAAAATCGATACAGCCGCCAACATTTCCTTTGGACCGTTAGCGATACGAGCGTCCGTTTCGTTTCCGTTGCGATATCGTGGTAGCGGGGCGTCCGCTTGTAGAATGGGTGGATTATTATCGGAGTAGCCATTTCGACGCGAAAGATGTCCGGAGCGTGTGTATTTGAGGCGTTTTGATATTATTCGGATTGTTTTTTCTGTGTTTACAACGTGTCTGTGAACGGAAATCGAATATGGTGAGTCATTTTGATGTTTTTATACATCTTTGTTTATTATTGTTAATAGTTCTGAGTGTTTGTATTATTGAGTACCTGTGTTCATACATCCGAGTTCGTGCTGCTAGTAGTGACGTCACGGGAGTGCATCTCGCTGTCTTATCGACATCTTTATATTTTATGTAACATTTATCGTTTCTCGTTTAGTTTCGAGTTATTTTCATCATCGTATACATTTGTTATGCATGAGATATGTTCCAGTGTCGCCGATGCATTTTAATTTACGATACGTCGACGCGGTGTCAGTTTTAATGTTTGTAATATAACAAGTTTAGTATTATTTGTGTTACATTGAGTTGTTTTTCGTCTCTGTTAGACGTACTGCTGTGTCCTTTCTCGCTCGATTTATTTATAGTCTGCATAGGATTTGTTTCGCCCCCGGGGCGCCCTAAATCTGGCCTAGTGATGGGTTTTGTTTTGATTGTTTTTATCGATATTGTAAATTATATCGAATTATTTATACTCATATTTTTGTGAACAAAAATCATTGTCATTCTTATATGTGAGATACGTAATTCGTTTTTAAATATTTATTTACATTATGTATATTTTTTATATAACTATGTATATCGCGTATGTATTACTTTTTTAACTATTAAAATCGGTTACATTTAATAAAAAATAGGATCAAAGTTTACTTGACATTAATACATATACACGAAATAAAATTACACTTTCACAAGTTGATTATATGAATATTTATTATAAAATAATCTAAACAAATCACTTACAGTCCAATTTTATTACAAACACCATACATACAAACTAATTTACTTACGAAAAAATAAATAAAATATATTTCCAAAATAAGAACAAAATCATCGTAAATAACTATCGTTACTGGCACAACACTAGAACAAAAAATAAAATGTCCGCCGCACACCGAAGGGGACTCCATTACTGTTTATATGTAACAAACCAATACCAACTTTATTTCATACTATATAAGGTTATATTTACGATGCAAACACAAATACTATTGAAGCCAAAAATGCCACGCGATTTTCGACCTTATTTCCTTATATTAAAGATCGTGTTATCCAATATTGATTTGTATGTGATATTTTTTGAATGTTTTTCGGGCGTGTAGTGTATTAAGTAATTAATAATAAGTATGTCTATATTTTATTGACTTAGATTTTAATCTGTCAGCCATGTTGTTTGTATGTTGATTTGAATTTAAAAAGCTTTGTTAACTAACCAGTTAAATATGAACCATGTTTTGTAATAGTTTAAACGAATAGAAGATCATGTAATGGTGGTTATATCTAAAATAAGGTTTTATTATAAAAAATCTTTATTATTACTGTATTCCAATATCATGTTATTTTTATATAAATATTCATATATTAATTGGATGCTCTTTTATCTTAATGATTTTTCTCATTCGATATGAATTCTTAAAAAACTTGGTAACTTTGTACGTGAAAGAATTATAAAAAAGTCTATTTGCATATCTAATACATTTTGAATTAAGTAAGACTTGATTCTTTAAAAGTAAATTGTAAATAACAGATATATTTAAAATATTTTACCTATACAAAATAATATTATAAATTAACAACCATATTTACACTAAAAAACCCTTTGCCTTATATATAAATAAGAATAAATAAAAGCAATGCCGCCAACATAGCACGAATGTACCTAGTGACGCCATTTTAAATTTCCCGCGCTTTAACGCCAAACATCGAAGTCATACGTCCAAAAATATAAAATATTATTAAATTAATTATTTCGTTAACATTATTTACTGTTAAAATAATATATACTTATATTATAACAAACAATTTGGAGTTAATAAAGAATATATCTAAATTTTTACGTCAAAAAATTTTTTCAATTATCAACGATGTCGTATTTTATTTCTTCCATATAAATAAACATTTATGTATTAATAAAAATTTATTTATTTAAATAATTCTATCAACCTTATTAATCCTATATTAACTATACAATTGTTACGTTTTATAAAAATCGGTACAGCAATGATCGCTTAGAAGCCTTAGTAGGAACGGAACGGCTCATGGTTTCGTAAACTATTGTAAATCCTAGTCAGAGTTTACACGTCAATACTGTCAGTTTCGACGTTTACACGATCACAAATTCGTATTTGTATTTCGGGTTTATAAAGGAAAACGATCCAATTGTCAGTATTTGTATGATACCAACTTTAGTAGGGGAAAACGAGTTTTGGTAAAGTATTTAGAGTTAGTGTACAAAACATATTTAGGTTTGAAGTTTTTTCATAATGTTAAATTTTATCTCAGATATTTGATTAAAAGCTTTAATAATAGCTGATATATTATATTGGATTTTTTAATAAATAAAGAATATATAATATATTTAAAATATTTTTCTTAATATTTCAGATGCAACAACAGGTTTATCAGCAGGAAGCTACGTGAGTTTATATTAAATTATTTTTTCTTAAAATGTAGATAAAACATTAAAATATATTTAAATTAACTACAGAGCTATATCCCAGTTCTATTTTTTTTAATCTACCCTACAATTTTTAATTCAGAAAATTTTTAAACAGAGAAAAATAAATTTAAAAATTTTATCAAAATTTGGGCAGCCGTTTTGGCACAAGAAAGATGGTTGGTTGGTTGTTTAAAATGTGGCCTCCATCCATGCAAAGACGTGTACAGTATATTCAGCCAATATCGCGTACACAAGAAAGATTAAAGTTTAATAAGGTTTCGACAATAGCTCAGTCGATAAATTATTGGCAAACCCGAAATTGTTATTGGTTTGAGTTCTTTCATTGTTCATCCACTTACATTGATTATTTAAATTTTTCCATAAATAACATATTTATTTAAAAATCTAATGAATTAAGAATAATAAATTTCGTAATTTGACAACGTCAAATTTGAAAGATGATATGAAACGTCAGATGTGGCTGTCAAAGACCGTTTTACTTGTCAATGTCAACGTCAATCAATCTAATGTTTATATTAAACTTTCCTTTTATTATTCCTTCTTACACGGCACTCGCAGAATATACTGTACACGTCTTTGCAAAATTAACACCATTTTTAAAAACACAAACTCCTTAGAGTTTCTCCCACACAGTACTCAAGATAATAATTCGTCCAACAAATAAAAAATTTAACATTTGCATAATATTCAACGATTCCATTGCGAATGAAGCCTTATCATATACATAAGAAGAGTATACAATATATGTTATATATACTGTAATATAAAAAGTAAAAACTGTTGTACAAAGTTAAAAATTCTTTAAGTAGTACTATTTTACGACTTGAACCATCACGTAATTACAATACATTGACACTATCAGTTTTCCGTCTTTATATTAACTAATACTAAATACCCTTAATTTCTCCAGGTCTTCGTCATATTATTTCTGTATTATAATCATATTTGTTTCATTTCCAGCATGCAGGAGCAAATCGGCCAACAGATGGTTCTGTGTCCTGTACGTTTCGTGTATGAAACCCAGATGTTGATGCAGCCAGGTGATAAATTAACTACATAAATATAAAAATGCTTTTTGGCACATGAAATTTTGTTACCATATGATTTCTAAGGAGTTTTTGTTTTGCATGGGTGACTGAAACAAATATTTACACACAACTATATCTTAAATTAACCATAATATAGCTCCATACTATCTCAATACGAATTCTCCTATCATATATATACCATTATTCATCTTCTACCTGGCAATTTCCTAGTTTTATAGCCAGGGTCTGCCTTACATGTTGTGAATAGTTTTGACTATTTGTTTTTACGACTGGACTCCTGCCTGACATCAACCCTCTTTTTGGGAATGCATTAATCAGTGATGTCTGATATACTCATATGAATACTCATAGAAAGTACATGTGACTCGGAAAAATCACTTCTGTACTTGCCCGGGCCAGGATCGAACTAACGCCCTCGAACATTAGAGGCGGGCCTGTTAACCACTAGGCCACCACTGACTTATTTTATTATACCATACTAATACATAATTAACTATTTCCAGGTGAACAAATACAGCAGCCGCAAACTATTCTCATCAATCCCCAAAACCCACCGCCATGGATACAGAACAGACCTGTTCAAAACCGAGTGATATACGTACAGCAAGTGCCAGGTGGTTATATACCATCACAACAACAACATATAGATCAAAATCAATTGTACATACAGAACTACGGCTATCAGAACGTACCCCAAGTCTTACTACAGAATCAAGATCAAAGAATGCAGATGATAGCACCAAACATCATGACGAACGTACAACCGAACATACAACAAAACATCGGACCGGTCCAAAATCAAAACGTCCAAAGAATCATATCAAATGTACCGATGCAGAACCAAATCAATATAAATCAACAAGTCAATCAACAGATGCCCATCAATAGACAGATAATATCCAACCAAATGGTTAATATGAATGAAGTCGTCAATAATGTTGAGCAACAGGAAATTCCAGCGACAAATATATACAGACAGACGCCGCAAATAATCCAAGACCCTAGATTTTCTTCACAGACCATAATGATGCCCAATAACATGCAAAATGGTCCAAGATTCGAAACAAATACAAATGTCTGCCAAATAAGACCTACACAGCCAATGACACAAGCAATACCTCCCTACCCGCGACCAAACACAATACCTGAACCACGAAAATTAGTCAATAAAGCAACTAACTTCAACACAATGACCACTAATATTAGAACTCCGACTCAAATGCTACGACCTATACAACCGAGGCCAAATCAAATCAGACCGAACACTAATTTCCTACCAATACAACCAGCTAACTCACAAAACAACAATAACAATAGAAAAATAATGCCAAATTTAATACCAGCGACTAACATGAGTGACAGCACCAAAAACGTAACATACAACAGGAAACGGAAAAGCGAATCACCGGATGAAATACACAAGAAAATACCTATAAATAACACAAATGATATGGTAGTTATCAAACAAGTTGATAATATAGCTAAGATGTCTGATGTCGGAGTAAATACAAGTCCGATACACAAAGCTGATGGCAGAATCATAATAAACAACATGCAAATAACGCCCATAAATAACAATCAGAATAATAAAATTAAAGAGGAAACAATAAAAAATGTACGAAACACAACCACGTTGGAACCACAAAACGTAGTAAGAAACGTATCCATACAGGCAACACCTTCAAAATCATTCTCTAGTCTTGTTGAAAAAGAGAAATTGATAAGAAATACTGTTTACACACAAGCTAGAGGCAGAGTATTGAACGATAAAGCTATCAGTGATGTCACGAAACAAGAAAATAATATAGATACAAATAAAATGGAAATAACATATAGTAACGAAAACAAAACGGCTGAATCGAAATCACTACCGATACTAACTGACATCAAACATAATGTCAATGAAAATAAGACGGCTGAACCAAAACAAACCCAACCAGAAGTTGTAAACGAAGTGAAAACAATGAAAATAGAAATAAAATATGTTGTTGAACAAACTGAACCAATACCACAAACAAACAAAAAAGATGTCAAAACCAGCCATATAGAAAATAAAACGGCTGAATCTAAAACACAACCGAAAATAATGAAAGAAATTAAACAGGAAAAAAATATTGAACCGATGGACGTTTCGCCTGTTAAGAAAGAAGATGGGAAAGTGAAAAATGTGAAAATAAAACAGGAAATTAAACCGAAAGAGGAGAAAATAGAGAAGTGTGACGTCACAACGAAACCGGAAGTAAAAGTTAAAGAGGATAGAGATTTTATACTGACACACGTCCTCGGCGGGTTTGTGATACAGGAGTCAAATGTAGCGTTTCCGGTAAGAATATTACATATTATCATATAATAAAATATCAAATTTTTATCATAGATATGATTTTTATATACTTTTGACACACTAACTATTTAAATGTAGTAATTTATAAAATTATGAACACAGAAAAAATAATAATTTATAAGGTACGTGTGATTGTTACGTGGTGCATACTTTAAGGAACTTATTATTAACTGAAATACCATGTAATTGCTTTTTTGGAGACAATAAATTATTATTATTATTATTTCTAAAATATAAGTTCACTACGTATTTTCAAGTTCTTTAAACAAAATAGTTATACCACAATAAAACTATTTAATAATATCCACAGATAAGAAAACCGTTGAAAGAAAAGACGTTGGAAATTAACGAAGTGAAGCAACAAGATAAAGATAAAGATAAAGATACAAAGGAAATAAAGAATACGAGCAAAATACTGGACATATCACACTTGAATATAGACGAGTGTGAAAATATGAAGGGGAACGACGGAGAAAGCCGCCTGAAAGGTAATATCCTTATATATACAGGGTGACTGGTGAATTACTATCGATATTTGAGGACGTGATATTTGACGATCATATATGACAAAATAAAAATTAATATAACATAAATATTAATAAACTTCTAAGTAAAGTTAACCAAAAGTTATGTAATTAATTACGCATCGTATGAACACCCTACAGATTAGGTATACACACACACTCACACACGCGCGGCGGGGGCGTGGTTTTGTATCAGCACGCCGCCGCACGCGTCCACACTTGGAACACTTGGAACGTTTACACACTTTATTTATTTATACGGAAATTTGGTAAAAAATTAAGTACCTATTTTTTTTACATAATTCGAATGAGAATCATGTACCGAGTATGCTCCTTAAATATTGATAGTAATTCACCAGTCACCCTGTATAATTCTTCTGTAAGTGTGTATGTCACTGAACTTCTCTCAAACGACTGGACTGATTTTGAGGAAATTTTTTGTGTGTGTTCAAGGGGATCTGGGGATTGTTTAGATTCACAATTTCATCCGCTGGACAATGTTTTTTTATTAATTTTTATTTTATTAGTAGTTGTTGATATAAACGCTTTTTTGACATTAGATTTGACAACTAACTAATATGTCAATCATTCTGTCGCATTTCAATACACGGAGATTTACAGCTTAAAGTTAAACTCCAAAAATATAAATAGAAAAACGTAACAGATATTTCTTGATTATAGGGCGATTCGAAGTCCGCCAGGTCTTCTAGTATATATATAAAAACTAGCTTTCCGCCCGCAGCATCGCTCGCGTGGATTTCGGTTATATCGCGTCCCCAAGAGAACTAGAGATAAAAACTATCCTATGTTCTTTCTCAAGGTCAACTCTATGTATGTACCAAATTTCATTAAAATCAGTTTAGTGGTTTAGGCGTGAAAGCGTGACAGACAGACAGAGTTACTTTCGCATTTATAATATTAGTAGGGATGAATCCCTTTTTCCCTTGGTCAAGGCATCACGCGTGAATGGCTGGAACGATTTCACTAATTCTTTTATATTGTATTTGTTACTATTAGGAGAAGGTTCATATATGAGAAAAAAATACCAAAATTAATAGAAAAAAAAAACTAGAATAATTCACTTAAAAAAAAAATAATGTGTCACTCGCAGTAATATTCACGTTGTTAGAATAAATCATTATAATAATAAACACTCTGTTTTTGGAATAATTTCGAGTTATTAATACACCAATTAGAATTCAATAATCACAGTCAAAAAGACAGAACATTGTCTGCCGACTCAGCTATACTTAATAAAGATATTAACTTAATTTAGATAAAAAAATAACACATATTTTTGATTATAGAGCGGTACGAAGTCCGCCGTGTCAGCTAGTATATATTAAATTAAACACTAAATAATTACTTATTGTGAAAATTTAAATTATTGTAAAATTGTGAAAATTTTACTTATTGTATATTTACAACGTCCTTAAAACCTTAAAAGTCGTTATTACGGAAAATATTTCATCTCAAACTTTCTTCTGATCTACTTCCAATGTAAATACGCGGAATTATACAATTCTAGTTACACGGATTTCCACTATCCCCGACGATGTCATTGTATATGTTATTTTGTTACAGAAAATCCATTTTCTTCATTGAAACTGGGGACCGTTAAAAAATGGACGGTATGTATATCTTCACTTTTTTATATTTTATTATTTTTCTATTGCAATGGTAGGTGCCTAATCCCCTGTATGTATATTTTAAAAATCAAATTTAACTATTTCTATATAAAGAATATATGTATTTTCAGTTAATAAAAAATAATTGTCAATTTGCCGCTGTTATTGTATCTATAAAAAAACTGTATCTGTTATACAATCATATTGTTGAATTAAATTTGATAAAACGATTAATTTATCTCTTGAGATAAAACACATATATAGTTTTGGGTTGCCACCATTATCAATATCATGTAATTAAAGTGTTGCCATTATAATTATATAAAATAAATCTATTATTTACAGGCTGAAGAGCTCTCAACTCACCTCAGCAAGTATTCATGGAACGAGACCGTGTCGGTATTACAAGAACATGAAATAGATGGAGAATCATTATCATTAGTATCGAAATTACAATTAATAAGTATAGGAGTTAGTGAGAACCACGCTGATATTATAGCTGATTTTATTAAGAAGTAATTTATATAGATAATTGTGTAAATAAAACGGCTGAATAATGAAAACGATTCAGCTGAATAATTTTAAATTTCGACTTTCTTTTTTTTTGTATATATCATGTAACTGCCAGTACGAAATGTTTAAGGAAGCTTTGAAATTTTTTTTGTACAAAAATATTTCAATAATGATTCAAACTAAATCGGTAATTTAATGAAGGTTTCAAAGAAATCTAACGATATTTTTAAGCGACACATGTAAATATGACTGTAGTTTTTATTATTTTGTAACGCGAAGGTTTTGATGTCTTCCTTTGTATTGTTAATTTTTATTATGATGACTTGAATTAAAATAAATGGAAACGAATTTAAAATTTTGGGTCTTTTAAATTTCAAGAAAATTTTAAACAGATTACTGGAATACTTTGATATAAGGTCATGTTAAAGGTATTGAAGGTAAAGATAAGCATCTTATACATTCATGGTCCAAGAATGATAAAACAATTATAAAAACAAAAAGTTCTTCTTACCCATGAAATAAAAACCCAGTAACATTTTTACCTATAAAATAAGATATTTACTCTGTGCATGTTCTTTTTAGTCTTAGACATACATATTATTAGTCTATTCTTCCTTACAAAATAATCTTACTCTTGGCTCATGTTCTCCTATTACTTCTTAATCTCCTTAAAACTTCACATTCATAATTGACATCTATCATATATCAAAAGATATCTACAATATCATAACAAGCCTGATAATACCATACATCAGAAATAGACTATAAAACACTATCCAAGCAAAAAACAATATAATTTCTTAAAAGTTTTTAAGGGTAATAAATTGAGACAGACAAATAGACGTTCCAATTGTTTTCAACAGATGTCACTGTATTGTAAATATGTACATCATTTGTGAGTTGTGACTGAAATCATTTACCCATACGAATAACGTGATGTATGAAGTCAAGTAGTCTTCAATAGTAAGAACTTCAGACACGATTTTTATTTTAGGTTCTTTCAAAGCTGCCGAAAGATATTTGCCTGGCAGGTTAATAGAAGAGTATTTATACTGTCTGCCGTAAACCCACGTTTATCCGCGGTTTGTAACATTGACACATTAAGGTTTGACTGAACAAATACACATTGAATGTAGAAAATTCACTCTGTAACCTTTAATATCTATACAAGCATTATTTTTTGTTTTTATAAGTATTAAAAATGATGACAAAGATTGTACATTATTTTCGGTGAAAAAATCATTCTGTGCATTCTAAGGATGTCAAATTATTTTGACACATCAAGTCACGTCACTCCTTCCATAAATGACAGCTAAAATGAATTTGTTTTAATATAAACGTATTTCATTAAATACATACTTTAATACAATAAAACTGCAATACAACAAAATATATTTATACTTGTACAATAAAATAGATATAAAAATACATATATAATATAAATACACAATCATAAAACTTAAAAATTTATCATAATATCACGATACTAATTTCTCTTCGTATTCCGTCCCATGAAATTTACGACTTGAGCAAATGGCGGGAAACGGCCCCGTCGAATTCGTTTTTTCATACCCAATTCAGGCAAAACATCTTCGGATTCAGCCATAGACGAGTCCATGTTTTTTGATGCAACCTCCTCGGACACATCCGTATCATTCTTCTCTGTATCCGAGTCAAAGTTTCTGCTGTACTCTGCTTTATTCCTCGCGTATTTTAATGTTTCTGGTGAGCAGAATTTACTCTCCGGTGGCTGGCACATGAGTGTATCGTAGAAATATCTATCTGCTCTGCCTTCTGCCTTCTGACGAGTCTTTAATTCGTCATCTGAACTCTCGTTAGACGAATGAAGGTGTGGCGATCCGGGTGACGATTTCTTGTGACCCCTTTGGCTATAGAAATTTTGATTCAGTTATATCTTTTAACTATTTTTTTTTTGTTTCGCGGTCTAAAAGATATACGATACAAAGGAAAAGAAAGTAAAACGTTATATATGTATTTGTTATTTTTATCATACACATGCAAATTAAACTTCACCAGCGTTTATCTCCGACTAGGACAGCGTTGACGCCGAGACGAGGTGATGGGTTCGGAACGACTCCGGCGGCTTCATCACCAACGCCCTGAAGAAACAATAAACAGAACTATATATGGATAGCTATTAAAATAAAAACATATATAAAAAAAACTCCTGCGGTTTATGAGTTGTGTGATGGGCAAAGACGCGAGTGATTTGCGATCTTAGGATAAAGAATTTTTTGGAATGACAACATTTTACTAACTTCTATACAGGAATCCCTTACTTATTCTAGTAGAAGATAAGATTCATGTATGTCATTCAATAAATTAGTTTGTTACGACTTACGATTCATATATTATGTAAGTCCCCCTCACTGATTATTTCGGACCTTCATTTGAGAAAAGTTTCACAAAAAGAGTTTTTACTTATTCTGATATTGATGGTCCAATCAGAGGATAATATATGTCGTGCATTCAGCATTAGCAACTAACTGGAGAGACAAAGAAATTTAGTGCTCACAATAGCAAATAATACCTTGCTAGATAAATGAAAGTAACAATGGGTAACTCTCTCTACGTCGGCCCAGGCCACAAGATATTTCGCCATACTGAGCGGTATCTTGGGCAGAAAATTGCTATGGAACTTGCCCTGGCAGTATATAGTGATGACATCCGTATCCTTGACTTCGAAGACTATTCGGAATATTGTACCTTAAACAATATAAATGTCCAATTAATTCCAAATATTACTTCATTATTTCATCTTTATTTATTACCAACCTGGTACAAACATGTTGTAATTGGTATCCAGATTGCCGCTGCCTATCCAAATGCCATTCTTTCTGGAGAGTGATATAATGTTATCTCGGTGGAAACGTACGTCAAAATGAAGAACAACGTCGCGCGGTTCTTCACCTTCTTGAGCGCAAAGATTTACGGACATTCTGCAAAAATAATGAGACGTATTTTGATTAAAACGAAAATATAAAATATAGAACTGTAATGTTTATTGTTGGAAAATAATCTTACTTTCTTGCGTTATCTTTTATTTTACCTCCAATTTCGATTCTGTCTCCAATTTTAAGAATACCAGGTATGTTTGCAGTGAAGACAGGCATTTTGATTTATTATACAAAAAACAATTATCAATTCCAGCCCCTGATCTACTGATATCAGGGCCAGTTATATTTTTGGTCATTTTGAACGAAAAATTTATACATTACACCGATTCGGATATTGTTAATTTTTGTTTCGGTTTAATTTTAGACGTTATTTATGCTACTTGTCACAATAACATTTGATTCTTTATTTATTTTCTTCTATCACTACTGTGCAAAGAGTTTATTTTTTATAATAGAGAAACAACCATATTATATACTTCCAGTAATGGTTAATTGTATTATAATTATTCATTTTTTAGGAAAAACCAAGAAAACCAGTTGACATCACATATATCTGTTTTTCATGGCTAAAATATTTGGAATGTGTAACGATACTCTATACAAAAATATTATTTGACATAGCTGTCAAATTTGACTCACCTATACGTTTCATACGACCGCTAACCGCTATCATATGGGTACACCGGCATTGTATATCATTGAATAACCTATATAAAAAAACTTTTTGTAAAATCGATATTTAATTATTAAGTGTTTATAAACAGTGGAAATTAAGTTAAAAGGTAAAAATCACATTTATTCAAAGTTTCAATAAAGGTGATGAAATATCATGAACTTTGATATTAAAACTTTTAAAATTATCTCTTCGTAGAGGTGAAATTATTTATAACTTTTCATAGTTATCGTTGTTTATTTTGATATCAGTTTTTTAATCTAATTATCAATATTAAATAATGAGGTTAAGTGCGTGCAAAAAGTATATATAAATATATGTATGATAATATAAAAGTGTTATACTAGTTGCATTTTAAATTTAAGGACGTGTATTGTTTTATGCGTTAAATATTACTTATTTTACCTATGATTCATGAATGATGTAATTATTGTTAACAAGTTTAATATTTTTCTAGTTTAAATAATGGTTGCATCAGACGATACTAAGCCAACAGTGGAAGGAGATGCTGCGAGCAGCAAAAAGGCAGCAAAAAAGGCCGCGAAAGCAGCAGAAAAACAACAGAAAAAGGCTGAACATAAGGTTTGATCAAAATTAATCATATTATTTCACAAATATTACAATATTCAAACCAATTGAATAGATATTTACACAATTGTACACACATTTATCACTATAAAGTTATTATAAATGTAAATAGAATAAATTTATATTAGAATAATTATATTATTTATTTATATATACTAATTTAAAACAAATTTTAAAAGTCGTTTCAAAATCATACTAAAAATGCTTACGTTAAAATTAATTTACAAAATTCTTGATAACATTTTGAATGTGTTTTCATCATTGTAACTAATATAATATAAGTTACATCATGTTTCAACTGCACCGTAATTTATACTCACAACACTAATTTAACCTTGTAAATGTGTTGTTCATAATAAACTACAGTTTATATTGAGTTCTTGTATGTGCAATGATAATATATATATAATTGTATATGCTTCAGTTTGTGGTTAACACTGTCAGTTATTTTTGAGATAATATTTTTACATTTAAGTGACTCTTGGAATACTATATAATATGAATGTGATGATAAATTATAAAAGTAATTTAAAATGATTTAAAGATATCGGTCATAAAATAAATATTAAGAAACTTAATTTACTTCGTTGTTTTATATCTTTTACATATTGATGTCTCCTATGTATAAGGGCCAATGATTAAAATGATAATTTTTCAGTAGAGGCGTTTTAAGTTTGTTTTCAATTTATCTTGTATATACAACTGATGCTTTTGAAACTTTGCATAGCAACTATGACATACATGTACGTCATTTAAGCCTGATAAAATTTTTGTAAACATACTACTTTTTTTAAATATATTATATATATCTTTTGTAATATACATTATATAAGCCCTTATATGTTAAAAGGTGTGTTACCTATGCTTTTTTACTCCAATAAAAACTAAGTTTTTCCACCAACAAAAACACATTTTTTTAAATTTATGTTGTAGATTACAGTATTATGAAGTGTTTAAAGCAAAAAAAATGAAAATGGTTAAATTGCTACATTTGCATTTATACATACGACCCATCGATTAATTATTATAGTATTCAATAAAACAATATTAACTTTGTCATGTATGTATTGTGCTAAGTGTCAAACTGAATGACAGTAACTAATATAATAAAGTAATCTACCTATATTACACTTGACATACATTATTACATATTTTAACTATACCGAGCAAGTATAACTAATATATAACAGATATATTGAAATTTTTAGGCCTCTTCAGTCCAGAATGAAGTTCAAGATGAAAAAGATATATCCGAAGGAAAATATGGAATAATGAAGCTGATACAATCAACAGGAGAAAACAGAGACAGGGTGTATACTGATGTTAAGGACCTAGGAGTGGCTTTGGAGGGAAAGATGGTTTGGGTGAGAGGTATGTGGACAACGAAACAAGATAAATATTATAAACACATTACAAGAACAACTTATTATGCTAGGATTTGAATCTATGACTTCTTGAGCTATATAATGAGATATAAAATTTTTGAGAGTTTAATTCATTTTAATGAAATTAATATTTTTGGAATGTACTACGCGACTTTGTTTTTTGTGACAATCACATCTTGTGTTGTATCACGGTTGCTGGAAAGTAGCTGAAGTGTCGGAAGTATTGGTTTATTACAAAAAAAGTCGTGAAGTATATCTGTTAAATATTAGTTACATTCTTGAGCTATAGTTTCAGTGATTTTGTTAATGAAGTTGTCATATATTTATTAGAATTAACAAATTTATCATTCTAGGTATATGTTTCAAACATTATGCCAGAATGTCCTGTGATATAAAATTCTTATATGAATTTTAACTTTCATAAAAAGGAGTTTTCATCAATTATGTATATATGTATATCAATTATATATTACTAGCTCTTGCCGCGGCTTCGTCCGCGTGGAATAGTTACTTCCGACAGATTTTTGGTTCTTCCCACATAGTTCCCGTTCTTGCGGGGTTTTCGGAATGGTCGAGTTCCCGTAGAATTTTCAGGATGAAACCTATATTTTTTTTTTATTAATAATGAAGTACTCTTAACCAACAACATATTTATTTGTTTATATGAATAAAGATTAATATTATTATTTTGATACAACTTAAACAAATTATTTCGACAAAATTAGGTACCATAAAAACGGTTTTTGTGAGTTAATCCTAAAAGATAGACATATACTGTCCGAGACTGTTTTTTAGATCATTAAAAGAGCTATTATTCTTTAGTACATATTTTTTTGTGTATATTGAAACGTTTTCACGGCGCACGCAACGGAAGGCTTCAAAGATGAAATAATTTCTCCCGTTTTTTACACATTTACTACTATATCTTTGCTCTTATTGGTCGTAGCTTGAAGTTATATAGCCTACAGCTTTCCTCGATATTTGGACTATCCAACACAAAAAGAATTATTCAATTCGAATAAGTAGTTTCGGAGATTAGCGCTTTCAAACAAACAAACTCTTCAGCTTTATAATATTAGTATAGATTAGAATTCTAGTAGTACATTAATCATATGTTTAAGGTATAGTTTCAGTCTTGATTCTTAATATTCAGTGTTTCTTCCAGTAATGTCCCACAGAATAACCGAAGCCAGTACTTTTCAGTTTTCAAATATAGATTGACACTTAAATATTGCCATTACAATATTATGATTGGTAATACTGAAGTATTATAATTAAATATAATCCGTCATAGAAATAATTCTATTGATTATAGTATATTATAATTAGTACAGTACAGATAGCGCCACTCACGTTATAGCTGAGCAGTTAGAATTTTAATCATCACATTTTTTTATTATAAACTTAGTTATAGTTTATGTATATTAATCTAATCTATTAATAATTTCCAGTCCGTCTTCAAACTTCTCGTGCTAAAGGGAAACAGTGCTTCTGTGTATTGAGGCAAAACTGTCACACTGTTCAACTATTGATGAGTGTGAATGAGGAACGCGCCATTAGCAAGAACATGGTCAAATTCACTGGCAAGTAGGTATTATATACAAATAATATTTTAATCGTATATGTCGTGGTGGCCTAGTGGTTAAAGGCCTCTCATGCATGAAGGCGCGGGTTCAAACCTGGCAAGTACCAATGTGATTTTTCCGAGTCATATGTACTCTATAAGAGTATTTAGACATCACTGATAGATGAAGGAAAATATCGTGAAGAAACCTGGACTTATATCAAATTATAAGTTTGAAATCACCATTCCGTCTTGGGCAAGCGTAGTGATTAATGCTATGTAGTATGAAGTAAAGTAAAGTAAAGTACTGTAGTACTTAAAACTGGTCAATGAAAAAAGGAAGAAGCACATACTGTTTATTACCTTACTAAACAGACATTTCGTAACCCGTGCAAAGAGTATGTACATATAACATATATTCAGATCAACAATAATTTTTACATGTTCCACAAATTTATAGATAAGAGTTATAAACAATGGAAAAGATCTCTTAGTTACATTTTACTTCACGAAAGTTTTCCTCAGGGTCTAGTTGTATAGTCAGGAATTTTAACTTTTTGAGGGACCATGCAAATAGTTTAAGTCTGAGACTAAATCTAAGATTTCTCTCTATTTTGTAAACCTTTTTCCTATCAAAGAAATGACAGACTACCTCCATATTCATGCAAAAACAAGAGATTGATACAATTTGCCTTTATCTGAGTTTTCTACATACAATTTGGACGTTTTCAAATCAATAATGAATACACTATATATGGGATAGAGTAGACTAGAAGATATTTATGAAAAAACATGATAAAAATTAAAATGTCCTTTAAATGTTTAGGTTTAAAGAAGTTTATTTCCAAAAAAAAAAAACAAAGTTCGCTTACAAAGTACATTTTAAAATTAGAACTACAATTAAGATATTACAAATAATAAACACTATGTAGTGATATTAAACAGGATTAATAAAATCATCTAATATATGGGTTCTTAATCGTTTTTTAAGTATTTAGAGATTTTGAATTTACAACTCTTAGAGGCAAAGTCAGTGGTGGCCTAGTGGTTAGCGGGCCCGCCTCTCGTGCCCGAGGGCGCGGGTTCGATCCTGGCCCGGGCAAGTACTAATGTGATTTTACCGAGTCATATGTACTTTCTTAGAATATTTAGTTATCACTGATAAATGCATTCTCAAAAAAAAGGGGTTGATGTCAGGCAGGCGGCCGGCCGGTCGTAAAAACAATTAGTCAAAACTATTCACAACATGTGAGGCAGACCCTGGCTATAGTTGGGAAATTGCCAGGTAGAAGAATAGTAGACTTGAAAATATTTATGAAAGAACATGATTAAACTTAAAATGTCTTTTTCAATGTCTAAACTATATTATCATGTTTTCAGTATAACCAAGGAGTCGATAATCGATGTCCAAGCTATCGTGGCCCGTACAGCAGCTCCAATAGACTCGTGCTCTGTACGTGATGTAGAACTACTCGGGGTTCAAGTATGGGTGGTCTCACAAGCCAGACCACAACTACCGCTGCAGATTGAAGATGCTGCGAGACCTGAGAATAATGTGAGATGAACATATGTTTAAAGATCCTTATTCTCATAAGAACATACACAGATTCACTGAAATGTTACACACATACATTAATATTTGATACATGGAATGGCTAGTACTTAATATTGTCTAATATATATATTTAAAGTTTATTTTTAAAAGCAATTAAACATTTACATTCCTTTATGTCGTTTGGCAAATCATTATATAGTTTTACTCCATCAAAATGTATATTTTTGTGTCCATAATTTAAAATTCTGACTTTAGGTAATTCGAGTTTGTCCGTGTCTTAAGTTATGCTTGTTTGATTTTTGTATAAATGTTATGTTTAAATGAATACTTTTAGATAGTATCTTTTTAATTAAAATACAAAATGATGTTTCAACTAAAATAATTATTAATTTAATATGTATTAATGATAATTTAATTAGTATAGTGGCTGAACACGTTTTGATAATGTTCAGTTGAAAGCTAGATATATAACAGGATTATTGTAGTTCCAATACAATATAGATTATGTTATGTATTTATTATTTTATTTATAAAAAAAAAAATTTTGGAGAAAATGTTGAAATATATTGTATACTAGCTTTTTCCCGCGACTTTGTGCGCGTTAGTTTCATACTTAGAAATGTATAGCTGACCGGGCGAACTGTTTCGTTTTAGATGAAGGAAAAAAATAGATTTTGGATTTTATTAGATTTTTTTTAAAAAAAAAAGTATCCTTTCTATATTCTAATCTATCTCTCCACCCATCATCCAAATCCGTACAGCCGTTAGTTATATATAGTGTAACTAACACGACTTTCTTCTATATCTTACTAATATTATAATTGCGAAAGTTTGTGTGTGTGTATGTTTGTTACTTCTTCACGCTCAAATGGCTGAACCGATTTTGATAAAATTTTGTATACATCAAGCTGACGTCCAGGAATAACACATAGGTTACTTTACATCCCGGAAATCTCGAAAATCGGCCGGTAACACCGCGGGGCGCAGCTAGTTATTAATATATTTTATATGTATTAATGATAATTTAATTAGTATACTGGTTGAACACGTTTTGATAATGTTCAGTTAAAAACTAAACAGGATTATTGTATTCCAATACAATATAGACGATGTAATGAATTTATTATATATTATTTATAAAAATATTTTTTTAGGATAAAATGTTGAGATATATTTTTGTGGAGACTAGCTTCAGACCGCAAATTTGTCCGTTTTAGTTTCTCAATTAGAAATACATATAGCTGACTAGAAGAACTGTTTCGATTTAAAGGCAGTAAATCAACAGATGTTTTTTTGGTCGAACGAATCCAAAAGTATCCTATGTCCTTTTCTATGTTCTAATTTATATCTCCACCAATCTTCATCCAAACCCGTACAGCCATTAGTTATATAATATATATAGTGTAACTAATACGACTTTCTTCTATATCCTACTAATATTATAATTGCGAAAGTTTGTGAGTGTGTGTATGTTTGTTATTTCTTCACGCTCAAACGGCTGAAGCGATTTTGATAAAATTTTGTATACATCAAGCTGACGTCAAGGAATAGCACATAGGCTGCTTTACATCCCGGAAATCCGCGGGGCGCAGCTAGTATATATAAATATTCGTTCTGTATGTGACTTTATCATATTCTTATTATTCCAGGATCCTGAAGGTCTCAAGATTCGTGTGAACCAGGACACTCGTCTCGACAACCGTGTGTTAGATCTAAGGACGCCCGCCAATCAGGCTATCTTCAGAATAGAAGCTGGTGTTTGTCGACTGTTCAGAGATATACTCACTAAGAAAGGTACATACATACATACTATATATTACCCGCGACTCCGTCTGCATACAGAAAAAATAAACAATGAAAAACCTCATAACCTGCGTGTATCCTGAATACCACTCGCGCGTGATAATACTTAATATTGGAATCGGGATAAAAAGTAGCCTAAGTTACTCCTCATTATATCAGCTACCTGTCAGAAAAATCTCGTCACAATTGGTCCAGCAATTACAAAGATTAGGCCGAACAAACAGACAGACAAACAAAAATTTAAAAAAATGTTATTCTGGTGTATCTACCGTATATTAATATCCATGTAGAAAATAACGGTTATATCAATATTTCTCTTATGACGGTTATATCAATATTCCATGTAGAAAATAACGATTATATCAGACACTCAAATTTCATTTATTTGTATAGAATAGGATCTTAAAATCATTAAATAATATAGTTGTCGTATACAGCCAGTACTTTTAAATAATAAATAAAACTTTAACTGAAACAAAATAATGAAATAATGAGAAAATTACAAACATATTTTAAATATGAAAACAAAATGGATCAGCTCTAAAAAAACTCCTTATATAGATACACTCGGTACCGTTTTTTAAGAAAGGGGTTTTCTGTTAATAATATATATATTAATTTATTTAATATCTTCCTGCATTTTATTGAGTGAAGTTCGCGGAACGCTATACTTGCGACTCATGTCATTGATATGAGCTCGGCAACCGAATGTACAATCGAGACAAGGTTTTTGGCCGTTAGTCAAATTATTAGTGGATATTTATAAAAAAAAAAATCGGACCACCAATTTCGATTTTAGGGAAGAAAATCAAGCTCATGTCTTATAAAACGGTATGCTACTGAAACGGTTAATTCGCTTCACTCAACTTGCACCCAAGTATTTTCAATACAATTAGAAGATATTCTAGGACCTAGTATAACAAATATATCTATATTCATACTTCCTCCATATTAACTCTACCTATATATATCCACTTATATATATTATATATGTCCAGGTTTCGTTGAGATCCACACTCCCAAGATAATTTCCGCGGCGTCAGAAGGGGGCGCCAATGTGTTCACTGTTTCGTACTTCAAGAGTAACGCCTATCTAGCGCAGAGCCCGCAGCTATACAAACAGATGGCCATCGCTGCGGACTTTGATAAGGTGGGATTTTAGGATTTAGATGAGTTAGGATTTTGGATTTTGTAACTTGGGATTTTATATTGTGACTAAATCAGTTTTATTTATCCAAAGACCTGACTACATAAGCTGAATTATATACACTAGCTTTCCGCCCACAGCTTCGCCCGCGTGGAGTTCAATTATATCGCGTTTTCAAAAGAACCTTTCAAAGTCGTGGATAAAAACTATCCTATGTTCTTTTTCAAGGTCAACTCTATGTGTGTACCAAATTTCATTAAAATCAATTCAGCGGTTTAGGCATGAAAGCGTAACAGACAGATAGACAGAGTTACTTTCGCATTTATAATATTAGTAGGGATAACCCTATTTAATTGGTGTTTATATGTTCCAGGTGTTCACGGTGGGCGCGGTTTTCCGTGCAGAGGATTCAAACACTCACCGACACCTCACGGAGTTTGTGGGTTTGGATTTAGAGATGAGCTTCATACATCACTATCACGAAGTGGTGGATACTATAGGACAGACCTTCACGGATATGTTTAGAGGGCTGCAGGAACAGTAAGACATACATACACATATATATATATATATATATATATATATATATATATATATATATATATATATATATATATATATATATATATATATATATATATATATTAATATCTTCATCTTGTACCTAACAATATCCCAGTTTTAACCAGGGCTTTACATGAAAATAGTTTTGGCTAATTGTTTTTATCGGCCGTCTGACATCAACCTTTTTGGGAATGCATTAATCAGTGATGTCTAAATACGATAAAGTACATATGACTCGGGAAAATTATATTGGTTCTTGCCCGGGCCAGGATCGAACCCGCACCCTCGTGCATGAGAGGCGGCCCTTTAACCACTAAGACAAGTACGAAATACATATTACTATAGGATATATATTACTACATACTAGATTTAGGATTCTAACAAAATCCTTATAAAAATATGGTTTTCTAATAAAGCCAGTACTTTTAAATAACAATAAAACCTTAACTAGAGTAAACTAATTATTATCTGAAGCCAAAACACCTTAAGTGAGTTAAATTCTATTAACAATAATACAAGTCGTGTTCACAACATACCTTCCCGCGTTAAAAGAGTACAAGCCAAGCGCCATCGCTATAATATCACTTCGGATGCGTTCGGGAATATAAAGTTTCGGTTCAAATAAAAAGTGTTTTCCCTAAATCCAGATTAATTATATATTGGTGGGCTTAGAAGTTAAAGATCCACCTCTCACGCATGAGGGCGCGGGTTCGATCCTGGCAAGTATCAATGTGATGTCCGAGTCATATGTACTTTCTAAGAGTATTTAGACACTACTGACAGATGAAGGAAAACATTGAGAAACCTGAATTTGTAATTACAAAATAAGTTTAAAATCACCAACCCGTTTTAGCAAGTGTGGTGATTAATGCTCAAACCTTCTCCATGTGAGAAGAGACAGCTCAGCAGTGGGCTCTGATAGGATGATGATAATGATTATATTTTTAATGTTTCCAGATATGCGTCAGAGATAGCAACAGTTGGTGAACAATTCAAGGTAGAGCCATTCAAGTTCTTAGACCCTCCGCTGAGGTTAGAATTCCCTCAGGCTGTGGAGATGCTCAAAGAAGCTGGTGAGATATATAAATAATATAAACATATATATATGTTTATATTATTATATTATTATTATTATATATATATATGTTGATATAAAACCACTCAAACAAAAAGAGTGACGTCACTATTTTCAGTATGTTCATGTTACTTCAAAACAAATCCTCAACTCTCCCTATAGTCATATTTTTAATTAGACGAATTCAACTGACATTTACTGTGTTGTCACTGTTTAGTGAAGAAAAATAGTGTTGTGACAAAGTGAATGATTGAAAAAACTCCTAAATGAATGAAATTCCTTTGATTGTTTAGTGAATAGTTAGCGTGCCAATCTGCCGATATTAGGTATGAATTTCGAATTTCAATAGTGCTTAGTTAAAACTTACCAACGATTTTCCTACGACTATGTTCCTATACTACCTACCTATACTGAACACCGAGTATTTAAAACATTAAAGCCCTATTTTCAGTACATTATGAAACTATAGATGTATAAAATATAACAACGGCATAGGCAATAAAAAAAATCACTGAATACATAATTTGTTTTTATTCATAATCAGATAACAAATCATCACTGTCACTTTCGGTGACATTAATTATAAATCTGTCTGAAACTTTGTACTAGTAACTTATACCAGAGCACTTTTATACAATTTTATCGTAAAATATAAATAATATTCTTAACCTTTATATTTTCAAATAAATAACTATTTACATTCATTATTCATTCATCTGATTGAACGAAAACTCAATGCATCACTATTACTTTAAATATGGCAACATTATTTAACAAAGTGACATTAGCTATTGTCAGTTGGCTTCGTCTAGTAAAAAATACGACCGTAATATCCATGTAATTCTCTAAGTCAACGCTGAACCGACATGTGATACGACTAAAAGCCGCATTCATATAAAATTCGCGATACAAAAATAGTTAGAATCTCGATTATTTTTAATTTTTATGATTTATATCAAATTGACAAGTTACCAAAACTTCAACATCAAAATTGATGACCGGCACAAATTAAATATATTTATCATATTGGAGTTGTCAATGCATCGACATATATATAATTTGAGTACATATATATATCCTACTAATATTATTATTGCGAAAATTTGTGTGTGTGTTTGTTACTTCTTCACGCTCAAAAATTTTGTATACATCAAGCTGACGTCCAGGAATAACATATAGGCTACTTTACATAGTATATATATATATATGTTTTTTCTTCTTCCAGGAGTAACAATAGGTGATGAGGAAGATCTTTCGACTCCCGTTGAGAAGCTTCTCGGTCGTTTAGTGAAGAGTCAATATGACACGGACTTCTATATACTTGATAAATACCCACTTGCTGTCAGACCATTCTACACTATGCCTGACCCAAATAACCCTGTGAGTAGAATATAGATATAATACAATATATTAACTGATTATATAAAAAGAGTCAGTGGTGTCCTAGTGGTTAACAGGTCCGCCTCTCATGCATAAAGGCGCAGGTTCGATCCTGGCAAATATCAATGTGATTTTTCCGAGTCATATTTACTTTCTAAGAGTATTTAGACATCATTGATTAATGCATTTCCAAAGAGGGTTGATGTCAGGCAGGCGGCTGTTCGTAAAAACAATTAGCCAAAACTATTCACAACATGTAAGGCAGACCCTGGCTAAAGCTGGGAAATTGCCAGGTAATCGAAGAACTGACTATATGAAAAGATAATTGTGCGATTAATAGATTATATAATACTAAATATTGTAACTCTAGAGAATAGTGTTATAAATATATAAAATCTTAATAAATGCAGTATTTTTAGAATTTGTTTGTTGAATTAAAATCATATCATAATTATATATCATGTTTTGTATGACATAAAATTAATTTATTAATTCAAATATAAAATAAATTAAATATATATATATATATATATATATATATATATATATATATATATATATATATATATATATATATATATATATATATAATTATTTGTTATATTTCCAGCGATATTCCAACTCGTACGACATGTTCATGCGCGGAGAAGAAATACTGAGTGGAGCTCAGAGAATACACGATCCGGAACTATTGACTGAGAGGGCTAAGGAACATGGGATAGGTGAGGAGATGACATATATAACACACACACATACACACATACTATAGAGATATCATTAAAGATTCCCTACAATATAGATTATGTATCAGAAGAAGGTTGATAGGACTTTATATACAACATACAATGATGACAGTTAGGTGAAGTTTTACTTTTAATATAGATTATATATTAGAAACAAAAATAAGATATTATAAAAAGAAATTAAGTAAAGATTGACAATCATATTATTTTTGTATACATTTGATATAGTTTTTCATTTTAATCTAAGTTCAGGAAACATAAATGTTACATATATATTATTATGTTTGTAAAATATATTATTATAACTAACTGTTTATATTTCAGACATCAGCAAGATAGCGGCGTACATAGAATCATTCAGACTGGGCTGTCCGCCTCACGCAGGTAACATATGAATACACACAGAATATATACAGCCTTGGCCAAAATTATTATGCACCCCAAAAAAAAAACCTTACAATTATAGATCAAAACAACTTTTACTTTTCAAAGCGATTTATTAATATTAATAACATATTAAAATAAACAAACAAAACTTAAAATCTAGTTGGTTCACCTTTAGACTTAATCAGTGCTGCAATTCTATGAGGCATGCTCCGAAGAAGTTTAGTGCAGTCATGCCTTCTTTCTTGCACCAACGCATTTTTAATGCCGTTTTCGATGTAATGCTGAGCTCTTTGATGCTCGCTTCAAAAGACCCCAAAGATGCTCGATTGGGTTAAGATCTGGGGAGTGTGCAGGCCATCCGTCGGTAGCCATGCACCCCATGATCATTATACTTCCGCCGTGCTTCACTGTTGGTACGACGAAATCTGGATGGTATTCCTCACCTACACGTCGCCTCCCGAAGGTCACACCTGGTGTTCCAAATACCTATTAAAGAAAAAAAATAAGGTTTTTTTAAATGATCAAAACCATCAAGATTTAAGAGACATAAGTCAGTCCTCACTATTATTCATAATTAAAAGAGTAATTTTAACTTAAAGTTTGACTCGTTTGACAGAAGTACAACACATTGGACCAATTTTCCTGGGTATTATAATGTTGGTACCGTAGATCCCACTCAAAACGTTTTCTTTTGTTTGTCTCTGAAAGTCAGGGCTTCTTCCTAGCTTTGCATCCTTTTAGGCCGGCTTCGCCAAGTCTTCGTATTCTAAAGCTTAAGATTTTTCATCGATTCGCGTATCAATTTTCTATCCTCGCGCTTCGTAGTGACACGTTTCCTGCCTGTTTTTGGTTTATTATAATAAGTACCAGTCTAAGCAAACCCTTTGATGGCAGATTGTACAGCGCAACGCGAACATTTCACCAACTTGGCTATTTCTTTTTGCGATTTCCCTTCTTCAAATAAAAGTTGTATTTTTACTCGATTATCAAAGCTAATTTCACTTCTTTTCGGCATTTTTTAAAGAATTAGATGTTAAAGTAATTACTTCAACAGAAACGAAGGATTGTTAACTCTTTAGATGGTAAAATGCTACTGACCAAATATTGACTGATAAGACCTCAAGAAAACACAAATCCTTTGTTTTCGGTTACCAGGTGTTTTATGACCTTATGAATATGCCGCTCACCTTTCCAGGTAATGGTTTATGATCCCGAAATATTATCCAAGAAACGAATTTATTTATTATTAGATAAGTAAACATTAAATATGCATTTTTAAGGGGTGCCTAATATATTTGGCCAAGGCTGTATCCCTACTAATATTATAAATGCGAAAGTAACTCTGTCTGTCTGTCTGTCTGTCTGCTACGCTTTCACGCCTAAACCACTGAACTGATTTTAATGAAATTCGGTACAGAGATAGAGTTGACCTTGAGAAAGAACATAGGATAGTTTTTATCCCAGACTTTTGAAAGGTTCTCTTGGAAACGCGATATAACCGAACTCCACGCGGCGAAGCTGCGGGCGGTAAGCTAGTATCATTATGAAAGTACTATGATTATTTTATATATGACTTTCATATATATGAATTATGTATATGAGGTGTATGTCTGTCTGTCCCCAGGCGGTGGGATCGGTCTGGAGCGTGTAGTGATGTTGTACCTGGGACTTGACAACATCAGGAAGACGTCCATGTTCCCGCGGGACCCTAAGAGAGTCACGCCTTAATACATACATCATGTACTGAATATAATATATTGTGTTCTTCCTGGCAATTTCCCAGCTTAAGCCAGGGTCTGCCAAATAATATATAAATATATTGTATTGTAACAATAAGCATTTCAATACTTTAAAACTTAACATGTCCCAAAATTAACACATAAATAAAAATGATTTATTCAGTTTCTTAATTTGAGTTACAGAATCTTTTTTTAAGTATTCTGAATACTTGTGTTGAGAGAGCACCGCTCTTCCAATTATTGTTTCTATGTTTACATAAAGGTTTACCTAAATATAATTTTTAAAGAAGTCTATCATAATTTTACAATACACTTTCTATATGTTAGTAGAACAGATAGAGTGACAGTGAAAAATATTAATAGTAAAAAATATAGTCATAAAAAACTAGTTGTAGTTGTAATTACAGTTTAATTCAATTATCCTTAATTAATGAAATATAATACAACAAGCATACGTGTGTGCATGCGTGCGTCCTTACGCGAGCACGCGTGTGAGTGTGTGTGCGCATGTGTGTGTGTGTGTGTGTGTGTGTGTGTGTGTGCGCATGTGTGTGTGTGTGTGTGTGCATGTGTGTGTGCGCATGTGTGTGTGCATATGTGTGTGTGTGTGCATATGTGTGTGTGTGTGCGCATGTGTGTGTGTGTGCATATGTGTGTGTGTGTGCGCATGTGTGTGTGTGTGCGCATGTGTGTGTGTGTGCGCATGTGTGTGTGTGTGTGTGCGCATGTGTGTGTGTGTGTGTGCGCATGTGTGTGTGTGTGTGTGCGCATGTGTGTGTGTGTGTGTGTGTGCGCATGTGTGTGTGTGTGTGTGTGTGTGCGCATGTGTGTGTGTGTGTGTGTGTGCATGTGTGTGTGTGTGTGTGCGCATGTGTGTGTGTGTGCGCATGTGTGTGTGTGTGCGCATGTGTGTGTGTGTGCGCATGTGTGTGTGTGTGCGCATGTGTGTGTGTGTGCGCATGTGTGTGTGTGTGCGCATGTGTGTGTGTGTGTGTGTGCGCATGTGTGTGTGTGTGTGTGCGCATGTGTGTGTGTGTGTGTGTGCGCATGTGTGTGTGTGTGTGTGTGCGCATGTGTGTGTGTGTGTGTTTGTGCGCATGCGTGTGTGTGTGCGCATGTGTGTGTGTGTGCGCATGTGTGTGTGTGTGTGTGTGTGTGTGTGTGTGTGCGCGCGTGAGTGAGTGAGTGTATTGATTGTGATGTGTCCTTATGGTTTCAGTAATAACTCTGTGTCATAATAACTTAGGGGTTTTAACCAATTGTATACATAGTCCGTTAGACTTAAGCTGAGCTTTGTATTTGTGTGAGTGAAAGTAAAAGTAGAGTTAGACGAAAAAAAATTAGAATTAAATTTTATTATAATTTAAATAAATACATAACATAAGTGCGAGAACTATTCTAGATTAAAAATAAAATAAGCAAAATTTGTTAAATCAAACGCACTATACACCTTTTTCTTACATTCTCTTAATGACAAAGGAGATACGTACATATATTATTTTTTTGTTGACATTATTGTACAAGTTTGCTGACTGTGTATCAAATTGGCGTCTAACAAATATAGATTTTGTTGTTAGCGTTGGTATTGCCTTTACTTTTCTACGCCTATTTTTGGTATTGGTGTTCGGGCTGATGGTGGTTTATACATGTCGTTTCAGGACCGTAAGGAGTATGTAGAGTTTTCTCACCGTAAGCACATCACTGATTTCATACAAATCTTTTGTTGGAAACCGAAGTGGTTTTGAGTGAAAAACTTTTAGTAGAAGTCTCTGCGCTCGCTCCAATACCAAGAACTTGGTCTTAGTCGTCCCTCCCCAAATGGGTACACAATAAATTACTGATTGTGCCAGAGACACAAACTTATTTTATTAGTTCATTGAGGAAAAGTACCTCAAGTATGAAGGCTTTATTTAACTCAAGGAATGCCGTAATACATTTTTTGTTCTTATCTACCATTTAAGTAATTTTTGTGGAGAGTTCATTCACTGCGTTCTCTGTGGAATAGCCTCGCCCAAAGCCGTATTGGTTTTCAGAAAGTATTTTAAATTTACTCAAGCAATTAGTAAGTCTCACGTTGATTAGGTGTTTTAATAATTTTAGAGATGAATGATAGGGCAGAGATGCGTCTATAGTCAGATACATTGTTTGTTTCCACTCTTAAAGACTGGAGTTATCATGGCCATTTTTAAGTAGTTTGGAAAAACACCTTGCCTTCAAAACACTATTTTGTTAAGTGCGTTATAAGGGGAACAGTAATGGCACTACCAAGTCTTAAAAAGTGACTAGGAATATTATTATATGTTAAAACTTCATTAGGGCTTGTATTGAACAGAACAAATGAGTTTGAAGTCAAAAGTGAGTTTGGGCTTTGTTGACATTGAGCTTGATGGTAAGATAAGATATTTTCAGCGAGAGCTTTTCCAATACCAGCGAAAAAATGGTTAGTGGCATTAATGGAGTCTTGGTGTTGCACCACTTGCCAGTAACTCAGCACTCTCACAAGTTAATTACTGCCTGGGACACTTATTCTAACTCAACGAGAAAACAAAACATAATAATGTTCTCATATTACAAACTATGTTTCCTATTTCCCCCGTACCACCAACTGGTGTAAACGTGCCTCAAATCTGTATAATAACTTAGTTAGAAGCCCTAGTACTCCGATCGCTAGAGATTTTGGATACGTAGGATACTTTAATCAAACAGTTATCTCAAAAACGGGGTCTCAGGAAAAAGTATTCCAGAACTTTATGATAGACGTTAAAATAATCTAGAAATTAATTCTCAAAACATTTGGTCCAAGTAACTTGTCGTTTTTTTCTATATTCTTCTGGTCACAGCTTTATTGTTGTATTCATATTTATTTTAATTATCAATATAAGTTTCCAATGTCAAATACGAAAATCAAATTTGTGTCAAAGCTCCAGATAATAAATGTTATTCCAAATTTTACTGTAATAACTCCCCGTATTACATCCAGGTCTTGGTACTACTTATTAAGATTTTTTTTATATATTTCTATATAAATGAAACAAAACATTATGAATAATCCATATATTACAATATAGTTTTTATCATACGTCCGTATATCACACTTGCTCCTAGAGCACCGCCTTGCCCGCGCCGCAAATATTTTATATTGCTGACAAGAAAAACTCTAAAATTGTAAATTCATATTAAAATTGACATTGACAGAAGAATTGGCGCCAAAAATAAATCAAAACTTCACAATCGAGTCAGCAATAACAAATACATAACCAATAACCACATCGCCAACTACGAAAATAATGATACACTAAAAGTATGTTTAAAACTTGCTCTTAACATAAAGGAAGCAGCCGGAGACAAAAACTGTTCAGAATAATTTCACTTAAATGCTCTATTAATATGTTCAGTGAACACACTGTCACTGATATAAAAGTAATTCCAAAGTGCTGATCTATCTAGCCTCACATCATACATAGGAACTAATTCATTTTCCCACTGCTGGTTATTTGGCAAACAAAGTCAGGATCCACAATAAGTATGAAGTGATCTCTACGATGTAAATAACTAAAAAACATATCAATATTTAATACTGATCGATAGCGGCAAGTCGGGTTGGTTCTGCTCATAATTTCATTTAAGTACAAATAAAAAATATACGTCCAAATAAGATGATTTAGAAAAGTTTCTATAAAAAACCTCAACTTTACATGAAGTCTAGATGTTAGATTTATAAAACATAATTATTTATTAATGAAATAATACATATCTGTAATATTTTGGTTCAATTCATTTTATAACATCAAAAGATTTTAATTATTTCATTATTTACTTGAAAATTATATATGTAGAGTCCATTACATACAATAAAATTAATTTACACGGGATGTCGTTACTCTTATATTAATTTAAATAATGAAATATCAACATAACTATATATTTATTTTATATTATAAAGAATAAACTTAAAATAATATTTATATTGTAGTTAGTGTATTAAGTAAAGTTAAGTACGTCACGGACTCTGACATTTTTTAAGTCGCAAAAAAATAGCATTACAATAATTCCTATTAAATGGATAATTCACATAATTATAAAGTAACTATGATCTAAAAGTAACACATACAGTAATAGTAACTTTGAGACAGGATAATCAAGCGACCGGTTACATTACAATACAAATAAAGTAAAAATGCACAAACGATCATTTGTACTGAATAATTATATTACATTTCATGATTTGATAATTGATTATACATATTGTTTGAAGTGAAAAATCTAATAGTATGTTATTTGGAGCGGTCGGTACAACATGATGATGATTTTCATCACCAAGTCATCATCTCACTGGTACACTTATCACTTAATCTGTTTCATCACATCACATCTCATCACTGTATAACATTAACCGAACAATGTCTTCAAGTCTTCTTCATACAATGCTATGACCAACATTATCCCGATGCCCGTAGCCAGACCCATCAGTTGTAACACACACTGACAGAGGGTGCCTTCCTTACTGTGTGATGTACTTAGTTCGGGCATCTGGAATATATATAAATAGATTAGAAAACATATATATGTTACTGTAAAAGCTCGAACTGCAGTAAATCCTAAGATCTTCCAGTAAAACCTAAGATCTACCAATTCCTAATGGTAAATGTCCAAAAAGATTTGCGATTCTAACTTTTACCTCCATTCCGTTGGTAAATCTTAGAATTTACATCAATGGCATGGTAAATGTTGAAAAACAAAACATGTCATAACGTGCAAAATGACAGAACTAAAACTGACGCTAAAAGCATTATTGCAGTTGTGATAGCTTTATATTGTGGTAAAGTTTCATTCAAATCCATTCAGTAGTTTTTACGTGAAAGAGTAACAAACATCCATCCATACTTACAAACTTTCGCCTTAATAATAGTAGTAGGATGTACTTTTTCAAAATAATATAAGTTGATATTAGTTTGTACTTGTTAGTTGTTACTATCATTATGATATCTTCATAATACTATGTACCTGTTTTGTCTAACAGTTCAAAGTAAATAATTAAGAATTACTCATTGTTTTATTCCTAAAACCAATATCTACCAGCTGACAGTGGTAAAACCTAGCATATACTGAGTTCGAATGGTAAAAGCTCAAAAAAATCGTCGTATCTTCAGAAATACTTACATTTAGCAACTCATGTTGGTAAATCCTAAGACTTACACTTAAATCTTAACATTTAGCGTAGTTCGAGCTTTTACAGTAACATATACCTACATATCTTTATATATATATATAATTCTTCTGTGAGTGTGTATGTCACTGAACTTCTCTCAAACGACTGGACTGATTTTGATGAAATGTTTTGTGTGTGTTCAAGGGGATCTGGGAATGGTTAAGATTCACAATTTTGTCTGATGGACAATGTTTTGGATGGACAGCCAACATCAGATTGGGGTTAAAGTGAAAACATCTCAGCAGCTGTCCAGATAGATGAAGCTAATGGCATGCATTAGCTGATTTATATATGCATGTATGTATATATGTCCCACCATATCTACTAGCGCGATGTACAGGAACATTCCCGCGGCGGCCGCGAACAGCCACCTGGTGGCGCTTGGAGCGTGACCCGCCAGGACACCAGCCACCATGCCCGCCAAGCACAGGGCGGACGACAACACGTTGTAACACACCGCGCGCTTCACTGACATGCCCGCCTTTAGAAGGACAGCGAAATCACCTGGAATTATATGGAATATGTTAAATATAATGGAACCCTACTTTATTTCACGAATTATTCGTTATTGCCTTCAATTGACCATAAGAAACAATATAAAATATATTTTTAGCGAACAACCTCTTTATAACGAATTCTCAACTATCAGAAAGAGTATACATAATTCTAATTAACGGATTTTGTCGACTCAAACCTTTCTATAAAGCTCGCACCAATATATTATACATATAGTATGTGACTCATGTCGCGACATTTCTCGGCTTTTGTTCGTAAAACAATCATTTTGTTTGATGGAAAATAATGTAAACACTGCTGCTCGTCATTACTGCTAAAGATTTATGTAAAAAAAATTAAAACTATATTTTGACCTCTTTATAATAAATTATAAAGCAACCTACCCTTAATATAACAAAACCTAAGTTCTACGAATTACTTTTTAACCAATATTTTCTTGTTCCCCTACTATTTGTTATATCTAGGTTGTATTTTATTTTGGTATATAATATAGTTTGTGTTATTATATATTGTTTCTCTCACCCAGTTCGTGTGGTAGCTCGTGACACAGAACGGCGATGGCTGTTGAAAACCCACCGGCGATGTTTGACGCGAAGGCCGCACCTGAAATTATATAAGGATATATGAAGTGACTGACTCAGAAAAAGATGATTATGATAATGGGATCTAAGAGTCGCGAGTATTCATTTAAATGAAACTTGTATTATCAAGAGTCACTGACAGACATTCACATCTCGTCTTAATGATCACGGTTGCTGAAAAGTAACCGAAACGTCGGGAGCATGCAGTTTTTTTTACAACATAAAGCTCTCATAATATATCCAAAAAATATTAGTTACATATAATTAGTATAATATGTTTCCTGTATCTCACCAATGGCCATTCCGTCGGTGAAGTTGTGTAATCCATCTCCCATGATCACCATCCAGGCTACTGAGGACATGGAGGAGGGCGGCGCGTGGACGTGGCCGTGGGCGTGAGAGTGTCCATGATGGGCGCGGGAATGTTCCCTAGGGAGAGATATGAAAGATAGTTAGTGGTTTTTTAGAGGTAATTGGTAAAAAAGTGTATTTTTTTGGTACTAATATTTTTATGAGCTAAAACAGTTAGTGGTTATTTTGGATGGCGATTGGTAAAAAGTATATTTTTTAGTACTGATATTTTTTTGAGTAGAAAGGGTTAGTGGTTATTTGGGATGGTGATTGGTAAGTCTATTTTTAACACTGATATTTTAATAGAAAGGGTTAGTATTTTTTTGGTTTAATGATTGGTAACAAGTCTATCTTTAGTCAGTTTTGTTTCTCACCTCAGTATAACAGTATAACTGTCCCCATCCTTCAAGTCTTTAACGCCGTCTTCTTTATGTTTTATATTATTCATTTCGACCACAGCTTGTGTTTCTGTCTTCAGCAGCCAGTCCTTGGCTGTCGGTTCGTTTTCTTTTCCCTCTTGGTTTAACGCGTTAGAGGATACAACGCTCACTGAGTTATTATGATTTCCTTTAGGGCTGGGTGGAATTCCATCTCTTAAGTGATGATCGTCGTGTGTATCTGTGTCTATTTCGTCGTAACAGTACGGATATTCGGAGTATTTATGTTTGCAGGTTTTGGTTGTGGGATCTCCTTTTTCGTCTCTCTTGAAAATCTTCATGAGAGAATTCGAGGTTGTGTTAGTGATTGGCGCTTTTGAGCCACCGGAACATCCACCGACTGTCTCGTCTTTTAGCACTCTCACGCGGGAAGGTAGTTTATCTTCTTCTAACTTTTGACGCCTTTTCCTCCATTCGACCACTACAGTTAGACCTTTCTCAGTGAAATAGAAGAATACAACTCCTAACATGGCTGCTAATCCTTTCCACATCCCGTCATCATGAGAAACGGTTGCATGTCCATGGTCATGATCCAAAGGACTCATGGCGTGTGGCATTAAATGTAATAGGGCATCGCCACAAAGTGTCCCTACGGCCAATGCCACAAGAAACTGCAGCAAATGATTATAGTATGTTTTATGCATGATAGGTATGACAGCCACTCCTAATAACCCACACGCGCTGATAGCTGTTATACTCAGAGAAGAATACAACCAAACGGCGTACATATTCTTGGTGTAGGCATTCTCTTTTTGGGCGACATCTCTGCTTTCCGTTCTTGATAGATATGATTCTTTGACACAGCCGTACCTCTCTATGGAGGTGTTGGCTAGTTTTTGGTATAATAGTATAGGACATATCGCTTTTAACGTGCCCTCGTTAATAAAGTTCTCTGTATCGTGGGCACCAGCTGTGTGATCATGTTCTTCGTGTTTTAACCTGGTGTTAACTGTTGTGATCAATTCTCCGCTGCTCACGCACTGTTAACACACAAAACTTTTATCAGAACAAAGTTAATTAACTAAAAAATGCAATCTAATTTGAGGTAGATGGAATCTAAAGTATGGTCCTATGAAAAGTACTTACATACCTTACAATAAGATATGAACCTGTACTAAGTTTTGGTGATAACTAAAATTTTATAGTCAATATTACTACAGAAAACAAAATAGACGACCAATCACTACTTCTAACTGTAATTTTTTTCATACATAAACACTATATACTAACATTGACTACATCTTCCTTGTCCGTCTGTCCGTATATATATTCCTTGGTTTCCGTCCTTTGAGCTCCTCCCTCCACCAGTTTATGCAGTTCCAAGCCCCTAATCATTTCATTGAAGCCCGTCAGATTCATGGTCATAGATCCAGCATCTCCATACAATCTGAACAGCTGTTCCACATACGCATCAGGATTGACGCTCCTAACATCACGTTTCTGCCTTATCTTCTGTAATTTCATCTGGTATCGCGCTTTGGAATCTAATTTCCTTCTCTCTATATTGAAGTTTTCTTGTTGTATAAGTAACTTCGGTTCGTATGAGTGGATTCCATTGTTTCTGTCTATGTGTGATCCACATGTGTGCGCGGCGCAGAGCAGACAGAACATGCACACTGTAACTAGGTGATGAGACATTGTGTGTTTGATGTTCTCAGGTACTGATGATCATATCTTGAGGAATCTGTGGACAATTACATCAAAATTTAATTAATTATACACGAGATAGTTATAAGAAAACAGCGATTTGTACAAAAGTGTATAGCTTGTTTGTAGTTTTCTTATTGGAAGTGAATATATTATATAACATCATCGGCCTCTCAGAGCCTACTGCTGAGCAAAGGTTTAAACTCTACATGGAGAAGGTTAGAGCATTAATCACCACGCTTGCTCAAGACGGGTTGGTGATCTCAAACTTATAATTTGAAATTAAGTCCGTCTGTCGGTGGTGTCTAAATACTTTTATAAAGTACATGTGACTCGGAAAAATCACATTGGTACTTGCCAGTATCGAACCCGCGCCCTCATACATGAGAGACGGGCCATTAACCACTAGGCCACCACGATATATATATTACAATAATATTCAGGGCGCATCAAAGTTGAACCGAAACTGTTCTGATCGTTACGTGTGAAGGAAGCTTCCGTCCTCTGACCTTTAGTGTTGACCCCGTGGAGGGCGAATTGCATACATCATACTAATTAGTTACACTTGGATTTTTTTATTTAAACAATACTATAGAATATATGTATTGATTAATAATTAAATGTTTATTTATTCATAACTCAATGAAATATTTCTTGAACAGGATTTTGTTATTAGTGCAGAACTTCACAAATATTTATTTATAAAACGGTAAAAATTTTTATGAATTTTCAAATCTAACAAATGCAAGGGAATTTTAATTATGAAAGATTTTGTATGAATATTAAAAAATATATATGTTTGATAACAAATAAATATACGTAAATATGAAATGTATATATCCCTACTAATATTATAAATGCGAAAATAACTCTGTCTGTTACGCTTTCACGACTAAACCATTGAACTGACTTTAATGAAATTTGGTACAGAGATAGAGTTGACCTTGAGAAAGAACATAGGATAGTTTTTATCATAGTCTTTTGAAAGGTTCTCTTGGAAACGCGATATAACCGAACTCCACACGGGAGAAGCTGCGGGCGGAAAGCTAGTTATAATAATATTTTTTCCATCATAATGATTCGTGTTATACCGTAACAAGACACACATACACTTTTCCTGTCCGTCCGTCCTCGTGCCACATAACGTATGTATCAAAGTTTTGTTCATTGATTTACCTTTGAATATATGTCAAAGAAAATAATAAGAAATATATCTTTATAAGTCTATTACACAGATTTTATGAATATAATTATTATTTGTTTCTGTAATGAAATTAAATGAAAAATTTACAAAATGACGACACACGTAGGGCATATCTTTAAATTTGATCAAACAAGGAAATTAAAATATTTAATTTAATAACGATTATTATACAATAACGAGTCATATGTACTTTCTAGAGTATTTAGACATCACTGATTAATGCATTCCCAAAGAGGGTTGATGTCAGGCAGGAGGCCGGTCGTAAAAACAATTAGCCAAAACTATTCACAACATGTAAGGCAGACCCTGGCTAAATTTGAAGAAGAATATTTTAAAATATAAATCAAAGTTGAATATAAAAATATTAAATTATATTATCGAGTGTACTAAAAAAGGGACAGATTAGACATTAGATTACTTTACTATATTTAGGATATCAGTTGATTTCCGGCGGATATGGGACTTATAGAGAAAGTTATGGAAAAATGTGATAGAAAGCAATTGTATATATATAGTTTTAATTAATTTATCTTCTTATACAATACATTTAATACAAGTATGTAGTTGTGTTTATATTTGTATTATTATATATAAAAGAAAGTCGTGTTAGTTACACTATTTATAACTCTAACGACTGTACGGGTTTGGATGAAGATTGGTGGAGAGATAGATTAGAACATAGAAAAGACATAGGATACTTTACATCAAGTTTTAGCGACAAAGAAAACAATTACATAATAAAATCCAAAAAATAGTTATTTACGACCGTTCCGAATAGGATTTACGCGGTCAGCTGTATACCTATTACTAATTCTGAAAACAACGCAGACAAAGTCGCAACCAAAAACTAGTTTAGATAAATCTTGACTCATAGAATAGACAAAACCTCTCATCATTCCATGTATTCACGGTGCATGTGTCGGGTCCATCGTTGTAGTGAGAGGAGCTTCAACAGTGACTGGGACTTGTGACCCAGGTGTAGGTTTAAGGGGCCCTATCTAACGTTAAACGCTCACCTCCACCGTACAAGCTCTCTCTACTAATATGTATAGATATTTTAATAATAGATTTGTTCTTGACGTATTATGCAACAAACCTTGAACTTGGCTCTTGGAGCGAACGTTATACGGAAAATCGACTTACGCTGCCGGCGATGTCTCCGAAAAAGTTTTTGAATGGTTTTGGTTAAAAATAACCACAAATAAGTATAGAAATGTATTGGAAAACTATATAGAGCAAATGAAATTATTTTTTTCGGATGATTAGCGTTTCTTATTGTTCTATACTTTGCAGCAACCGTGATCAATAAAACGATATATTTATTTCAATACAATATTTTCACCAAAATACTAAACTTATTTTGATTAAAATAAACATATTTTTATATAACATCGACGGATAAGATCTCTATCTATGTACAAATATTTATTTTAGCGAATATTTTTATTTGTAAGGTTTTTAACGAGAACGTACAACGATAAAAAAGTGTTACGAAAAATTTATTTGATTGTATGATAAGCTTTATAAAGACAACGCCCAACGGAGATAAAAATAAGTAAAGTATGTTTGTTTGTCTTTTACACGAAAACTACTGAACGGATTTTAATACAACTTTGCTGAAATGTACCTCATATACTACAATAAGATATAGGCTATAACTTATACCTTTATTCCATATAGTTCCCGCGGGAATAAACCATAACAGTTATATGCAGTATAGTCCCGTGACACTGACGGTTGAAAACCATAAATATTTTCTATTCACTAATTATTTATTTCTCTCTGAATACAATTCCCAAGTCCAAGCGGTAAGAGTCGCGGGCAAAAGCTTGTTTTATAACAAAACAATAAACACTGCATCTGATAATGTAACGAAAGATTAACGTGGTCTACAGATAAGGTAACAATATATTAATAAATGTTTACGACAAGGAGAAATAAATAAATAAATAAATATACAGGGTGACTGGTGAATTACTATCAATACTTGAGGACGTGATATTTGACGATCATATATGACAAAATAAAAATTAATATAACATAAATATTAATAAACTTCTAAGTAAAGTTAACCAAAAGTTATGTAATTAATTACGCATCGTGTGAACACCCTACAGATTAGGTATATACACACACACACACACACACACACATACGCGTGCGGCGGCGTGGTGTTGTATCAGCACGCCGCCGCACGCGTCTACACTTGGAACACTTGGAACGTGTCCACACTTTATTTATTTATACGGAAATTTGGTCAAAAATTAAGTACCTATTTTTTTTACATAATTCGAATGAGAATCATGTACCGAGTATTCTCCTTAAATATTGATAGTAATTCACCAGTCACCCTGTATATGTATAAGAAAAAATTGAGTTAAAGTGTGAATTCCCTAGCAATATATTCAGCAATACTATATAACAATATCAAATTAAATAATCTAAGAAAATTTTAGACAAGTCAGTGAAAATTGAGAGGGCTGGATCGAATTCGATTTCATCAAAACCGGTACAGACTAAGAATTTATTACATTAAAAAAGATAAACCGACTTTAATGAGACTCGGAAGAAATTATAGATTACAACCTTGACGAAAATCTATCAACAAAAATAAAAACTATAAAAAGAAATAAAATGTATGTACATATGTGTGTATGTTACATCATACAGATGGAAACATATAGAGAAATATAAATACTTAAAATTTATTAAATTCATAGCGTGAACAAAAAGAATATCTACAAAGATCGCAACAGACGGACCGACAAAAAATAAGACCTTGCGGTGGAGCGTTGAACCGAGTAACGACGCGGTATTAGACATGTATGTAGTATACGAAAACCGATCTTAAGATAATGAGCATTAAGTTGAAATTTCTATGTATATATTTTTCACACTTTTCGGATAGCAAAATAGACTCTAACGCGAAGCAACAAGAAACGTGTAACATATAGAATTAGCATATTGAAATACACTGTAATGTGATTAAAATAAAGTTAATTTTCGATTAATTTTGATTATTATCATCGTATTCCCAGAATTAGGAGGTGAAGACCTTCGGATTTCTGGATTTCCTTTTTGCGTCCAAAATAAATTATATATATGAAAGAATGTCTGTCCGTCTTGATTGTAATGATCGATGATTACTTAGAATTGATACCCGCCATCACCAAATTGAACGGCGACGCGGGTTATATGTTAAAAATTTTATTGACCTCTATTTTTGGTATATTTGTATTTGAATGACCCAGTGACCTACATATAAACTAGTATAGAATACTCAAACTACTAAAATTAATATTCAACATAACAATAGTAATAGTAAATTATTAATATTTATCATATTCTTATCATACGAGCATTAAAAATTAGAAACACGTCTGAAAACGACCACGGAACTAAACCTTAACAAGTTAACACGTATAACGAACAAATAATAAAAAAAAAAATACATACGTAATGCTGGCCATCAAGAAAACAGAGAAAAAAAGAAAAATAAACACGATATTGGCTGAATATAAGAAAAAAAAGTATAACTTACAAGCTGCTTTTAAATTTAGAACAGTCGGTGAGAGATAAGCTATCGCCTCTACACCAGCCGTTAGTATGGCACTAACGACAGCGTTAGTCACAGAGTAGGAACCGACACAGAGGCTACGAACAGTGACTCATATACAAAGAGTGCTGGTTTAAAACGTTAGTTGGAATTTATTTTGAAACGGATGTATAATTTTTGATGGAAATTTTGTTTTGTGATAGTGATTTAGCAGGAAAAATTATACGAATA